TACCTTCGAGTCCTTTTGAGTTTAAAGCCAAATGGCAAGGGCATGATTTATTCGTTTCACACGTGGCTTTGTCTTCCCATCCAGAGGAAGTACTCCCTTCTGGTGTTCGCTCAAACACAGAGAAACTCTCAAGTCATGAGGATGGTCAATGTCGGACCTGAAACATGAGAGGAAAAATATTAACTGACATGCCCTGGAAACTAGAAAAAAAGAGGGATGGTTAAAAAAAACACCCCCTCCTTATTACTCAGCTTAGCAGCCCTTAGCTTTGTGTGCAACTCATCCCATATAAAACATACCGCGCCCCCTCAGAGACCCTAAGGGGCGGGGCTAAGATTAGTCTATCTCCAGAGATTAGTCTCTGAGGATGAGTGGCAGGATTTAAGTAGAAGGTGCAGTCAGGATGAGGGAAAGCGGCAGCTACAGTAGGTTAGCCTCATTTAGCACAGAGTGAGGCAAGTAGGGTCCTTTCCAGCTGAAACTATGCTGAAATTTAGCTGTTGAGTTTCAGTGAGGCGTTGCCGGGTTACAGGTGTCATACCCCATAAGGAAAAAGTTTTTGGCTAATATGACCATCTCCTGAGGAGGCTTAGGTCCTTTGGAGTGAGCAGGCCCCTGCTTAAAACCTATGACTTTGTGGTGGCATCACCCCTCCTCTACACTGTTGTTGGCTGGGCCCCTGGCAGCGCAGAGCGGGACAGAAAGAGACTGAACAAACTGGTGAGATAGGCCACTTCTGTCCTTGATTGCACTCTGGACTCAGTGGAGGAAGTGGCTGAGAGGAGGGTGTTGTCCTAGCTCATATCCATCATGGACAACATCTTCCACCCTCTGCGCCAGACTGTAGAGGAGCTTAACAGCTCGTGTAGTGAAAGCCTTTCATCTCCTTTTTGTAAAAAGGAGCCTTACCTCAGGTCATTCATCCCTGCTGCAGCCAGACTCTACAATGAAATACGGCAATAACTTGTGCAACGTACAATGTGCATGCACTGGGTATCAAACCCTGTGCAATAAGCCAGTATAATGATCCCATTATAAAAATAAGAAAAAAGCTGTCGTATGTGAACGCACTGTATTTCTTCCTTTGCCACCTTCTTCTTCCTTGACTATTTGAGCTGATGTAATGAGTACATTTCCCCACTGCAAGATCAATAGAGTCAATCAATCAATAAATAAATCCAGCCAGAGAGAAAGTGGTCAGATTCTTCTGCTGCAAAGAGTGCAAACGGCAGGACCTTCACCCAGGCAGCACTGTTAGCTACATATAATAAAAGTAACATTCATGTTTTCTTAAAACAAACTGGCTAGCTTTAGCCTCAGTTCTGAGGCAGACCGCTTGGTGAGCTGGTCAAGTCATCAATCAGTCATCAATCAGAGCCTGTCAGAGTTGATTAGACTAATCTTTCCTCAGCTGTGCATTCGTTGTCAGTGGTTCATATGTACATTCATATGTATACTTCATACTTCGAGCTGTACTCATAATACCATAATATTTGCGCTTACAGTTACCACACCAGAATATCAGAATATCATACCAGCCCAGTTTGAATCAGGGTAAGGCAGCGGCCATATGAGGATTTGAAAGGATTTCCAAACAACTTGGATGTCAAAGAAACCAGCCAGTGGTCAGAGATTTTTTTCTTCTTCTACCCAATAAAATTAAACATCACTGTTGCATCGGTGCATAGCCACCCCCTGCAGAAGTAGTTAAGCCAGGTTTAAACTGTACGAGTTTTTGCCCTTTTTGGGTCGATTCTCCAGTCGTGCGAGAATTCTCTGGTTCAGGCCAAGTTTCAGCCTGATCGTTCAGTATGCAGCGGGGTAAACAGGGGTGATTAGCCTGTCACAAGCCCCTCACAATCAGGATTCTTAAGGTTCTGGAGAAAATCAAACATGTTGGAATTTCAGTAAACCCTAGTAAGGTGCTGATGTACAAACAAGGGAGTTCTTATTCTTCTTCTTCCATGTTGATGAATCCGACCATCGCCACCTCTAGACGACGAGTGTGACGTGCATATTTTGGACGTACTGTATGAGCAGGTAGATCGCATCAGAGCGTCGGGCCGTACAGTGAAGTTCTAAATCCTCCAGTTTCGTCTTACAGTTTGAACTGTAGATGAGTACAGCGATTGAGAATATCATAGAGTGTGTGCCCAGCTAATAGTCAATTAATAGATTATTTTTAGATGGAATTTTTATCCATGCTCTTGCCAGAGGTTGAGGAAGGCTTAGAGGAGTCTAGTGGGCCTGAATCTTATCAGTTACAGGCGCTGACTTAATGATGCCAAAATCCTGTGCTGTCAAGCCAGCAGAGGACAGAATGACCCGCGACGATAGGCAATAGCCATCGTTCCACCACTTGAACAGCAGCACCTAGTTTAAAAACATACACTGCAGAAGTGAACAAGTTCACATACATGTAAAAGAAAAAAAAAGTGACAATAATGTAGCACCCTATAGAGCCAGTTTACACAGCTTATACGCAAAAAAGAGAAAAAAAGTTGGATTTTGGGGTGAGTCACACTTTAATCAAAATACCCAATGAAAGACTAAGCAGAAATGTACACATCATTCACTGGTGAAAGCACTCAACTAATCAATCCCATGTGTTTATAGTTGATTTTTTATTATTTTATACCAACGAATTATCCAAAAAATAAATAGATCAACAAAAGTGATTTTGTTGCTATTTTTTTTACACTTCTTAATTTATTTTCAAGAGTTAAAGACATTTTTTTATTAATGTCAAAGTGAAATATTCAAGGAAAATGAAAAAGGATAGCTTACAATCTAATGGCAGAAAAATTACTGACCAGTACAAACTTTTTTTTTCTTCTATTATTGTTATTCTCATGTGTGGCTTTTATGAAGATACTGCATGATAACACAAATAAGAGCTATTAAAAACACAACATTTTAAGCAAAATTCATCTAAATTGGTGTCAGAGGGCAGACAGACACATTGCTTTACGTGAAGTACTACTTTGTAAATCAGGATTTGGTCATTTGCGATGTGTAAACTAAATTCGCCTCATTCATTCAATTTTAATCGTTTTAACCCATTTAATAGAAAAAAAGAAAGGTATTCCACCTTGGATCCCGTCCCAGGAAAAAGTCTGATCCCCACTGCTTCCAAAACCAGTGATTCGATAATCAACAATCTGCATAATAAATTGTTTTTTTCAGCAACCCATCGTATTTTAGGGTCGATGCAACAGTATATAATTCAACCAGCTATGTCTGAATGAACAATGTGTAACGTTTAACGTTGTCAGTGGTTCATTCCGACTTTCATTGCGCTGTTTTAAACTCTTTCAAATGATGTCAGGTAACTTCTGTTAGCTAGCCAGCTAAACTCTGCTCCAGCAAATAGACGACACCCTCGGGAGGTTGACGTCGCCGGTAAATATTATGGGAGGAAAAAAAGGTGTTAACGTTACCGTTAGCCAAGTGATGCGATTTAAAAGTCCAAACTATATCAGTTCCTTGAGGATATGGTCATCGATGTGCGCTGAAAGCAAGTCTTAGGGCAATTACTTGATTTTAAGAGAGTTTACTGGACTATAGTTAGTCCGCAGATCTAAACTAACGCAACAACTCCATGCCTCCTGGACCAACAGTTCACTAAAGTTCCAAGCGTGTTTCGCTTCCTGGGATTGGAACAGCAACAAGTGTATTTCGTCTCCATCCGCGCCTCTATATTTTTAGAGTTAGTGTTTCAAGGCTCAGATCATTTCCACACTGAAGATGAAAACAAAATGGATTTATTCTAAACACGTAAACGCTGTGTGCATGTCTAAAATGTATTTGAAAACGTTTTAGAAGTCATTATAGTCCCTCGGTGGCGGATGAATACACTGGCCTTTTCAGCGGCATGACATCAGACAGCTGGAATGCTGAGCGGTGAAAATGCTAGAAATGGGACAGCTGTCACGAACTGCTGTCCGCGGACGTGTTTGTTTACCTATTGAATCGACTTGCTAGCTCACCCAATAGTTTCAATCACACGCATCGTGCTGTCCAAAGTTTTATTTGATTGCTGTAATTCCACAGACGCGATACAAAATTTACTGGTGTTATGAGCGCTTCAAGGTTCAGATGAGAAAGACTGACAAAACAGAAAGTTTTGAAAGACACTTTCTGGTGAAATTCATAAAAAATAAAAAATAAACTATATATATAGCTATCAGTGGTGGGCTGAGGGCCTTCAAAGCCTTCTCTGCTGGCCTAAAATCAATCAGAAAAACTAGCATAAATTCTCAACCTAAACTTTAATTTTCTTCTTTCCAGCTCCATTAATTTATTCAAAACAATTAATTCTCTTAATTTTGTAACGTTTCTCTTGATTACTGAGCTGCTTCTTTTACATTTATGTGGTCTCTATATTTTTTGTCCAATCAGATTTCAGCCTTAGTGCATTGCTATGTCAATCAAATCTGCCCAGGACCTTCAGAATCAGCAGTACTGGCTAATGTTATCTAACAATATTAGTGAGGAGCATTTTCTTCAACAGAAAACTGCTCAATGCTGCTTGCTGCATCCTGACACTAAGTATAAAAGGATCATTCAAAAGCTGATAGCCATCAGATTTTATTTTAAACCAGTTTACCTTAGCAGAGTGAAAGCCACAATTACAGGAGACAGACCCTCTAAAAAGGGTGGTCTAAGCTTATGCTTGCACGGGGCATTTTTCTATCTGAAATGGTACAGCATCATCCTATTAACGACAATCAATCATGTCCTTTCTTTTTTTTCTTTTATTTTAACAGTGGCTTTCCTGATAAAAATCATGCCATTTCTTCTGCCTGGTCTATTTCCAGCATCTGATTTCAAACCCCACAGCTGGCAAATGCTCTGAGCCTTGCCATCCACTCCCCATCTCCCATACCTTCATTGCTCTTTGGTCATTCTTTGCCTCCCATTTTGGTTTAAGAAATTCTAGGAACCACTGGAGAAGACAGTGTTTGGAACACCAGAAACAATCAGATCTCTAATATAAGTTGGAGCTTGGTTGTTTATGGCTTTATAGGTGAGAAGGGGGATTTTGAATTCTATTCTTGTAATGATTCCTGGCATGAGTGCTGGTTTGATTCAGGATTCAACACACCTGTCAGCTCTGCTCAGCCTCCATCAGATTTTCCCTCTTAACTAACTGTATAACCAGCTCTCAGACCAGTGACTAGTGCCAGATTATTACGAGTATTTCTGTAAACCTGCCTGCCTGCCTGACCCCCATCGGACCTGTCTTAGTGTCTTTTGGATCTCTGACCTGTATTCTGTGTTGCAATTGCTGATTCTGGTGAATCTCTCCCAACCAGCGCCAGTTTCATTCCAATAAACTGTTTAAACGTCTCTTGCTCCGGTTGAATCTGGGTCTTCCATTATCTGGTCATTGTAATTCTGGATTTAACAGGAAGCCATTAAAAGGAAGCTAAAAATGGGGGAATATGTACAAAATTTAAAGTTTTTATCAGAACTATAGCTGCAAAAGGAACAAATAAAAAAGTCATTGAATGTAAGTGAATTTTATTAAAGATTAAAATTAAGCTTTGGTCTCAGATAAGGAAAAGCATAACAGGAAGTGAAGCCTCCACTATGGTAGGTTTTTCTTCTCTTGTGTCAATTTCCAGATGATGTTGCACAGATTTCAATGGTCTGAAGCTTTTTCCACGCCTCCTGCACATGTAGGGACTCTGGTGTGGATATTTAGATGTCTTTTCAGAGAAGATCTACGATCAAAGCTTTTCCCACACTGATGGCAGACGAAAGGCTTTTCGCCGGTGAATGGCGAGATGGCAATTCAAATCTCTTTTCTGGCGGAACTGCTTCCCACACTGATGGCAGACGAAAGGCTTTTCGCCGGTGTGAATGGGTAGATGGCGATTCAAATGTCCTTTCTGGCGGAATTGCTTCCCACACTGATGGCAGACGAAAGGCTTTTCGCCGGTGTGAATGGCGAGATGGTAATTCAAATGTCCTTTCTGGCGGAACTGCTTCCCACACTGATGGCAGACGAAAGGCTTTTCGCCGGTGTGGATAACCAGGTGTCTTTTCAAATTATGAAATCTCTTAAAACCCTTTCCACAGTGGTCACAGCGATGTACTGATTCCTCAGAGATATTCAGCTGATCCTGGTCTCTGTTTTCCACATGCTGCTGACCTTCACAAAACTGTTCCACATTACTGATATCCATCTGTAAGAGAACAAAAACGAAAAATCCATCAATTATTTGCCACCACTGAATAAAGTGTAAACCCTTTTTGATGCCTAATGTGGACTAAAGTTATGGTTCTTCATAAGAAATTCATAAGGAATTACTTACTGGAGCTTGAGACATTTCTTGGATGTGTATGTCAGTGTTTTCTCTTTGTTTTTTGACTATCCTGCTTAAAGAAGAACAATTTAGTTATTGCATACCTTATACATGATAAAGTCAACACATTATCTTCAATTTACAACTGTACCAGTACACAAAAAGCAGTTAAATAAGTTATTTAACTTATTTATAATAAATGTTTTTAATTAGTTTAATTTCCTCTACCTTGTGGTTCCCTTATTAAATATTTATAGCATCAGTCTCAAGAGAGAGAGTTTTCTTACCTTTAATGCGGTGAAGTTGACTGCTTGCCTGCTATCTGTCTTTCTACGAATCAGAGATCTACACTTTTAAAAAATGCTTTTTTTTTAGTGTAAACAAGTGTTAAAAACAATCTGAAAAGTCCAGTATTTATTCAAAAGAAAATAAAAATAGATAGCATTGCATGCCCTTATACATTCTTGATATCACACCTCATGACAGTGCACTGCCACTACAGAAGAGATAAACAACTGCATAGTAACGACCAGTGGCGGGCTGCGAGGGCCTTCAAAGCCTTCTCTGCTGGCCTAAAATCAATCAGAAACACTAATGGGCCTTTCAGATAGGAAGCGATTTGCGCTGCGCTGGCCGCGGGGTTCAGCGCATTTGCGCTGCGCTGCGCCGGCTGGGTTGCCGGGTCTAGTCATTTGTTTGTTGTTCCAGCTTTTGGTCAGCAGCAAATATGTATCTGACCCGTGCTAAGAAGCAAGCGCTAGCACTAGCCCTGCTAGTTCGAAGAAAAAGAGCAGCAAGAAAGAAGAGGCTGTGGGTGCACGAAACACTCAGGTCCAGAGAGCAGCTTGGGGAGTTCCCGCTTGTGAAAGAAATTGCAAACTTGTGTCATATAGTTCGGGGAATTCAGACACACACAGTATAAGCTTTTCCTCCATTTTGCTTCCTGGTCTTTCCAGCCGATGGTTTCTATTGGCCACGCGTGCATTCGTCACGGCGCGCCGCGGTCAAAGTTCAACATAGTTCAACTTTGACCTGGCCTGCGCGCGAGCTCGCGAAGCGCTGCGCTGTGCTTGCGCTTTGCTCGACGCAGCGATAAACCGCCCTGGCGCGGCGCAAGCCATTGAAAAGAATGGGTTTCACAGCGCAGCAGTGCGGTCGTCGCAGCCTGTCTGAAAGGCCCATAACATACATTCTCAACCTAAACTTTAATTTTATATATATATATCTTGGAATTAATCTAGATTAAAATGGGTAATTTGTTTTCTGCCAAAGGGATTCATTAATCAGAATCAGAATTACTTTATTTACTTTAATAATCCCTTGCGGGAAATAACATAAGAAAATGAATTAAATAAGGATTAGAATAAAATAAGATAAGGGTAAGAATAAAATATGATAAGGATGATATGTGTGTGCTACCTAAATAATAAGTGAAAGTAAGTCTTTGAACAGGTTTCTCTATTCAGATGGTGCATTAGACCAGGGGCTCATTTCCTGTTTCCAAAATGCATCACATAATACCACTGAACCAACATTTTCATAAAGCGTCCCACTTTACCCACATTCACCAAAGCAATCATCAAGAAGCAAAAATAATTTTGTAGTAATCATTTTACCACGTGGTGTCGTGGTAAAATGAAATTCAAAATTACATAACATTGCCTACCTAAAACGAAGGTGTGAAATTCCCAGCTTGCATCGATGAGGTGTGCAGTAACACCGAGGTAGTTATGACAGATATCCAGTGGTCCACTGTCAGTACTAAACACTTCGCCTTGACCAACTTCTCATCTTTCGCAGCTTTCTCTGCGACGTGCTGGGCATGTATGAGCACCTGTGGCCACCTGGAGAACGAGCTCGAGCCCATCATCTTCAACCACGCATTGGCTTCCTTAAAAATAAATTTACCCTTAAGCAAACATGGTGGCTTTATAGCTGCATCCATGTTATCATGTCACGTTCAAAGTGTTAACAATAGGCTGATTTGTTCACGCCCCCAGATAGGCATCTGCGCTATGTATATATGGAGATCAAGGGATAAAAGGTAGATCAAGTTGAGGGGTGCCCACTGAAGGCTTAGTTACCATATGCATATCTATCTACCTACCTACCTACCTAACTACCTACCTATCTATCTATCTATCTATCTATCTATCTAGATGTATTTTATTATTATTTTTTTTTTTTAGTTTGACCTGCTAATCATAGATCATAGTAAATCAACATGACATTTTTCAACCTTGGTGCAGCTCTATTTTCAGCTATTTATTCCACCCATCTAGCTCAATAAATCTTCATATTAAAAAAACACTTAACAGTGTCAATATCTTAATGACAGCCTTGAGAATTGCATCTGAGTTTTTAGGCAATTTGGCAACGTATGGTCAAGAAGGTACCACTTTATAAATTGTATAAAACAAACTTATTTTTAATTAACTTTAACTAAGAACAATTAATTTAAAAAAAAAATCGAATTACCGGTAGTGACTGAAATGTAACACCTCTTTAATGTGACTTGTACAACACCGGAAACATAACCAGTCTTAAAGGGGTTATACAAACTAAACTTAAACAAACCCACAGTTCCTCATTTTAGACTGGAAAAACAACCCTCAGCACAGCAAAGCAACATTCAGAAATCATCATCACTACTATCATGTTGGTTAGTGCATGCCTCACTGGCAGCTGCTACATTTTCAGAGTCTGTGTTGTCAGATAGATGTAATGTTTCTGACAAAATAGTTTCTAGATCCTCTACCTTCTTAGATGGTCCATCACATTTTTTTACATCACTGCTCACAGTCATGTGCTCATCACTTTCATTATGGACATTCACTGCTGCTCCTTGACTGGTTGTTGTCCTGTCTGTCGCATTATCGGTACATATCATTAATCCTACAACTTCTGCAGCATTTTCTCTCCTCTTCTCATTTTCCCTTTGTTTGGTTGGAGATGTAGCTCTTACAGGAGAGGTTGAGGGTGTAGAAACCGGTGAAGGATTATCACCATCTGACAATTTACAGTCATCAATGGGTGATGCATTGGTTATGCTTTCCTTCACATCTTTAGTCTTTGCTGGTTTAGACCCAGATACTAAAGTGGAGAATATAGAATCAAGAAAAGCGCTCCCATTTTTTAAATGGTCTTCACTTGAAGCAGATACATTGGATGGTTCCTCAAATTCTTTACGCAACACTTCCAGAAGGTAACGCATTTTACCCTAAAAACAAGCACAAAATAGTAAGCTTTAAATAAGACTTGATTTTGCACATTTGCTGTCATTCATTAGATTACACAGTTACCTCATCCAGCTGATGGAGATTCATATTAATGTGTTGATTCATCACCCGGTCAAGCATCCTTTCAAAAAACAATGACATTTAGAAACATTTGCATACTCCACTACATCTTAGATACCCAAACCAGCAATCATATCCACTAATACTCATCGCAACACCCTGAGTTTGATAAAACATAAATGTGTACAAAGCTCAGTTGTGTCTTATCAAAATCCTATGTGCCTAACTTGTTTTGCAGTATATAATAATAATAAACTGCTCTTATGTCAATCAGCAGACAAAAATAACTTTCTTGAGTTTTGTAGTATTTCACATTTTTTATATAGACCTTTAACTTTAGGCATTTTTATCTTTTAAATTTTTATTGGTGCTTAAGGCACTGTAAGATAGGCTACCCTTTTCAGCTGGGCTATAAATATTATTGAGTATTTTCATGATCTTTTTCACAATAATTATCATTATTACCTCCATGTCCATGGCTTTCAACCTCATCTTTCTCTAAAAATACCTAGAGAACACACAATCTGCTCAATTTAAAAGGCAGAACCAAATCGGTTGGCACGTCTTAACATTTGCGCAGCTGTCTTTGTAGATCACCCGCAACACGCTTACTTATTTTACGTTCTAAACAAGTGCCTCTTATTTAAAATCTTTGGGAAAAAGATACATTAACACTGAAAGCAACAGCATTGAAACATGGAGGTTGCATTTAAGTCAATATTGGGCAATTCTAGAAAAGAAGAAATGGCAGAGGCTGCAAAACACTGGAGAGCAGAGCAAATATTCAACAAGACTACAAACCTTAAAACACTTCCAGAGATAAAATGGAGCGTTTTAGATCAAACATTTATTTACTAGCACAGCCAGTCATGTTTAAATCTAAATATGAAGTAGAACCTGTGTCAAGATAAAAATCAGGAGCCTAAATATTGTGTTTTCAAATACTTTCTGTCCGATCTCATAAAGCTAGTAGACCCATGCCTTATAAGACTATGCAGCTATTAATGCATTGAAACATGGTTCTTCAAAGTACTACCTCAAAGGGGACTGATATAAATACATGGCATTTGAAATATATTGCAAACCATAGATCACTTTCTTCCAACAGACAGCTATGCTCCTTTTTATGTTATTCTGTCATATACAGTCATAATAAAATATTTGATTCTAATGAGACCAAATCGTTTTGGGCATTGGGCCCACATCTGTGTAACATTTCAGCTGCTTTGCAAAAAATGAAATACTAAAAACCTGTCAGATATGTGGCCCCTGGACAGGATATCCTCTGTCACAGCAGAAATGAATTCAATGTATAGGAGCTCTTCTTCTCTGTAGCCAAAGAAAAAAAGATTAGATGTTTTTTTTTTTTTTTATATAATAAGCTACTTATTTTTTTGAAGTATTATTCTTTGCACATAGTTGTAAACATTTTATTTTTTATATAGCTCTCACAGGTCTCTCAGAATACCAACTGGAACTTACTCTGCAGATATAAGGCTCCTAACAGGAGATTTCCATCCTGGAGAGACCCTGCTAAAGTAAGACACAATGTCATCTTGAATTTGAAGTCAACTGAACTTGATTACCATATGTAAAACAAAAGCTACATGTCAAACCATCTGTGCTGTCTCACCCGGATGAAGAGCCAACAAAATAATGATCCGCACTTTTAATTTTATGCTCCTGCAGTTGCGATGGGGATAGGTATGTATCAGTGACCTCATAATCAGACCACTCAGGCTCTGTAGAATATTCCTGTAAAAACATTTAACATGATGATAATCACAACCATTAAACCGCATTTGACTGTGAATTCATTCTAACAGAGGACTACAAGTTTAAATGTCGATGCTTTCTGTTCCCCAACAAAAATCTCCTACTTTCTTTGATTCTCCCATTCTGGAATTTATTAGTTCCACCCATAGGTTTATGCTCTCTCTACTATTCTCGTTAAAGTAGCTTCATCTAGTCTGTTCCAGCTTCGCTGTGACACCATCCTGGAGAGCAACATCAGCTTGGCTGCTGCCTGCACCTTAGATTATAGATGATACAGTTATCCCTGTTTATTTAGTTTTTAGTCTTGTTTCTCTCTAAGACATAGCTATAGCTCAACTTTTACCCTAACCAACTGAATGTGTTCTCTTTCATCCATTGACATGAATATTGGCTCAGAGCTCATCTGCTTAACTGTCTTTTTCCCAGAGAGAGTCCCTTGTGGAGCTAGTTTACCACTACCTTTTCAACCATAGAATGTGTTTATTGATCAGGGCTTCTATGTTTGTTTTATATATCTGCTTTTGTCTCCTTGAACCCCAGTTGGCCTCGGCAGATGGCTGCTTACACCGAGCCTGGTTCTGCAGGAGGTCTCTCCTCATTAAAAAGGAGTTTTTCCTCTCCACTGTAGCTACACGTGTCATTGTGTCCTTGGGATTATTTTTGATCAATAAGTCGATGCAATCAGCTGGTTTTCCTTAGATAGAAAACTTAGAACCAATTTTACGTGAATTGTCTCTGTAAAGTCCCTTGAGATCATGTGTTGTGAATTGGCGCAATATAAATAAATAAACAGGTTTTTTTTTTTTTTTTTTTTTTTTTACATGAGGCCTTTGCAAGAGGGAAAAAATAGAAAAAGAAACCCAGTTTTAACCAGTTATAGCATCCCACTTCACTTGTTCTTAACCAGGGATAGAAATTAACTTTTCAACCTGAAAACATGGGATCTTTATAAAAGCTGTAGTTAGTTACCTCCGTATCCAAACTGGATCTTTGTTCTTTGTTAATCTATATTAATCATAAAAGGTACTTTATATAGATCTTATATTTACAAAAATAAAAATTATTTGGAAGAGTTTTTGGGCCTAAGACACAAAGAAAGAAGATAAGTTGAGCACATTTACACATTTACTCAGGTGCTGGTGTCCTTTGACCTTTAAATGTGTTCACTTCAGATCCATCACCCCCAGATCAAATAGTCAACTTATTTTCAGGGCTCTAAAGATCCTGGCTAAGGGATTCTTAACCCATTTGATGGGAGGATAGGATCAGAAAACATCTCAAGAATGCAGGATACTTTCCCTCAAGGCATAGAGCTTGAGACTCCTGTTTTATGGAGATTTCTTTGGAGTTACAAGATTGTAATTTAGATCAAATACTTTAGCCTACCTGAGATGGCTTATCTAGTCTTTCTGTGTATTCTTTTTCATTTGGGCTGAAATACAGAGAGAAAGAGAAAGATGAGCATTTTAGACAAAAAAGTAAATTTATAGAACCACTCAAAAAACTATTCATACAACATTTATTTACCGGTAATGACTTTTTCCTACCTTTTGGTCCAACTACAACTGCAAACGTTAATGTATTTTACAATGTCATATGCCAACTCAAAGAAGTGCACAACTGTGAACTTTACTTTTGGAGACATAAATTCAAACCTCTAATTGTTTGGAGTGTTACTAAACAGCAGTTGATAAACTTAAAAACATGTACAAAGACAAAATTCTGAGAGATTATGAACAAATTCAAAACCTCTGAATGTAATCGCTGAACTGTAAGACGAATGATGCTGATTTTGTTTTGTGACCCGGGGAGGAGTTAGGGCGGAATGATGTGAAATCTCATTGCTTATTTAATTTCTTCATTTTTCAGTTGTGTGTTTTAAGGAAAAGATAATACAAGATTTATCTTCCCTCTGTTCCTTTTTGTTCATGTATGGAGAAAAAGATTGTGCAATGAAACATGAACAAATAAATTAATTAATTGATTAAATGAAACGTAAAGGTCTTGAATATTGCCATTCTCAAATATATTACAATTTGCAGCATTCTTGATGTTGTTTATCAACATTCTCCTAGACTTTTGGACTGTGGGAGGAAGTTGGGAGCACCCGGAGAGAACCCACGCATGCACAGGGAGAACATGCAAACTCCATGCAAAAATACTCCGGCCCCGGAATCAAACCTTCTTGTTGCAAGGCACTGCAGCACTCTGCAGCCCATAAAGCTCTATAGTTATAGTAATTTTAAAAATGTGAAAATGTTTAAGCCATTACTAGTTACAATATCCAAGTTTTTTTCTTCTTATATAAAGTACCTTTTACAAGGTTTCTCCTCCCCCTGCAGTCTTGAGTTGCTCCTATCCTGACAAGATTTACTCTGCGGTGCTCTGTAGAAGCGATACTTTGACAGGTATGAACTTTTTTCTGACTTCAGAGTCTTGGGAGTGAATGGTTTCTCTGGAGTAAAATGCTGGGAATGTTTTTCAAGCAAGTCTCCGCTGTAGGTCTTCTTTACAGGGTCCTGGAAGGCCTTGTAGAACCATTGATCTCTTGTAGCTAGCAGAGAACATGAGGTCTGCTTCCTTTGAAAAGCTGTTTCAGGGCTTCGGTACCTCCTCTCTGATGATGGGCAGGCATAATGGGAATTGGACGGATAAACAACATCCTTGGCATTAAAGGAGCTGTTGAATCTCGGGCTTGAGACGACGGAGCTCCTTGAGCAGAGGTAGGGGCGCTCACCATCCTGCATCCATTTAATCAAATATTGAGGAAAGGAAAGAATGTCATACAATGGTGTTAACAAACCTTACATGACTTAATCACAAGGATATTATTTGATCTCAAACCTGAGCTGAGAAGCAGGAAGGTTTGCAATCTCTGTCCAAAGAGGAGAAAGCTGAATGAGGACGACCATTTTTCCTCTGCTGTTCCTTTCTGATTTGGTCCTTGTCTGCAATTAAGATCGATCACCAATAACAAAAACCCACAAAAAACTAACAGGAAAATCCCCATCTGCCTTTTAATGGATTGCTTTATAAGATGAAATTGTAAACAAAATTGAGTTTAATTTGTTATAACTTGAACTAATCCAAACGCTGAAAAAGAGGTGTGATTCCTTTAAGAAGGACACTGTAGGAGAAAAGCCAAGGCTTAGCTTTGAATCAAATATTAGAGATTCCAAATAACACCATCATATCAGAATGCAAAAATAATGTGAATGGTTTTCTGATTTTTCATAAATTATTCAGATATTAACAGTTTTCCGAAGGGCTTTGGCACAGTTTATATAACCACCATCCCAAATACGTAGGATGGTTACAGGTTTATGCTTAGATTTATTCTTTTTATTAGTCTATTGATTTAACTGATCATTTTAGAAATATCCCTGAGGCCCTATAACACATTTCTCTGCAGAGTAGTGTTTAATTTTACTGAGCTTTTACAATGGGCCCAGAGAAATTGCTGCCTTTTAGTTGGGAGAAATCTAACATGATTCAAGATGTAGATATTTATATTCTAAGTCTATGCAGTTTTAATAGAACAGATTATTGTCATTACAGTGCCACAAGTACAAAGCAATCAAACGTAGTTTGCATCTATCCAGAAGTGCTATACAAAATATAAATATTTATTTACATATGCACAGAGACTATGTATGTATTGACTATAAATGGTATATATAAGCAAAGTATATATAAGATAAGCCTAATTAAATATTTTTATAAGTTATGAACCAAGCTGATAATGAATTTCATTATTTAAACAACATTCTGACACATGGTTACAATTTTGCTAAAGAAAAAAAACTATATTTATTTAGAAAATGTACCTTTTTTTTTATTTTAGCATGATGTAATAAAAGGCTACTTACATTTTACACTTTGCAACAGGCTTTTGGGTACTGAGGCATCGATAGCAGCTGCAAGTGAAAGAGAGAACCATAATTGTTATAGTGAAATCAAATAAACCTGTTTAAGATCCCTATATCTGTGTGGGTAAGAACAGCAATGTAGATCAGAGGTAAACAGAAAGTGAATCCGGACTTACTAGGACATAAATAATAAAAATGATCAAATTTGACTTCAGCAACCTAATGGGAAAAAAAATTCTAAATGAAAGTATTTGATAAATAGAGAGGAAGCTAAATGGGAAAAGCAACTTTTAAAAAGCAATTCCAGCCCACAAAAAACATCCTTGTTGAACTACCTTCATCTTAAATAAACTTCAAATCAATATCTCACATCACGTGGAATGGTTATTGATCACTTAGATTACCCAGGTTAGCACAGTTCTTTTAAGAACTTTGTCACCACTAGATTTCAAGCCTTTGGTCAGGACCATTCTGTCGTAGATTGCTGTATTTTTGAGTAAATATGACCCATATTGGACCAAGCTTATGCTCTCAGACAAATATCCTTACAATCACAGAGCAGTGTATGGTAGACTAAGTGAGCAAAAGAAGACAAGGTGCTGTGGCTCTAAAACAGGATCAAATCATCATGCTCCCATTGCCATGCTTAAAGGTTCGTTTGAAGTGTTTGCCCTGATATTCTGTTTGTTCATTTGCCAACCATGGTGCCATGTAGTAAACTTAAGACCTCAACATTTTATTCCAGAGGTCCTTTGGCTCTAAATAACACTTCCATGCTAGTTTTTGAGAGAATATGCATCTGGAAAACCATTAAAGACTCGTGTGATATTTTGTAATTACACTGTCATGAACTAAAACATTCATCAGACCAAGTCCCGTAGAGTACAAGATAAAAACTTTTGAGTTAAATATAATTTATCTCACCATCGCAGCCACTGATCAAGTGCCACATTAGCTTGGATGTCCTCTTCTAAAAAGACTTGCAGCTTTCTAAAATATTTTTACTTGTGAATAAGCTTTGTCATTGTATAGTGATTGTTTATAAATGTTATAATAACCCTTCTAGATTGATAGGTAGCGTCAATTTCTACTCTTATGTCATTGCTGGTGCATTTTCTCATTTGGAATGTTTTAAAGATGTATGCTGCAGTGTTGCTTTAATAAAGAGGTGGTCATGAGCTTTTCCTTTTTTGTTAAATATCAGGTAAGTATGTGATATTTTTAAGTAGAGATATAATTTAAATGTAAATACATTATAAAATCAAGCAAAGTAGTTCAATCTTTATTTTGTATGTCCTTATACATTATATCTCAAGATCCAGTGAACATATACTTCATTACTTGTTGACTGCATTTTTCAAATGAATCCCACCTTTAGCTGAGTAAATCTTTTTGTAATGAGACACCATGTGATCTTTAATGATGGACTGGGTCAGTTTGCTGGAGGATTGAGGGCAGAAAGCTAAAAAAAAACAAAAAACAGAAGCAATTAAAAATATAAAAAGATCACTTACATTTGTCAGGTTAAAGGGATGAATGGATGGTCAAATCATAACTGCATCAAATTTAAATTAGTTGGGACTCAATGGCTCTTACATTATGAAATATAAAGACAATATCTTCCTAAACCTCTGCAGGTTTACCTACAGCTAGTTTTTAATGTCTGCCTTTTCCCTCCAGAGCTGCTCTCCAATCCGGATAAAACACTTCCTAAAACAACAAAAGATTGAAAAGAAATTTCCAAAGATAAGTGAATATCTTCATGATTCTGTTTCAGAGTAGCATAAATCTACTGTAACAATTGAATTATCTTCTTAGGTAATAACGAAGTAATATATCATATGGTCTACTAAATACTAGGTACTGTGTTTTGATATAGTGAGAAAGGGTTAACTAAAGCACGGTGATACATATAAAGTTTATTCATCCTAATTTCGTCAATCAAATACCAAAAGAAGAACTAATAAAATGATTTCAGCTTTTTTTTTGTTTTTTATCATTAACGATCCGACCGAAACTGCGCCTCGCTATACAGAGCTACTCGATGCTAATATTTTCTGACCTGTTCTCGATCCCATTGAAGGTTTTAATTTAGCGATTCCCATTCTATTCAGAAATTTTTCAAAGGATTAAAGACAGAGGTCCAGAGGCCTCGGCTTGTTCAAATGCCAGCGTTCTAATACGGCAAAACTAAGCTAGTTACCAACGAGCTTCGACAAATGCCGGGCAACGCTTTACCGTCGCCATGCTGGTTGCTAGGAATGTGTCGTCATCACGTTTGTGCGTAAGAGACTAGCGAGGGATGCAATGGGTGAGACGAACGGTAAACGTTTCTCAAATTACCATAGTTGGCTAAAGTATATTTATACATAAATTTTATATATATATATATATATATATATATATATATATATATATATATATATATATATATATATATATATATATATATATATATATATATATATATATATATATATATATATATATATATATATATATATATATATATATCTACAAAGAGTAAGGCAGGTCCTGAAAAGTCAGCTGAAGGGGAAAACAAAATCCAAGCCATCAACACATATGCCCTGCCAATCATCAGATACCCTGCTGGTATAATAAACTGCCTCCTCACAATGCATGGAGGGTTTCACCCCAAATCCAGGATGAAACAACTAAGATCCAGGAGTACATGAGAAAGATGGCCCCCAAAGACAAATGGCTTGGTGAATACCTCAGGCAGGAGAAAACTGAAAGTGAGGACAAGAAAGATGAAGGAGAACCATCATGGAGGGACAAGCCGCTGCACGGCGTGTACCACAGACAAATAGAAGAAGTGGCTGATATCAAAAAATCCTACCAGTGGCTGGAAAAGGCTGGACTGAAGGACAGCACAGAGGCACTAATCATGGCAGCACAAGAACAGGCACTCAGTACAAGATCAATAGAGGCCAGGGTCTACCACACCAGGCAGGACCCCCGGTGCAGATTGTGCAAAGATGCCTCTGAAACAATACAGCACATAACAGCAGGGTGTAAAATGCAGGCAAGAAGTGCATACATGGAACGCCACAACCAGATAGCTGTCACAGTGTGGAGGAACATCTGCCATGAGTATGGGCTGAAAGTCCCAAGATCAAAATGGAAGACACCTTCTAAGGTAGTTAAGAATGACCGAGCTAAGATCCAATGGGACTTCAAGATCCAGACTGACAAACAGGTGATGGCTAACCAACCAGACATTGTGTTGATCGACAAACAACAGAAGAAGGCAGTAGTGATAGATGTGGCAATGCCAAGTGACAGCAACATCAAGAAGAAGGAAGACGAGAAGCTTGAAAGAGGAGCTAGAATAGATGTGGGAAGTAAGAGCAGCAGTGGTGCCAGTGGTAATTGGAGCACTGGGGGCTGTGACCCCCAAACTGGGAGAGTGGCTTCAGCAGATTCCAGGTAAAACATCAGAGGTCTCTGTCCAGAAGAGTGCAGTCCTAGGAACAGTTAAGATACTGCGCAGAACCCTCAAACTCCCAGGCCTCTGGTAGAGGACCCGAGCTTGAGGATGACACATACTACCCCACGAGAGGTGAGAAAATAGTTTATATATATATATATATATATATTTTTTTTTTTTTTTTTTTTTTTTTTTTTTACAGTTGATCTAAAACAAATTAAACAAATTATTAAAATCTTTTTTTTTAAGATTTGAATACACGTGTTTAAATTTGTTTTGCACCATTCCACCTTCTTGAATGGAAGACATTTTTGATGTGCAACTCACAGAACACAATTTGTGTACTTGTACTACAGAATTTCAAGAGGTGTAACTTTTTTTGTAATTGTGACAGATTAAAAAATATACAATTACAAAACACCAAAGTTACAATGCACAAATAGTTTTGCAACAATAGTTCTGGACCATTTGGAGCAGAACTGAGAATTTAAGAGGTTTTTTATGTGTAACTTGTAGATCAGAATTTGTGTACTTGTACTTAAAATTTGGTGTAAAAAAATTGTAGTTGTGATTTTTTTTATTTTTTATTCTACAGATACAAAACATAGAATGTAACTCTCCCTACAACTTCAAATTCACACTTACAATGCACAAATAGTTTTGAAACAAACTAACCTTCATAGAGGAGGCCTATCCTTTCTTTGCCTGTAACAATGGCAGCTATATTTGCTGTTATAAGTGGGTAAAAAGTAGTTGAGAAAATCCACTTGAAAAACATCTGTGCAGTCAGTTCAACGAGATTACGATCCTGCATTCAAATATTATTTCTCTGTCGGAGCCGCTCAGACCCGAGTACACATGCGGTGAACTGTCACTGGGAATCCCTTTCAACGGGAGCTCCTGGCCCGGTCTCCTCTTTGCAGGGGCTGGAATGCGTTTTTTTTCGTGTACGTAATCCAAACTGAATAACCAGCATAATAAAAGCGAACATATTTTGCCAGCAGGTTTTGACATTTTAAGTTAATTTATGTGTTAATAAATCATTTCAGAGGAGGGATCATAGTGATCTGCATCACTGTGTCAGTCTCCCTGCCAGCTCCCAGATCAGCTTCTGTGAGTGGTTGATGTGGTGCGTCGAGCAGCAAAACTTCAATTTTTCCAACTCCAGCAGCTGCTGCCTCTGCTGCTTGCGGTCTGCAAGCATTAGTGTACTTCAGAGTTAGTGTACTTCTTACAGATTTTTTTTATTTTCATATTTATCAAAACAAGACCGAGCATAACTCGGTAGAAAAAAAAACAACTGTAATTTTGGTGGGACTAAGACTAAATGGGGGGGGGGGGGTTGCAGTCACTACTTCAATAGTAAATGTTAGAAAACAAGAAATAACCATCAATTAGAGCCAAAATCTTCTGCTTTCTTGATTGTACACAGACAACATTTACACTTTGTAACATAAACGAAAGCTCTCTGGTGTACATAAACAATTGTACGGATATGATGAGAGCACTTAAATGATTGTTTATTTTATTTTTTAAAGCAGCTTCCAACAAAATGCAGTTTTTTTTTTTCTAAAAAGCAGGTTTTTTTTTGCAATTCTAAGCAGCAGGGTGCGACGGAGCGCAAGATCCAGTTGTTACTTTAAACAGCAGAAGAAGAAGAGGCCACCGAACCTGAAGAAAAGCACGCGTGATTCGCGCTAACTGGAAAGCAAGATGGCGGTGGCTGTGCGGAGCTTGCAGGACCAGCTCGAAAAAGCCAAAGAAAGCTTGAAAAATGTGGACGATAATATTCGTAAACTGACTGGACGGGACCCCAATGAGTCACGGTACGCGGGTGATAAACACATGGATTTGCTTTATTCGATTAACGGGTGTTATTGAGGCTCCTAATTTTTCGGCGGTGTGTGCTAACTTCATTAGCAGGAGGGGGTAGTCACTCTGCTGGAAGCAATAACCTCCCTCTGTTTTCGACATGCCAATTGTAACTGTACTCAATATAATTTAGTTAATATAAACATTATCTGTTAACAGTATATTTTTTGTATTATAATAAGAGCAGAACAGAGTAGGCTTACTCCGCTCATAGCAGTCAATCATCTGAATGTCACCTCCCTGTTTGGTATCGCAGATTTGTTCCCCTCTCAGTGAAGGAGTGGAGCAGTACTTATTCATTCCTCTCTGGTTGGTGTTATCTTGCAGTGGTGATTCTGTTGACGCTCTGTTTTTCCCTTGTTTACAGACCGGGTCAGCTCCGTCGGCTCAGCGGCCCCATGGCAGGCCTAGGAGGAGGTAGAGGCAGAGGAATCAATCTCCTCAGGTAATGATGGAGGCGATCACATTTAGAATTCAACTGAAGGAGGAGGGGGATAACATTTCAGATGATGCCTTCCTTATTTTTATCGCTGGGGAATACTAATATAATTTAAATTATAAATTGATAGTTCCAATGCCACAGCTTCTGCATTAAATTGAATGAGAAAAAAAACAGCTTACTGATTTTACATACTCCATTTTTTCTTCTTTTAATTCAAGCCTCATTTATGCAGGGTTGAAAATAAGCTACAGTGTTTTCAAGCAGGCAATTTGTCCCAAAGATCTTTTTTTATTATTATTCTAAGCAGAAATTATTTAAAATGGTTAACATTTGTAATCACATGCTACAAAAAATGCACTTAGTCTATGAATATCTCATGTTTGAGTTCACTGTACAAACGTAAGGTCTGCATCCTAAAGTTTAGACGTCAAAGTGTGACTGCAAAGAACAATGCTGCCTTCTCTAAATTGAATTGAACAAAACTGGTTTAAGTTTAGTAAAATAACAAGACAGTAGTTTTTATTTCTCCTAAACATCACCTCTTCATTGTTCCTAATATTTTGTCTAGACGCAGTCTCTCTGATATGGGAAGTGGTGGCCCCCCTGCCAAACAAAGGGACATCGAGGGAGCTCTGCTGAGGTGAGATCTTCTTTGGCATTTAGCGTTAAGACCAACATACTCATTTCAGACTTGATACCTCAGGTGTGCAAAAAAGCGTGGAGATCAGATATTCTTTGGATGAATTAAAGACTTTATTCGAAACAAAAAGTTAAGATAAGTTTTATTTGTACATGTTTATATATTGATCAACTGTTAAAAGTAGTCTGACCCTTCCCCCTATTATAAACTTTAGTTTGAAAACGGGACTAGTGGATATCCAGGTTTTGCTAGTTCTCTGGACATGCACTAGTCAGGATTTTGGGAGTCGAGAGCAGATTACAAACTCAACATCTGCTGATCACAGCACCAGATCCATTAATCCTTAGACTGCTGTCTCATGTATGTTGACATTCTACAATTTAGAATCAATATTACCAGATGAGAAAGTATCATGAACTGACCTTAGTTTTGGTGGAGGAGGCAGCAGAGACTAGCTTTTTTTTTTTTATCACAATGAAAGAGCTTTTTAAAAAAAAACTGTTTTACTTTAGCCATACCATACCAACTTTATTTATGAAGCACTTTATGCACCGGACAGGACCAAAGTGCTGTACATGATCATAAAATACAATAAAATTATAAAATAAAAAAATAAAAATAAATAAAAAATGAGCGTAAAATACAAATTGGTATACAAAGTAAAACCTCTCAAATTGTGCCAAAAGCCAAGGAGAAAAGATGAGTCTTAAGAAGGGACTTAAAAACAGCAAGAGAAGAGGCCTGTCTTATGCTCAGAGGCAGATCATTCCACAGCTTAGGAGCTGCCACAGAAAAAGCACGGTCTCCTCTGAGCTTGCATTTTGTCTTTGAGACCCTCAGAAGCAGCTGATCAGCTGACCTCAGGGAACGGGAGGGTGTATAAGAAGGCAACAGCTCAGACAGATAAGGGGCAAGGCCATTAAGAGTTTTAAAAACAAAAGAATAAAAAAAAAACCCATAGAAGAACTGTTTAATTATCCTATGTCAAGCATCAACATTGACCAGCAGTCGCCTTCTCTTCCCCTCTCTGGTGCCGCCTGCCCATAGGCTCATCTGTTCCCCTGTTGTCATTCTACCACCTACAGAGTTAGGATCTAGAGGTTGACCTCGGCTAGGCATAGTCTCTTGGTGCTCATCCTCTTATTCAATCTGCTGTGCTCCTTGGATCCTCCACAGTTGGCCCAGCTATCCTCGGTCAGCTGTAGCCTTTCCTCGTCCCGGTGCCGTTTCCCCCTGGTGGACTTGGCCAAACTTTCACTTTGCTCCTCTGCGCTTTGCACCATAACTCTGCTGACTGTCAGTTGTGGTGCTCTTTCAGCTGCCGTTCTTAGACTGATTCCCCAATGCTACTGTCTGTGCTCAGGATGCGGTCTCCTCTTCCCTCTGTTGTCTGGGTGATTTGTTCCCATGTTTTGATGGTCTTTTGTTTCCAAAATAGTCTTATTTTATTTATTGCTTATAAAATGAAATGAAAGTTGTCACCAGCATGTTGTCTTGCTATAGGAATTCAAATGGAACTGAACCAAAAGATATTGATTTGAATTCCCGGATATTTTTATTTATTTATTTTTTTTTTACAGGGGTACAATTGACCGGGTTTCATGGCCTTTTGTAGCTGCTTTCATTCGTCTAATTTTTTTTACACATGGATTTGTGTATGGATTCCTGAGGTTATGTGTGGACTGGGTGAATTGCTGCTGATCTCTTTAGGAATATATTACAAAAGAGTCTAATTTTAACCTACTGTAAATCTTAGATTTGTTGTTTTGAATATTTGCTGTCATATAATTCAGGTGAAGATCTTAAGTTTTCTGTTATGTTTTGGTAAATCCTAGCTGTAGGTCTGTATCTTTTTTTTAATGGTACTTTTCTGTGCAGGCTGGCAGGTGATCAGAGGGCCAGGAGAGACGTGCGTCACGATAGTGACGCCGAGGATGATGACGATGTCAAAAAAGTAAGATGTGACATTTGTTTTAGTTTTACTTCACTCGATAAATATCTCTTCCATGTGTTTTTTTCTAACTTAAAAATAGCTGGCTTGCATTTAGTCTTTTTTTTTTTCTTCCCCATCCTCAGCCGGCGTTGCAGTCGTCTGTTGTAGCTACCTCTAAAGAGAGAACACGCCGGGACCTCATCCAGGACCAAACCATGGATGAGAAGGGCAAACAGAGGTAACGGCTCTAACACCAGGGGAAAAAATGAAAAAATCTGCACCACCTGAGGCCTGTACCACAAAGCAGGATTACTGGGTTAGCAGGACAACTTTAGGTTTAACCCTGACTTCTCGGTACCACAAAGCTGGATTCATTTTTAGTGAGGCTAATTACCATGGTAAGCTACTCTGATTCTGCTGCCATCAGCTGTTCAGAAAACGATTACATGACCTTCCATTGAAGACCCAATTTAATTAGGAGCACAAAAAAGAGCTTAAACAAAATATTACAATAGAATAATTCAAAAACCAACAGTACTCTTGACAAATTAAATGGTTTTTAAAATGTTTTTTTTTTTCCTTCACTTTTACATACCGGCCTTTCGCTATTCTGTATTAGTTTTCTCCTGTATAACCTCTGGTATTCTCTTACTTGTATAATTGATATATGAAGCTTTAAAAAAAGAAAACAATGAGCGCTCAAACTGATTGTACAACAGACTGCTCTAACAGCATAAATGAGAAGGGTAAATGTTGTACTGAAGCATACTCAATGGGGTACAGATGGTTAGACTGCCAATTTAAAAAAAAAAAAAGTTGATGCGTCAGGATGGTTTCTCTCAGATGAACCACATTAATATGTAATTGCGTCTCTGACTTCCAACTTTATTGGAGTTCTTACATTATTGAATTAAAATCCAACTAACTAGATGACATGTTTTCCTTTTTAATCTTTTTTCCAAGTCCTCTCCACTTCCGATGGGTTTAAGCTGGGGGCATGAGATGCGATAAATATGGAGTACAGTGATTTGGATGCATTGCTGTGTTAAATTAAAGCAATGTTTAATTTGTGCATTTATGTAGACAGCAATCCTTTGATTTGGTCTCTTTTCATGCCGCCACCTGCTGTTTTTTTTTTTTTTTTTTTTTTTTTTTTTCTCCCCTCGTATTTATGGAAGATGGGTTTTTCTTCTGCACTGGAGAAATGCGGCACATTCTCCCTGCTGTGCTCATGATTGTGATTGGTCTGCTACCTCTAAACCACCCTTTATACATGCACATACACAAAACGGTCACAGCTGGCTTGAGTCAGCCAGTTGATAACCAGCCTAGTGGTGCTGCTGATCCTGAATGCCTTTGTTGTGGATTGTTTAGACTGGGACAGATCCTGCTAGGTTCAGTTCACTTTGTGGTACAAGCCTTAGGACTTGTAAAAGGCATATATTCACCATTTTGATCTACATGTCAGGAACCGGCGCATGTTTGGCCTACTCATGGGGACGCTGCAGAAATTCAAACAAGAATCGAACGTCTCTTCTGAGAAGGTGAGAATGTAATGCCCCATCATGAGAATACCCCCATCCAGAGGGTGTGTTTACCAGAACTTGCTCTTTTACTTGTTATATTCTGTCTAAATCACAGCTAAAGCGACGTTCAGAGATTGAGCAGAAGCTCGAGGTTCAAGCTGAGGCTGAGAGGAAAAAGGTTGAGAATGAAAAGAGAGAACTGTTTGAGGAAAGGAGAGCCAAGCAGACAGAGCTGAGACTGCTGGAACAGAAAGTAGAATTAGCTCAGCTGGTAAGAAAATATTTCTTTTTAAATGATGTACATTTTATCTAAACAAACTGTGTGAATTTCATATAATTTATTCTGTCTCCAACCATAGCAAGAGGAGTGGAACTGCCATAATAATCATTTGGTGAAATATATCCGCACTAAAACCAGGCCTCATATTTTCTACCGGCCTGGGAAGATGTGTTCCGCCACGCAGAAACTCCTCGAAGAATCCACCAAGAAACTTAATGGTCAGTGGCTTTCTTTCCTGAATGTCCCCCTCTAAAGTTTGAATCTCAACATAGTTTGTTCATGGAACACAACCCTGGAAGAACTGGTGGTAATCTCTAAACTCTGAACCCAGCCATGGGGGTTTCTTATCTAGCAGCAGGTGGTGGGAAGAGGACTGTCCAAAAGCTTTGCTCTGTATGTCTGGGAGTATGTCAAGAAATAGGGCTAGAACCAAAAAAAGCCTAATGTAACATATTTGGAGCTGATTCTACCTACTGTGACCACTACTATAAAACAAGTATACTCTGTAGTATGACTCCCACAATGGCTCACTTTTTTAGTGCAGTGTTCTCTGTAAAAGTGTGGAGAGCACCTGACTGCTACTAGTACATAAGAGATTTGGATCCATTTCAAATACTACTCTTTTGCCTACTAGGAATTGGGACTGGGCAGTTAATTACATTACATTTGTAATTTATCTGCAGTTTAGCAAAACATAATTTTCAAATAATGGAGGCACTCCGTTTTAGTCATGATACATCTAATGCATAAGAAACATTTCTCCCTCTAGCCCTAAAGCCCTCATTGGGCTTCTGTTGCTCAGAGGGATGTTGATTCATCACTTAAGTCCTAGATGTCTCCTCATAACTGATAAACTAGCTGACTCTGTAACACAACCAGCTGCAAACATTTTGGGGTTTCTTTGTTGTGGTTGTAAAATAAAAAAAAAGGCTAGTTTTTGATGCTATTATATGCTATTTATCATTTTCAATTCTAAAATTTAAGGAAAATCAGATTTAGTTGGTAAATGATCTAACCTACTTGATAATAAATGGATTAGATTTATTTTATTTTTCACTCTTTAACCTTTTTTATGGTGGTATTTAAGATATTGAAGTTTTGTTTCATTTTTATGAATGACACTGACCTATGCGCTGTTATCTCTGTCTAGGTATCTTTGAGGAAAGGCGTGAGGCGTTTGCCGAGCATTTGAGTAAGATGGAGGCACGTCCCCGGCGACAGCAGAATCGCGAACAGGATGGCAGCTCAGCCTCAAGGATGGACCGCCCGGCGGAGGGTAAGCCAGCAGGTCAGATAGAGAAGCGGACAGGTAAAAGGGGGGAGTCTAGGAGGGATGAAGAGGAAGAAGAGGATGAGGAAGATGAGGAGGAAAAGGATAAGGAAGGTGATGGAAAGGAAATGGGAGGGAGAGAGGGTGAAGAGAAGGAGGAAGGAGAAGAGGGGTTAAATAAAATGGAAGAAGTGGAGGAGGAAGCAATGGAGGTTAGTGAGGAGGGAAGCAAGGAGATAGGTGAGGAGGACCAGAAGGGGAGAAAGGAATCAAGTCCAGAGTCTGAGGAGAATGAGGTAGAAGAGAAGGAGGATGGGGGGCGGCAGGAAGAGATAGAAATAGACAGGACGCAGGAGTCCACAGAGATCCAAGAGGAAAAGACTCCAGATGTTCAGAGCTCTAAAGCAGCCGTAAGCAGCCAAAAGACCCCGGACAGAAGTGATCTGCCCTCTGAGAGCCTCGCTCCCCAGGAACCAGCAGAGCAGTCCCCTGTGACGGAGGCTGCCCCTAAAACCCAAGAACCCCAAAGGGCCTCCATCACCCCTAATCAGGATGTAGCCAGCCCCGCGCAGGAGAACAGCGAGTTGCAGTCCAGCCTTCAGGAGTCCACAGTGGAGAGAAAATCCGAGGAGAACGAGGTCCTCCAAAAGCTGCCCGATTCCAAGGAGACCCCAGTACCTGCTCTGACAAAGGAGGACGACCAAGTCAGAGGGAGAAAGAAGGAAAAAGAAGTGAGGAAACGTCGCAGCCGTAGCAACAGTTCCTCCTCCTCTTCATCTGGGTCATCCTCCAGCGGTAGCTCATCTTCATCCTCAGGATCCAGCAGATCCTCGTCGTCATCGTCATCCTCCTCCTCCTCATCGTCCAACAGCAGCAGCCGGAGCCGTGACGGCGGCAAGCGAAAGAGGAGGCCGTCGGATAGAAGCAGAGACAAGAAGAAAGAGGAGAGGGGTCAACAAAAGTCAGGAAGAGGAGACTCGAAGAGGAGGAGGAGGAGCGAGGAAAAGAAGGGCAGGCCTTCTCGGAGTGATAGGGAGCAAAAAGATAGAGACAGGAAGGACAAGAGACGCTGATGTTGAAAAAAGGTGACTTAATCTGCTACGTTCATTGTGATTACGGTTTTAATGCATTTTTCACTAAAATCACCAATTTTTTTTTTTTATTGTAAGTTTTAAGTCAGCTTAAAACATTAAAAAATGTCTTATAGGCCACATTGTTTGTTAGTAGCCAGTTTAAAATATGTGGAAAACTTATTTCTGTCCCTTTTTCCTCCTGATCGACTGTCACTGCAAATGTGTCCGATTTGAAATGGTTCGTCATTTTTAATTTGGCGTGATATTTAGGTAGTAAGAGACTCCGTGGGGCTAAAAGGAGCTTCTTTCTATAACAGCACAGCTGATTTGTTTTGGTAGGAATGATTCGGATTTGGTTCCGTTGAGGTCGTTGCAACTTGGTTAATTCTCATTGACACCATGTGTGCTTTTTATCCAGCTGTTTGGATTCTCAATTTTTTTTTGTTTTGTTTTTTTTTTTTTTACTTCATGATCTGCTCAAAATAAAGTTTTAAAGGGGAACATTTTCAGTTGTCTTTATTTTGAATGAACTCCCACATCTGTGGCATCACTGATCAATATTCAGTTTGTTGCCAATGCAAATGAGTTTACTACAACCCTTAAACTTTTTAGTAAAGATGTCAACAGTGTGAGTTTTGTCAGAAAGCTTAAAAGTCCAATGTACACTTGATAACTGACTTGGAAATCAAATAAAGCTCAAAATGAATTGTTCTTGTAGGGAGATCAAGTGTTCAGTCCTGTTTCCTGACCTTAAAGTATTATGAATGCCACCTGGGGCTTAATTTGAGTTGGAAAAATTGGTAAAGACACTTAAACCAAAGTGTGAAATGCATAACCGGTTACCATAAATGCAGGCAAGTAGGAATCTTATTGATTAGTGTAGGGGCCTCTGGACATTCCTGATGCATAGGAGCTAGATGATTTGAAACAACCCTAAGTAAGATTTATTCATGCGTATTGTTCATGTGAAAGTACACACCCTAGTTTGTTTTAGAATGCAGATTATCAGCCGTTCTCTGCGTTTTTGTAGATGTTTTCTGGAAGGCTGTAGTCCAAATTATTACAAGTCATCCATGTGTGTTTGTCAGGTAATATGGAGAAGGCTAAATGCTTTTCAGATTGGCTCATGGCAGTCTGGAGTTCCTTTTCTACCTACTAAGTTGTTTTAATTGTTGACCCTGTGAAGGAAAATTATCTAGGAGCCATAATGACCAATTCAGAATCGGTGCATGTGTTAAAGAAAGCAAGAATTCATATTTGGTGTTCTTACCATCCAGTCTGAGTTGGATAAATTTGGAGAAAAAAAAGCATGAGACGTCCGGTCATAATTAAAAGGCGTTTAGTGTTCAGTTGGGCTCAGTATAAATGTAAGCCCAACTTTTCGGGTTTTAAAACGGGAAATTTCTCCCCCCCCCCCATCTGCTAAACAATTGCCATCATTAAACATTTCACAATTTACATAAAAATCTAGACACTTGATGGTGTCAGAAAAAGACATTTAAAACAAAAAAAAGTATGCCACAAGACTGCATCTTATAAATCCTTTTATTTTAGAATCTTTTCTGAATTCACTTGCACATTGCTGGTCATGTAACTGGTTTTGATTGAAACATGTTTCAGCCTTTGAATGTTCTTCTGTAGACTCTGGTTGGATAATGAGTAAAACGTCTTCTGATCCATTTTGCACATGTGGTCTTGAGGGTAAAATCAGTCAACAGTTCGGCTTTTATCTCACTCTGGACGGTCTGCAAGATCAACCTGCTCAAAGTATCTGCAGGTAAAAAAAAAAGGAAGAGCTCATAATGCAAAGGACAAATCTTAACCCTAAGAAGAAGTCATGTTTAAAACCACAAACTGTTTTTTCCTGTCTGTATTTTACTTCATATTGTACTTTTAAATATGTTATGCATGGTAGAGGTTGTTTTGAGTCACCTTGCAACTAGACAGATAAGCAGGTTGAGAGCAGGCAGGTTTTCATCGTCCTGGCTGTTCTGTTGAACAATAGAAGCAAAGAGGGGGTGAGTAATATCTAAGATTAAAACATTTATGGAAAGCATAAAACAAATAGGAAGATGTCCATATATAAAGGGAATGAATATGACTGAAACTTTCAGCTTTGCAGCTATAAACCTGTAGATCAGCAGCCTACCATTGTGCTCCGAAGCTGGGCGCATCTCCTAGCCAGCTGTCTAATGGAGGAGTGAGCCTCAGGCAGCAGGGGCTTCTCCAAGCAGGCCAAAAGAGCATACAACCAACGGCCCTATTGATGGGTTAAAAAATTAAAACTTTGTTGTAATGCAGGAGATGCGAAACCATATAAGACAATTTGGGAGCTGAGTGAGCAGATGATGTGGAGGTTTATGGTTACATGCCTATAAAACTAGAACTGCAGTAGTTAACGTGGCGTCATCGACCAGCTGAGAAAGCCCGGAGTGAAAAGTTTGTCAAACTCACCAGCTGTGGGACAAATTCTCTTTCTTCAAACCAACTGATTAGGATGTCCAGCAGCATCAGTACTGTGGACTGAAGATACACAGAGCCAAAAAAATAAACCAACAGTTAAAAAGCAGGAATCTGGGGTGACGAGCACAAAACTTACCTGATTGAATCTGCTAATGATGCTTAGCAAGGGAGGAAATCCAACCTGAACACAAACATAATTAGTAAATTGATATCCTATGTTCTCATTAAATTAAAAGAGCATTCCCACCACAAGTCTCTATAATATCCTTAAAGGTATAGTGGAGGATTTTCACAATTTTCCGAAAAGCTGCGCCCACTCCCGGAATGTACGGGGACGCAATGATAAGACGATCGCTCGGATGGATCTCATCTGACCCATATTTATATATAAAGCTTCCCCGCAAATAACACTACTGGTACATTAAATATAGAGCCTGCTTGTATGCGTTTGTGTGCTGCAGTGGAAATTTGGACATGTTTGTAGGGTAAATAAGGATCTGTGGCCACCCTATTACTAATAACGATGCAAATCACAAAATAAATAAACTTAACTTCCATGAAAAGTTACAATATAGAGGTAGATAATTTTATTAGCGGTTATGTGAAATGGTTTTCTCCAAATAGCATACCAAGCTTTTGAGTAGAAACTTTGCAACCGAGAAATCAGTGGGAAGCCCGACCTGTGATTTCAGTGTACACCATCAAGGGAAAGAATCTCCCAAAAAACACTGGTCTTGTTTCTTTCTTCTGAGGCCTTTCTCTTCTTCTCATGCCCTTCGTAGACACTTTTTCTCTCACTAACCTCAACCATTTTCAAAGAGCCGCGGTGATAAAGGCGAGCTTCAATACCACTTATACACCTGAAAGTGTGCATGCGCAGAAAAAGATAACTGCCTGGGGATGAGCTCGTAGGACGGCTTTACGTAAACATATCACCAGCATGATTGACAATTATGAGGACCACTTATTTTGATGATCCACCCGGAAAAAGTGTTAAGGGTTAAAAATAAAAAGCTCCCAAATTTGATCAAAATCAAGTTCTTAGGTTTTACCAGTCGATTTATAGTAGAAACACTGAGGATATTAATTAAACTAAGGAGTGGTCAGGTTTAAATATGGAGTCTGGAAAAAATAGTTGCCCAAAAGACGATGATGCATAAAATAGGACATTCTAACTATGGGCATCTTTCGTTAAACCTTTGGGGAGAAGTTCTGATAGCCATTCCAGACAGTTGGATGGGATATAAAAAAAATTTCAGTTTTAGTTTAATAAATTTTAAGACCTGAAAACCACTCATTTCAAACTCTTCCTAACTGCAAATAAAGCCCAAGTCTCATGGATGAGGTTTAATAACCTTGCTGTAGTCCAGTGCTGGCTCCTGGGCTGCGTCTGTGAGACCAGATGACGAGGGACCCAGGTAAGTCGCCTCTCCTAAACAGAACCTCTTCCAACCCTCTTCATCTGTCAGCTTTGGCTGTAAAACAAAAACATTGAAAGGCTTCTAAATCGCCTTGGTGATCACCAAACTCAAACACAACACGGCATCCTGCTGTACATGTGATCTTACCATCTGTACATTGTCATCCAGAGTGTGATTACTCCAGTGTGTCCTGTTCTTAGTGATGCTCTAAACATCAAGTGGCAAGCAAAATTATACATAAACGTATAGTTTTGATGATAAATCAGTTGTTTAAAATGTGTGGATATAACCATAAGTAATAATATGCAAAAGGAAGGTTTTTTTCATACCAGCCTTACGTCCGAAAAATTACTGACTTGGTGCTGCTGCCAACTGAGGCTGGGAGAGAAGCCTACAGGAGCAGCAAGACAGCCTGCTACCTGCAAAACAACAAACATGTTCCAGCTATTTATTAAGCATCCTGCGAAATTACTCAAATGTATTTAACTTTTCCATGTTTTGTAGGGTTACATCAATAGATGTAATTAGGATTTTTATGAGAAAAACAAAACTGCATAATATGAAGTGACCAGATGAACCTCTATTAGCCAGAATAAATGTTCTTGTTTGCAGTGATGGAATGTAACAAACTACAGTTTTTTTTTATTATCTTTAACTGAGTCATTTTTTGAGGGGGTGCTTATAATTTTCACCTATAATTTTCAAGTCAAATATTGTGCTTTTTACTCCACTTCATTTGGAAGAAGCTGGTAGTTCCTTGTTCCTTTAGCCTCAGCTTAGCTTTGTAATCCGCTGTTGCTGTTTTTCTCTCTTGAAATTCAATTTCAACACACAAGACAAAAGCCCAAAGGACTGAATTTGGACAGCACTGTTTCAGAGATTTTATGATATTCTACAAATTTGGGAAACTCAGGCCCCATATTTGTAGTTTATAAATGTTATTAGGGTGTTAGTTGTTGCCATGTGGCCAACCCAGATTCAGCCTTAAAACCTCTATTCCATAGTGACAGTGTGAGCAGAAGCAAGACACTCTTGTTTGTTTTTAAATAAGAAATAAAAATCAAAATATCTGCCCCCTTGTTGCATTTTATGCTAAAGTTCTTTACAAGTGTAGAATATGTAGCAGGTAGTTCTATGCATCAACACATCAGGTGGTTTCTGGAAGTTACAAGGTTCTGTTGGGATAATTATCATTGAAGATGTGTGAGTTTATTACACCCTGGTGTGGCCGGCCTGTTGCTCGTCAGAACTGAGGTTTTAATCTAACTAGGACATTTCCTCTGTCTAAATATAAACAGTTATAATCTTCATTCTGTATGTGGCAAAGATTTGGAAATTAAATGAGATTAGCGTCCTTCAGCTAAGAACAAAGTGTAATATTTTGATAAGGCTGCAGCCATGGATGTCTACTCATCTGCTAATGTGTATGATGTAAAATATGATGATGTGGCAGAATGGAGATGTATAAAATGCCTTTTTAACTGTTAATCAGGGCCACTTCCTGGGAGGTGAGTCCAGAGGTCAACAGCTGCCTTCTGTAAACTCTAAACTTTCTCTGATCTGAGTAAGATTACAATTTATATTAGAATTGGTTGTCATGTTTCCTGGTTATTTAATACATATAAGTTGTGAAATGTTATTTAAAGAGTTTGTCCCAAGTGATCTCTATTCAGGAAAAAGAACCGGAAAGATCATCAGGGTGCAAACACAGAGCCTATCTTTAACAGTTCTTTAAAATTACTCTGAAATTTAGACAGAAAAAAAAAAATATTAGAAAAGTTCATTTGTTTTTTCGACTACTTTTAAATGCATATACTTTTGAATACTTAAGTATTTACAAATGTGAATACTTCCAATACTTTAACTTGAGTAGATGTTTGACTGAGTAACTTTTACTTATAGTTGAGTAAAACTTGACTATGAGTATTAATACTTTTACTCAAGTACTACTGTTGAGTACTTCATCCATAACTGCTTGTTTGACTTAAAAGCTACTTTACTCTTTCTCATCATCACAACATTCCCACTGTAGTACATGGTAGCGCCACCATGGGAGATCCTGTTGTCAAGCAGGACAAGGAAGATGGAGCTTGACTGGTTTTGTAAGGAACATTTTTAAAGCAGCTGTTGTGGGTGTCATAAAGTACCAGTACAATGCATGATCTTTAGTGTTTGTAACGTAGGAATATGTTATAAAGTGCTAGGAGGATGAAAGTTTGTGAAAGAGAGATGTGCCCTACTGTTTGCATCAAGTCCGGTGCATTGTGTTGTGTTTATGAATATAACCAAATTCCTGGTCCATTGTGTACATTCACTTACAGAGACGTTAACTGTTTGCTTCTTCAGTTTCTTTGGGTCGATTTTAGCAACCACCACATCAGGACACAGTGATGCCTCCAGCCTTAAATCAAGGATAAATACATGAACCGTGAGAGGCAGCAGGTGGGATTTATCCTGTGTCAGGATAGACTGGATTGAACTAAAAGGTTCTGAGCTAAACGTACTGGACCTGTCGGAGATATTCTTGGGGGTTCCTTGGTGGTCCACTAAGGTCCAGGTCTTCGGTATCTTCTCCACAGTCCACCGGCAGCAGCCTCGGCATTAACTCCTCCACGTCCGACTTCATCTTCTGACAAAAACTTTCAAAATATTACCTAATGACACAAAGTTATGGCTTTCTTCTCCTCGTTAATTTGAATAACAGGCGCCATGTTGTTTGTTGAGGCGATTGGTGATGAGGTCATTTTTGTGCGCGAGGTTGCCACGGTAACCGCCTCACTATTTTAATTCTTCTTTTTTTATGGCAACTTATTGATGCGCATTACCGCCATCTACTGGAATGGAGTGTGGTCGAAATGATTCTGTATTTCTGTCTTTTTTTTATTATATGCCTGCTATTATTGTTGTTTCGTTTGTTTGTTTTTTATGTGGCTCCGTAAAGTTATTTTAAATTATTTGTGACTTTTCCGTGAAACCAACATATTAAACTGTACACTTGAAGGGCATCTTTTTAAATGCACTATCTATTAGATCAAAGGCCTTTCCTGCTTTGGATTTTTATTAGTGCATAAGAATTTTGATATACATGTGCATATAATACTAAGCCACGCCCTCTATAAATGTTGTCTAATATATTAAAAAAATATTCAAGAAATTGGATTTAGTTAACAGTATCATTGTAATGAGCCTAAATTTATATGTTCAAAGTACTTTCATTTTAAAGGTTATGAGTTCGGAAACTACTTTTTTGTTTTAGTCTATAACATTAAATCCTACACAGATGCTTATAGTGCTTTAAAATTGTGAAAGAAAGAAAGAAAGAAAGAAAGAAAGAAAGAAAGAAAGAAAGAAAGAAAGAAAGAAAGAAAGAAAGAAAGAAAGAAAGAAAGAAAGAAAGAAAAGCTCTAAGACAGAATTTCAGTAGTCACCGATTGTGTGTTGAATTTTATAAATTCCAACTTCTGACGAGGACGGGAATGCACCACAACTTTCACAATTTTTGAAGTCCACACAATGAAAACAAAGATACTAACATACAAATATTTGATTATTTTGAATACAGTCAAATATACAAAAATAATCCTAGATCTTGGTTTGAAAAAAAGAGAACCATTGACCGGAGAAATGATCGTGTCAGTCCTTGTTAATGATTATCTTTCTGTAGGCCTTATATCTTATCTCAACTGTTTCATATGCCATTGAGCTCTCCTGACAGCAGCACAGAGGCAATGTCCACTCGCTAGCTCAACTGACATGAGTTATTTCCACCCTACAATGGACATTTTAATCTGACTCTATTTTTCTAAACTTAAAAAATATGGAAGCCTATTTCTGGATTGTATTTTTTATGATTTTTCCACACGCAAAACTGGGATTGTTGTCAGACTACAAGATCTGTGGAGATCCAGAATGTGACAGTAAGTCTGAAATACTTTGTTAGTAGTTGCAGGCCACGGACTATCCCTGTAGGATTCATTACAAACTCTAAAGGTCCTACATGATGATCACAATTATATTTACTTTCTTTTCTTTAACTAATGTGTCTCCTTCTTTAGGTGCAATGAGCAGAGTGCAGGCTATTAAGAATCACCAAGGAAAGGACTGCAGATTCCTGAACTTCAAAAAAGGAGACATCATTTTTGTTAACCACAAACTTACAGGGAAACGTGAAGACCTCTGGGCAGGCAGTGTATGTTTTGTATCACCAACAATCTTATTGTTGTCATAAAAGATAAAGACCTACCTAATACATCCAGCCCCTTATGTTAGGTTGTTGGTTAATGTGCTAGTAAGTCTTAATTATGACAAAAAGCAGGTTGTGAATGTTAAGAGGAATATATTATCAATGGCCTGCTTTCTGGCACCAGATTTTTGTTAGTCTATAAAGTACTGGTAGGAGTGATAAACGGAGAATTACGCTGACTTACTAAATTACCTAATATTTCAAGAACTTCTTTACATTTTGGCATGTTACAAGCATAAACTATAAACTATTTTTTAAGGGGAATTAATGTGAAAGAACAACACATTGTAATGAAGAACTAGAATTAGAGCTGCAAGGCTAAGATTTTCTCTAGAAGGACTTTGATTACTTTTCTTTAGAAAATAGATTGAGCTCAGTCAGAAAGATGGTGACTGTCTACAAATATCCGTTTTCAAGCTCCATACAGCTCCCTAAATTGGATTGCAGATTGAACTTTGGACCATATTCTCTGATCTAAATTGTCAACTGATGCTTATCCTAAGAGATGAAGCCCTACCCGCAGTTTTAAGTCTTTTGCATACAAAAGCAGGGTTACAATATTTCCTTCTGTGTAGCTCCATCCTTCTCTGCATAAACCTCTAACAGTTTCTATGTTCCTGCTGATTGAAGGTCCTCCCCACAGCAGAATGCTGCCATCACAATGATTCACAGCAGGAGTAATGTGTCGGTTTAATTTAGGTACTTCCAATTAACAAAGCATTTTGCTTGTAGGACAAAAATTTACAATTCTGCATCATCTGACCTGAGCTTATTCTTCTACTTGTTCCCTGTATCCTTAGATGCAAGATCAGACTAGTGAGAAATAGGTGGACTCTACTTAAATTGGAGGAAGAAATTACTTGCAATGTATTTTATTTAACAATTTTGTTGTAAAAGGCCTAAACATATGTACTCAAAATACTTTAATTTTTAAGGATAATGAGTTTGGAAACTCTCTATCATTATTCACTTCATAGTTAGAGTATGTACTCTTTTATTTGAATCTATTACATTAAATCCTACTAAAGTACACATATGCTTATAGTGTAGTATAGTTAATTATAGAAATAAAATACATTTTAAACACTTTTCACTCAGTTATTTCATGCTGTTTGAGTTTTAAGTTAAAAAAAAAAGTCTATAACCCTGGATGTATGTTGCTGTTACAGTGTTAGGTTTTGTGTTCTTTTTTTTGGATATGTTTCTGTTTTCAATACAAGCTCATTTTATTCCTTTCAGATTGACAAACATTTTGGCTACTTCCCAAAGGATTCAGTAGAAGTGGAAGAAGTTTTTGCAGAAACAGAGAAAGTGCTGGAGACCCAGGTAATCTCAGTGCTGATCAAAAACGACACATTAAAATAATCCCATGAAGGTTTATGAAATCTTAGATGGGTTGGTACTACAGATCCATTAACTTTCTTCCTACTTTTCGGCAGGAATCTGATTTCTTCTGTATGGATGAGTCTGGATATCCCATCGATACAACTAATTTGGACTTTGATGATCATAACTCTCAAACAAAGGAGCCAGAATCCACACAAACCAGCCCAAACACTCTTGACAAAAATGCCCAAGCTCCTTTGATGTCTACTGAAGCTACAGTAAAAGAAAGAGATAATGAAGATGGAAGCAAAGATCTCGTGGATGCGGCCGAACAGCTCAGGGATGAACTTAAGGCTTCAGCGACTCCAGAAGAACAAGGTGGGTCCCCCTCATCCTCCTGGCTGCGTTCATCTGTGACGGGATGGTTAGGTTTTGGAAAAGAGGAGCAGTTAAGGGATTCAGAACAAGGAGAGAAGGAAGATGAGAAGGAGGAGACTAAACCAGAAGCCTCAATCAGATCATCTGTGACTGGCTGGCTGGGCTTTGGAGGAGAAGGTAAACATGACAGTGATGAAAATCATGTGGAAATCCAGGAAGATTCCTTAACTTCAACAATGACAAGGTGGCTAGGCTTCAGTGAGGGGACGGAAACTGCTGCTATAGCAAGTGAGGAAATTACTGAAACAGCTAATGAGAAAGAGCCCACAGAGATGTTTAGGAGCAGGAGGATGTCTCTGGACCTGGAAGGCAGCAAATTACAGGAAGAAGAGGAGAAGGAAGACATGGGAACGTTAGCCTGGCTGGGCAGCAGGTTGTCAAGCAGGCTGGGACTTGGATCAAGTCCACAAGATTCAGGAGGAGAAGGAAAGGAAACCGAGGATCAGGTGGCTTCTAGCTCTTGGATGGAGATGAGAACTGAGGGAATTTTTGGCTTTGATGACAGTAAAAGTGGAGCAGGCGGAAGTACAGGAAATGGTATTAAAGAGACAGAAACGGACCAAACATTAGAAGAACCTCCTGGATTGGAAAACATACATATTGCTCAATCAGAGGGTTCATTATCAGAAGAAACTGAAAAAGAATCCCAAATAAAGGAGCTTGTAAATGAGTCTAAACCACCAGACAGTAATGATGGTGGGGATACTGTAGATAGTTATGTAGATAATTCAGACACAAATGAAGTAAATATTTTTGAAACTGATGTTGAAGTTTCCAACAAGGATGTTGTGGGTGAAAATGATATCAGGAGTCAAGAAATCGATCGCAGTTTAAAGGAGTTAGATTCAAACTCGATGGAGCAACTTGAAGGTCGAGTAGAGCAAGAGGGAAAGAGTTTCACTGAGAGAGGGGCTGACGTAAAAGAACAGCTTCATACGTATGAAGAATCCACTCTAATGTCAGAAAACAGTCCTGTTAGAAGTGATGATCAAAAAGAGGAGCAGTTAACCACAGAAGAAGGTTTATTTCAACAAGGACTATTGAAGGAAGAATCCCCTGAAGAGACTGAAGTCAGTGGTGATCAGGGAGAAAATGATGAACAGAGAAAGGCTGAGACAGAGAGCCGTCAGGGTGAGTTAGAACTGCAGCTAGAAATGCATCCCACAGAAGTCAGCTCTCAGAATGATGGATCGTCATTTTATGGAAATCCTGAAAGTATTTATGACAATATCTCAGAGGACGATGGTGTAAAAATGACTTTAAATAAAACCACACAAACCGTTCATGAAACCCAGGGGTTTCTGCAGATGGAAAACAAAGAGCAAAGGGACAGGGATGTTGAAAGACTGGAGGAAATTGTGAAAGATGAGAAGGAAAAAACACATTCTGAGAAAGAAGTTTTTAATGAAAGTGAAATAAAATCAGTAGTAGGTTTTGAAACAGAAACTGAAGTAACAAAGGGATCAAAGGAAGAAGAAAAGTTAAAATTCAAGATACAGGAAGAAGTAAAAGAGGTAGAAGAACAGATTGAAGAAGTAAAACAAGAGAGCCAGCAGAAACAATTAGAGGAAATTAAAAAAATTGAGAAAAAGAAGGAAGAAGAGTTAGATAGTGTTTCTGGGGAGGCGAGGGGGTTAATAGAACAAAGGCAGGATGAAGTGAAGGAACTAAATGAGGGAGAGAAATGGGAAACAGTAGACCATGAGCAAGACAGAGGATCAAAGGAGGCAAATGAAAAAGCGCTGAATCAGGAGAAGATGGCAGAAATCTCTGGGGATAGCGCAAGTGAAGAGTTTAGGTTAGAAAGACAAATGGATATGCAGGAGGAAGACAAACAAGTTCCAGAGCATGGGAATCATATCAGAGTGGAAGAGTTGAAGGAATCTGAGAGGCAAAATGAAAAAGAAGAGAAGGGAAACTTTTCTGGGGAGGGTGACACAAAGTTTGATGAAGGAATGCAAAAAGAGGTAGAGGAGCTGAAGGAGGAAGAGATCCATGAAAATGGGTCACAGGATCATGAGGAGCCCATATTGGAAATACCAAAGGAATTTGAAGACCCAAATGAAAAACAGAAGGAGGAAAAGGAGAAGGTTTGGGGGGAGAGCAACAGAGAAGGGGGAAAAGAGATAACAGAACAGACCCAGAATGAAGATTTTGAGCCAATGGAGGAGGAGAAAACTGTAAAAAACTCACTCGAGTTTGGAAATCATGTCAAAGTGGATGAGTTTAAGGAGTATGAGCAAAATGAAAACCAGGAAAAGGGAGATAAGGAACAGGTTCAAGAGAGACAGTCAGAGCATGAGATAGACAATACTAAAGAGATGCTGGGCGATTCCAACTTTGCTTTTTTGGTCTCTGAAACTAACAAGAAGACTGAAAATCAAAATGAGAACGAAGAGGTAAAGGTGAACGAAGCCTTTACCGAGCCTGACAAAGAGCACCCAGTACAGGAAGTGAAGGATGGAAATGTTAATGTAGGTGGGTCTGAGGATGGAGGATGCAAGGATGGCAACTGGAAGGAAGACATTGGTTTTGAAGAAGAAATCAAGAAAACTGACAATAAAAATTCTGGAAATGAGTTTCACAGAGACATAGGAGGAGAGGAATCATATAACCCTGCTGAAAGTCAAGTTCAGGGTTCTGAGCAAAGTGAGTCCGCACATCCACCTCTAGGAACAAACGATAAAAGCCAAGAACGTGTAGGAGCTTTTGGTCTTTTAAAAAATGCCATTGAACTTTTCTCCCAAACGCCCAACCCTGAAATGAATGAGTCCACACAGACTGTTCAGAGTTTCAACACAAACTCAGCTGAGACAACAGAGCCTCTTGCCTCTTTTACTCCAGGACTTGATGCCTCCACAGATTCACTTCACACCGAAGTAACACACACAGGATTTCCCAAAGAGCAGGCGCAGTCACATCCTATCTCTGCTGAAAAGCTCCTCCACAATGCTCCTTCAGTCACAGAAGCAAAAACCTTCAGCAAAGATTATAAAAGTCTCCACCACCACATGAACGCGGATGAAACGGTTATTTTGCTTGAACTCTTCGGTCGACACAAGCTGCAGTTTTTAGACTACATTTTGACTAGCCCAGAGGCCGTGTCTGCAGATGAGGATCAGTCAATACTCTCAGATATAGAGGAACTCCTGCAGCACCAAATGGAGATGCTAGTTGCTCCCAGTATGAAGGGATCCGATGCACCAGAGGAGGACAAACAAAGAACCAGTACAATTATTGCTCTTCAGAAGCTGGAGACATTATTAAAATCGATGAAGGACACTGTCAGCACAGGAATATCAGATGTCAGTAACCATCAAGGTATTTTTGTCCAAATTGCATAAACTATAATGGCTCATATCATTGATGTTTTAATCTAATGTAATCTGTCAGTTCAAGTCTGTTGTCACCAGTGGGCATTTATATGTTCCTTTGTCAAATGCAGCTGGGCCCAGTTCAAGCCGGACCAATGGAAATGAAGATTGGAGCTATCTGGAGAAGGAAAGAGATCAAGGAAGTAAAGAAAAGATATCTCTGCATAACACTAAGTCAGGATCACAACAGAAAGGTATGAGAGGATACAATACAGAAAAATAATTAAATATGAGGAGATATTTATATTAACTGAAACTTTTTGCCAGCTATGTCTGAAAAACAAATCTGACCAATACTTTTGGTTATTACTGTAATAAATACTAACACATACCTTACACAACAAAATATAATCTTGGCATAATGAATAATGTTATGATAAAATTGTACTTTTGTGACTCTAACTACAGGGTTAATCAAGCAAAGTGTGGAATTTCTTCTTTGGTTTGCTGAAGAATCAATTAGTTCTGCTAAGGCAGTGATGGGGATCCTTGTTTGGATAATTGTACAGGTAAGAAATGAGACTGCATTTGCAACCTAACATCATACCTGCACTTCATGGTGAACAGAGGTGTCAAGTAATGAAATACAAATACTTTGTGACTTTCAATTCATATAGTGGCATCTGGCTGTTTTTTTTTTTTAAAGGTTACTTTATACTTTTATACTTTAATTAGTTTTTGGAGCACACTTTTTCACTTTTACTTGAGTAAAGAGGTCAAGCTGATACTTCAACTTTTACCCGAGTGTTTTTAAACAGCAGTATCTATACATCTACTTAAGTAACAAATGTGTGTACTTTTGACACCACTGATGGTGAATCTTCAAAATAGAACCTAACTCAAGTGTTTTTTTGTTTTTTTTTTACTGCATTTTGCACCATATATGTATTTATTTTTGCACTGCTCTGAACCTTCCACATCAATGCCTTTTTGCACCATGTCTCTCCCACATTGTTTACATTTGATCACTGCTGCACTTTATGAATGGAAATGTTCTTCTTCACTGCTAAGCTGCTGCTGATTCACTGTCGGAAAGTGGTATAAACAAAAATTTGTTTTGTATACACACCGTGTATACAAAATGACAATAAAGTTTGTCCAAGTCTAACTCACCAAAAAGCAAGTACAAGTCATTTGTGGATATCAAAATAGTTTATATATTTTTTAAATAGGCAGAAGCATCTTTTGAACTTTACAGAAAGATTAAGAATAAAAAATAGAAGGTAAAGTGAGACTAAATGAGTAGCCTATTATTCATAAAAAGTTATATTAGTTAAAATAGATTTGTATCTAGCATAGATCACCTTTTGAATCTTTCAGGCCATAAGTAGATTTTGCTGGCCTGGTTCTTTAAGACATGTGACATGTTGATCTCACTCTACCATTGGAATTCAACTTTGCCTTAGTCTCAGTTGTCAAACTGGCTTACACGGACATATTGCTTCTCACATTTGGATCTACGTGGTGTTCCAGGGGAGGAGATTATGTTCAGATGGATAAAAGTGTAACCAGGTCGGGGAGTTGAAATTTAAAGCTTAAACCGTGCTTTGAACAGGGCTGTCTGTCATCAACAAAAGTTGACACACAAAACCGGCCCCAATATGTAAATTGTTCAGTATTGTAAGTATAAAACACATTTTTTAACATTTATTTTGAGAAAACAATAAAATCATAAACTGTATAAAATATGTAAAGTATATGATATAGTTATTATTTGAGTAACACCTGTTTCCCTCGGTGTCACTTTAAAAGCGCTCCGATGTGCCTGTGTGGCATCTTACAATTGGTGACGTTTGGAATAAATCATTTACAACAGTAGGGGCAAAGTTTGTACAACATTTTTTTAACATTCAATATCCAAATGAATAATTGTAAGTTTTATTTTCACGACTAAACGTTAAAAATGTGTTCAATACATATGCTATTTATATCTTTAAAATATTAGTCTGAGTAGGTGAAGAATATTTAATATTCACACGGTTACCCCCATGGCTTTAAGAGTTGGTACGGTCCTGAGGGTAGGTGTTGTGAATAGGATGTGGACTAGCCGTTAACCCGGCTGTGAGAAGCTTATATTTTTTCTAATTGTATTAATGAAATTCCTTGTAAATATTAAGCCAAATGAAATAATTTGGATATGACGGAGCGTCCAGAAAATGTGCAGCTGGCCAATAAAGTGGCCGACTTCCAGACGGCAGCAGAGACTTACTACAACACCGCCGTGGAGAAAGTGAAAGATGTACGTCAATATGTGGCAGGTTCTGGTTAGCATTTCCCATTTATCCACTACAGCAGAAGTAATGTAACGGATATTGTTTAACACGCCGAAGTATTTATCTTTTCAGGCGTTTATTCTGATATTGCTGTATTTTCGGTCATGGTCGTGCCTCATTTTTAAGCAATATTACAGTTATTAGCATAGTTAGCTGGGACAGTCAGACAGCTTTTACTCTGTGTTTATACTTATTCATCTTTTGGTTTTTAATTTCAAGAAATTACAAACGTTTGGTTTGTTTATTTGGCGCATTCTCTTCCGTGATCATAGACAGTGGCTTTAAAGCTCTCCCACGAACAGCTGTTAAATAGGATTTCTTTAAAGTTGTGGCCATAATAATTAATAGTTCCTGTATTTTTTGTTTAAACAGGAATTTAATTTACTTGTAAATTTGTGATGATAAAAATCTGGTGTTTAACAACTTTATTTTACAGATAGTTTGTTAAAAACTGATGAAGCCCAAACATTTGTGAAACATGTACACCATAATCTAATACCCCCTTTCACAACAATAACTTTAATTAATTAATTTTTCAATTTGTTAGCAGTCTCTGGCATCTTCTTGGAGAATAATTTTTTCTCCAATCTCGTTAGGGCCCACCTAAACATTTCAATCAGATTCTGGTTTGGATTTGATGGTCTTATTCTTTCCCCATTCAGTTGTAGATTTGCTGCTGCTGCATCTCGGGTGATCTCCTGCTGATTACCTAGTTTGGCCCAAGCTTTAACCATAGGATAAATTACTTTATATTTAACTCTTTTTATCGTAAAGAGGAGTCAATGGCCAACTTAATTACAGAAAGATTTGCTGGTCCTGAGTCTGCATTGCCAGCTCACATCATCATGCAAGCTTACTGTTTTTTGAACAATTTGGTTTCTGTGCATCAATTTCTGGGTAAATCTTTACTTTATTTACCTTTGAGAGTTTGAAATCAAAGTTTTTTGTTTGACCATGGCATAATGTTGCTGCAATGTCCATTCCAGGAAAGGTTGATAGATGAATAATCTTTTTCACTGTAGATTGGTAGTTTTAAATGGCATTTAATCCTCTTTAGATTGACTGATTGCAACAATTTCTTCCACAAAGTCATTGGTGAACCTGCTATCTTTCCAATACCTGAAAGCTTTAGGTCATCAAATCTAAACTCTGCTTTCCAGAAGCTGCTAGATCAAATCAGTTATGCTAATCCATTTAATTGGTAGTGTCTGGCTGCTAATTTTCTTAAGGAATTTTCCAAAAACAGCAGAGCTATTTTTGTTCTATTTTCGCTTAAAACAGTTTATCACATGACGGCATTTGATATGTTGCATGTCTTTTGTATACTGAAACTGAAATAATTAGGAACCTGGTAAAGAGCAGATGATTTCTTTTTTGTACTGATATGAAAAAGAACCCCATCAAAACCTTAAAGCATTTAAAAGTAAAAATAAAAGGTAAGGAAAATGAAAGTTTGTACCTAATGCTGACAAAGTTGAAGTTTCTTAACTTTGTTTTAACACATTTTTCTATACAAGGGGAACTGTCATTGGAAAGCTTATATCATTGAACTTTTTTAACTTGAAATAATGGGTTTACACTAAAGAATCATTTTAATGGAAACCCATTAAACAGAAGGAAGGTTGAAAGTCTTTTTTAATGTCGTAACCTATAAATTCTCTGGTTAAAATCTTGTTATAACTGATGAAAATTTAATACAATGGCACAAGGAACTGGAGATTGCATCATGGCATTTGAATGTTCACAACACTACGATCAATTGTATATGATTGAAGTTTTAAATGACTTTACTTTTACCCGTCTTTCTAGGCTGTATCCTTACTGCCTGACAACATGAGGCCCGGCTCAGACCTCTACGGTGTACCATGGGAACCTGTAATCTTCACCGGCCTGTTGGGGCTGCTGACGTTTCTGTTATTCACCAGTAGATGTTACAGATCTGTAAGTGAGCAGCAAGTGTTTACCAGAGATGCACAGATCTATTTACCCACATTGGTATAAAGGTCGTAAGCATTTCTTAATATAACAGCAAATAGTAGCAATTCAACTAATGATAGTAGCTGGCTGCTAATATTCACCTGGCTCTGTTGACTTAAAAATAAAAGGAAATATTTTTAGCAACACAATTGTTGGCTAAATTATATCTTAAAGAGGAATGAGCAGTTAGCTGTAATGATGTTTATTTTATTGCTCCGTAGTCTTAAAGGAAAAATTAAACAAAACAGACATTAGACAATAACTCTGATTCAAAAGAATGGTCAGCAAATGGGCTCTCAGTCTTCTCATCTTTGTTTCTTGAATCTATTTCATAATTATGTCTTCACTGCAAGATTCATTTTACACCCAGTTGGATAGTGTTTTTTGGCAATTTTCTTTATCATCTTTTCTCTCTTTTTTATCTTCACAGATAAAGAGCAGACTGTATCGAAGTAAGTTTTCACTTTAAATACCTTTTGCCTTATAAATAAACTTAGTACTGTTAGCCTGCTGGTGCTTGTATTACACTGGCAGTTTAACCAACCCCCTTTTCTTTAATATGAAAGCATTAAAGACCATTTGTAAATAAGCTATTAGCTGGTTATTAACTTCATATTTTAACCCAGAGTCCCTATCTCTGACATCATGTAAAAATAGTGGAGTTAGACTGACTTTAATGATGAGGTGGGAACAAAGTTATGTGCAAATAAATATGCAGCCAAATATTATTAAAGTAGGATTTATTTTTATAAATTGGGCTGCAACTAACATAACTATTATTATTATTATTAACTATTATTTTTATATCTAAATTATTAAAGAAGTTGACAGTTTGTTCAGTAATTTATCAAATTAAACCATTTCAGCCGAGTACATCGTAAATAGTTTTCCCCTGTCTGCTTAATGTTGTACATCACTGTGGGAAAAAAAAAGCTTACGGTATGCTACTGTAGTAAATTCTGCAGTGTGATGAGAATCTTTTCAGAGGGAGACGATTAGATTTCCTGCGTTTCACCATGGTGACAGAATCAGCTTTGTGATATTAAAAATGCTAAACTGAATCTCTGATCTCTGATCCTGCTTCATCATGCAGGCCTTACCCTAAATGTGGAAAAAAAAAAGGGTGAAATCCTCTTTGATTTTAAAAACTATTCTTTCTACAGGAAAAGAACAGAGGATGGCTAAACAAGTTGAAGAGCTGCTGGATGAAAAGTGTAAAGTCCTGGAGACTCTCAGTCAGTGTCAACAAGAGGTTGGTACTTATGATTACTTAGTGTTAGATTTACTGCAGGCTGGAGACACAATTTATAAAAAGTCTATAAAATTTTAATAACCACAGATTGAGTCTTCTTTAATATATATATATATTTTTTCAAATAAAATCTGTGGATGCTCAGAGTAACCTCTTCATAATGTGACATTTGCAGTATGATGACCTGGAGAACCTACTCAGGGACAGTGGTGTCCTCGCTCAGACTCAAAAATCAGAACATTTGGAGGTAAGGGAGCAAAAACTTGGACCGATGTGTAGAAACCTGTGTGAAACTAAAAAAACACAGATCCTTTCAATGCTTCCATCCAGTAATAAAAAAAAAAAAATCTATTTTGAGTAAATTTTTCTTATAGGTTGTTTTTTTGTTTAGAGACTAAGGAGGTCTAGCTCCTTGCATATTGAAGAAACGTTTATTTTGTTATTATTAAAAACGATGTATTAAATTGTAAATGTGTTTTTATTATATTCTTGGTGCCTTCTTATAAAGGTTACTCTTAAATACATTGACTGACATTTAGGCCATACCTATCAAGTTTTGGATCTGAAGATAAGGGAAATTTTACTACTTCGATTTAGAGCCGTCCAACTAACCCAGTCGAGCTCAGGTATCCTTTATACTTTAAGACACATGTACTAGATCTAAATCTAAAATAAACACTTTAAACTTTCAACCAATTGCAAATTTGCCGTCCCTCTGATATCGCACGGGCCCTATACATACCCCATTTCTTTCCACCACAGAATTTTATGATATAGTAATGCAGGGAATTTACTGGAGACAGCTCATATGGGAGGATGAAGAGGGGTAAAATACAGTGGTCTCCTGGCCAAAACAGGAGACTTGAAAGCTATGATTTAAGCTGGATGAGTCTACCAAATTGAACAATTTCACAATTTTCACATTGTTTCACATGTTCACATCACTTACAATAAGAAAGGTTCACAGCAAGATAATCGGGTAAATTTATTTGCCTTTCAAAAGATCCCGATATTGGGGAGATGCCGTGTGTGGTGTGGTAAGAGTAATCAGATCAGGTTAGAAAAACGCGGGGACTCCTGTGATCTTATATCTATATCTATCTTATATTTATCATAGTGGATTCTCGTGGTCTGATATCCTAGCATGTGTTTGGTGGCCCCCTCAAGGACAACAGATCAAGAAACATTCCATAATAACATTCTAGACTATTTTATTTTCTTGCTCCGCCAGAGCCCTACATGAGTCCGGTTTTTTAAGTCCTTATCCACCATGCCCCATAGAGCTCAGAACTGAAACCTGACCCCAAAAAAAATACTTTTAACTTCAATCTCCTCTCATCAACCACAAACCAAACAGATGAGAAGTCTTCTTCTCTTGCTAGACTTGATGCTGGGATAGCAAGCACATTATACACAATTAATGCTAGGTTCAGAAACCTTTTTGCATGATCTTTCCACTTGAGCAGAAACATTTATTAGAGCATCCTCTTCTGGCGTCTTCAATTCATTGTAGGTTGCCAAGTGGCATGCTTAAAAGATCATACATAAATGAATTTGCTCATTGAAATGTAGAGTTAATAATTACCGGTAATATAAGTATTAACTTTCATTCATGTCATGACACTTTTAGAGCTACCCGTCCACTTTTTGTTACTTGTTACTTATACCTGTAAAATAATAGTGTCAGTTTACTGTGGCAACTTGTTATATCCAACTCTGTGCAGGAGTCTAATCTGTGCAGACTCTTTTATAACTAAAACAGTGCACACTTGTATGCAGCTCGAGAAGTTTGGCAAGATATCCTGTCTGACAGCTGATCCTACTGAATGAAATGCGCTCATGTATGCTTGTTGTCTGGCTGGAGAGAACACACAGTCCAACCAAAACTGTTCTATCCGCAATTTCTTTTTATTTCATGGTCACTTGTGGTGTTAGTTTAGTTTTGAAAGCCATCGGACAGTTTTAAGATCTGCCTGTTTGAACCTGTCTTTACTTGACTCAGCAAAAAATCCCTGAATTTTCATCCTGTCCAGGAATTCTCAAGCCAAATTTATAAAAGGTGCATCAATGTCTTCATGGTGTTCAATAAGGGTTTTTGTACAGCAATACCTGGACTTTTTATTTTTTACCTGCTCTATATGTGTTTTCTTCATCCAAGCTGTTACTTATACATTTTTTTCTCAATTTCTTCTGTAAATTGGCAATTTTTTACTTCTTTTAATCTTTTTATTATTTTCCATTTAATCTGTGTGTCATATTTTGGTCATCTGGACCGTGTTGTTTTCCTTTGCTGAACAATCTGTTCTAGTTTGAGTTTTGTTGTTTTCATAGGTTTGTTTCAGTCTTTTTTTGCTGTTGTTTGTTTTGTTTTTTGCCATGTAGAACAATAAAGAATATTGCTATTCTAAAATGCAAGACTACTTCTTAGTGATGTTTTGTAAACATGTTTTGTCATGTTCACTGTAGGTTCAAGCAGAACAGCTAGAACAAACTAAAAAGCAGCTGGGAACAGATCTTGACTATCTGAAGGAGCAGCTGGCCCAGCAGCAGGAACATAGAAAGGAGCAAGATAGGAAGGTAGGGTCTCATACAAGACTTTGAAAAATATTGTGGAATCTGTGTTTATCTTGTTCAAGGTGAAAAATAAATGTCTTTCTTTTTTCTTTTCCTTTTTTCAAAAGATAACTTTGCTTGAGGAAAGCATGAAAGCCTGTGAAGCAGAGGCCAAAGACCTCCTGTCCAAGGAGGAACAGGTGATTAGCTCTATCACTTCATGCCTTTTTGTCACTCTCCTGCTTCTTCTTTTTCTTTAAATATTATTAGTTGTTAATTTTCTGTTTTATTTAGGCACAAACAACTTTGAAGATCTACAGTATGAGCAGTGAGAGGCTACAGCGGAACCTGGAAACAGCAGAAGAAGAGAACACTGTTCTACAGGAGAGCAACTCACAGGTTAGATTCTGTACAGAGCATTAAGAAGAGAGATCTTTCACACATAGATTTTTTTCAACATATCTAGTGGTTTTCCATTTTTTATTTCCTGCATCATTGCTTCTCTGCTTTTGTGTTTTTATCACCAGTTGAAGCAGGAGGTCGAGGAATGGGCAGAAAGAATCAGTGAGCTCGAGGCTGAGATGCAGAGATGTGAGGTTGCCCATAGTGCAATGATGCAGGATGTGGCGGTTAAAGACGAACGCATAACGGTATGACTGCTTCTCATTAACACTGATCATGTTGGGAGAACAGCAACAAAGGAGAAGTGATTGGTGAAAAGTTCAATTAACATTATACTTTATGTAAGATGCATTTAATTGTTTGTTATCCCCCTCCCCCAGTCTTTGACAGATCGGCTGCTTCAAATGAAATGCTGGGATTCAGATCTAGAGGAGGAGGAGGGAGGAGAAAAGGATACAACCAATGGGACTGCAGGAAAAGAGGACACGCATCTGCAAAAAGTCCAGAAACTCATCTTTGCTGCTAAGGTAAAAGGCACAAGTAATAAATAATTAACCAAGTTTACTTTAAAACATGCTTACTGTATTTATTTTTATAATTCTTACCAATATTTTTGAGGAATTTAAAGTTTTGCTTTAATTTTAAATACTGTGAACATGTTTCTTCGTGTAGCTCAATGCAGACCTCAAATCAGTGGATGAAGATAAGGATAGAGTGTTTGCAAAGCTGAATGATGAGATCAAAGCCAAGGAGGACCTGCGAAGTAAGTTAACAGTTCTCACATGCAGACATGATGCTGGGTAAAGATGGAATGACAAGTCTCAGAGAAAAATTAAGCTGATCAGATTTTCTGCTCTTAATTTCCATATAAAGTGAGTATTGAGGAAATGGAGAGAGATAAATTATCCCTACAATCTGACACTGAGAGTTACACAGATCAGGTAGGTAACTTCAAACTGGTGCTATGAGGTTTATCACACAATCTGATGTAATGGTTCCCATTTATGTGCGCAGGTCGATCGGATACAACAGAAACTGCAAATTATGACAGAAATGTACCAGGAGAACGAGCTCAAGCTTCACAGGTTCATACATCCATGTTTAGGCATAAACATAAAATATACGAGGAATGTGTAATAATAAAGTTGTTTGTGCAGAATGCTGACTGTGGAGGAGAAAGAGCGTCACCAGAAGGAGGAGAAGTTGAGTAAAGCTGATAAGAACATTGCGATGGCGATTGAAGAACTGAATAACTACAGGTAGCAGTTTTTGTTTTATGATAATAAAATATTTGGGTGTGCTGTGTTTTAACTGGAGTAAGTTTGTAATATGAATATGAAGTATTTTAAAGTTTTTAATGAAATGTATCCTCTGTGTCATCATCTGTCATTGGATATTCTGAGTTGTTACCAACCTCTTTTGAAAAAAAAAACATTTAGATTTGGGCTAAGTTAATATAAACATGCACATTAATTCAGTAATGTCATCCATTCAGCTTTCGTCCCTTCATCCACCTGTCTGTTTTTCCATCTATCAATATGTTTCCCGATGTCCATCAACCTATCATTTTTTTCCTTCATTATTAAAAAAAATAGCTCATCCTTCCGAGCAATGTTCCCTCTAATTTTTCATTTGTCTGAGCATACATACAACTGATAACTGAGGACCACTGTGAGCAAGATGTGTACACAAAAGCTACAAAGCTTGTTGCAAAAACCAAGGACTAAAGACTTAGACTTAGACAACTTTTATTGTTGTTTTGTATACACAGAGTGTATACCCCCTCGGGAGTGGGTACAAGGTTGTGCATATGCATTTTCTTTTTAAGTAGAATGCGCAGGTCTTTTAAAATAATTGCTAAAATCCTCTACTATACCTTTGAATTAAACCCCAAAAAACTATTTTACTATTATCATGAAATATATGGTATTCTATATGTAACAGTATTGCTTTGGCCAGGATGGGTGTCCTGCTCTGGTAGAAATGAGAGATCACTCCTGTCAGACATAACTTTTTTTTCACATTTTGTAGAATAAAATGTGTGCTGAAGCTTGTGATGCAGCATAGATTACTATGACTCAGTGTCTGTAGAATATTTAATTACACACGTTTTTAGCGTTTGGACTAAGATAAGTATATAAAAACCTAAAAAACCTTAATAAATTTTACAAAATTAACAAATTGTAAATTAAATTTATGTCTGTCCTTATTACTTCGTCAATGCTTGTCCATATATGTGCCTTGAAGAGCTTTCTGGATGTTTAGACATTAAACTGAATCCTCTTTCGCAATAAGCATTGGATTCTTGTTATGTTGCACAAATGACCAGAACCTTTGTGATCTCCTTTAGCTCATTAAATCTATGTGCTGCAGCCACAATATCTGAGAATGTGTTGATTGACCCCGGTTACGCTTTGCTTCATTATGCAGTTACATTTAGCACCAAATAAAAAAGGAGTTTCATTGTTCTAAAAGCCTGGACTGATCAATAATTTGTACCACAACATATTTTTTTCCTTTTGATTGTTTATTTATGCATCTGTAGTAGGGATGCACGATATAATCGGCCACCTATCGGTATCGGCCTTAAAACTGAATATCGGACATCGGCCACCCCACCGATATTTAACCCGATATTTGATCAGCTTCTGATACTACTTCTTCTTCCTCAAAAGCTTATTTTTTACAGACTTAAAAACTTCTAAAGACGAGGGAAAAAATATTGATACATTAAAATATCCCAATATCTTCATATGCTGATATATTGCCATTTAAAAACACCATATCAATCTCTTTTACTAATGAAATATTGCTATATTTCATCGTTATTTCGAAATCCCCCGAAAATTCATGAAATGTTGCCATATTTTTATATGTTGATATATTGACGCGGTATGGATCTATTTTACTAACAAAATCTCACAAGAATTTGCAAAATATCACGAGTTTGTAACAGGACGATGAAATTTCATGAGATTTTGAAAGTAAAATGGATCGATACCGCGTTTTTAAAAATCTATTTGATATCAGCATATGAAAATATATTTGAGTATATTATTTTTCAAAGTGTCAGAAATGGATAACAAAACTGCTATTTTCAATGACTACTTATTTTTGTCCAGCTTTAATATCAGTATCGATATCGGTTATCGGTTATCGGCTACATGAGTTTTAAAATAGCGGCATATCGGATATCGGCCAAAATCCCAATATCGTGCATCCCTAATCTGTAGCCTTCTGTGAGGTGCTGAATGAGGACATTGCTTAATTTTTTTTAAGGACACCTCTGTTTTATTAAACATATTTAAAAAAGTATAACTCTGAAATGTTTCTCCTAATTCACGATGATACAAGAAAAAAATGCTATTGGTCTAACTGAATTACAGCTAATGTTGGATTTTATTCAAGCAATGCAAAGATTTTCTTGTGCTTTGAGAATATGTGAGCAGTGAGCTAGTGCACAGCTGGAGGAACATTGCTTCCAACCCTCTCCTTGTCTGTCCGTCTATCCATTTTGATTTTCCTTTTTTCCATAAACAATGTAAAATTAAGTGACAGAATTTCATTGTGAACTGGCATTTACTGGAAAAAGTTTCTTTTAATTTTCCTCTGCTTTGTTTTCAGAAAACGAGCAGAAGAGATGGAAGAGGAGCTGGAGAAAACAAAGCAGTCGTTTCACACCCAGATTTCAGCCCATGAGAAGAAAGCTCACAATAACTGGGTTAGTAAAGCTCTGCCACACTTGAGCTCAGAAGGGATCCTGAGATCGTCTTTGCTCTGATGAATCTTAGTTAATGGTTCTGGGCCTGCTGTTTAATCAGGGTTTGAAAATGTGTTTCCATACATTCTGATTTGCCTGTGTTGATTGTTTCCAGTTAGCAGTAAGGTCAGCAGAGAGAGAGCTGGCAGACATCAGAAGAGAGAACGCCCTCCTCAGACAAAAGTAAGCATAGCAACAACTTTAAGCCCTAATTTTCTTTTAAGTTATTAGAGAAAATCACAACTTTAATAATACAAATGATAAAATAATAATTGAGATCATAACACTGCATATGAGGCCTAAACAAAGAAGATCACATTATTTGATTTTAGGTTTAGTTTTTTTTCTTTTTTACATGGTATTGTCTTAAAAAAAAAACATTTGTATGTTTATTAATATGACTCATAGCATTTTTTTCCTCAGTGCAGCTGTTTAATCCTGATTCCTTCTGTTCTTCCATTTTCGATCTAAAAATAACTTTATATATGCAAACAGATTATTGCTGTTGGGATATCCCTACTAGATATCCCTTTAAAAAGGTGAATATTTTTGCTCTGTCAAAGTTTCCTTCACAGATTTTAGTGTCATGTTGGTGAATGTCAACACATGTAAACATTATACTATATGGTTCAGGTCCCAAAACCCCCTGCATTTAGCTCCAGTCTGATTTTTTTTTTTTTTTTTTTTTTAAACTGTGTTCTTGTTTATCACTAATGTATGAATGCACATATTTCTGAAAGGTCGAGTTTTGATAATTTATTATTTCCCTCTCTTTGATAAACTCTAAAAGCTCAAATGCAGCCTGCAAATGGAAACATTTTTCCTGATATTATTTATTGTCCCAGTGGCTGTGTAATAAATGCCCGAATTTCTTAAAACAAGTTGCTCTGTTTGTTTATCCGTGGACCTCAAGTAAATTAGACACTCTGAAAAGATCATTATGTTAGTTCTTTAACTCTATAGAGGATTCCTACACAGTCCTAAACAGTTTGGAAAATGTTTGTTTTACTTCAAAACAAGACAACAATTGCCTGGCAATGTTAAATTCAGTCTCTAAAATGTCAGAGTTTTTACCCGGAAAATGCAGAGAATGTTGAGTAATGTTAGGAGTGTTATACCCAGAGTTTTCTGTGTTCACGCTGATGGTGTGTGTTCAGAATTACAGATACTCAGTTCAAACTGGACTCCCTTGAGAAAGATCCATACGCCTTGAACAGCCTGGCTAGACCGCTGCCTTTCCGAGGTAAACCTCCTCACATATTTTCTTTCTCCACATAGCATTTGTTTTAATATGATTTAAACTTATTAAAACAAAGAATCCAATGTTAACAGAACCCTAATTGTGATTTAATGTTAAATGCCCTTTATCCCAGCTGAAAGGTCCCCCTATGGCCCTTCTCCTCTGAGTCGACCCTCATCTGAAACGAGACCTTTCCTCTCTCCTCCAACGTTAATGGATGGGCTTCCTGGTAGACTCTCTCCAAGAGGTAAGATATACATTTCCCATCTGTTTTCTTATTTATTACACCTATTGCAAGTTCCCCTTCCACCATTTGCATTTTGTGCAGTAAAGTTTTTATGTTGGAGATGACGAGGTGACTGCTGCATGAGTAATTTAGAACCTTTCAAAGACATTCATACCCCTCCATCTTTTCCACATTTTGTCACTTTACAACCAATATATTTTTTTAGGATTTCATCTTTTAGATCTACTCAATGCAGTGCATCAATGGGAAGTTGAAACACCTGAACCTTTTACTAATAAAAAGTGTTCGTAAAAGTGTTAGGAATGTGGGATGCATTTAAAATCAACCCCTTTTTCATAATTATTGTATCATTATTTTATATTCCTAAATACTTTCCTTTAAAAGTTACGTTATTGACAAATACAATCCATTGGGCTCAATTTAATCATATTTCTGTGAAGGCCATTGAGGCTACCGTAGACCATGACATGGGGACCATCATGCCTTTCCTTAGCAAAGATAAGGAGGTTGGTACGAACTGATGAGAATGTGAAAATAGCTAATGACTAAATGTATTTTATTTATGTTCATTTCATAATGATTCACTGCTTTTTGGTGGCAGCACACATAAAATTCATCTATATTTTATAAGTGTGGTTGTACTGTGTGAAAATATGAAAAGGGGTTTGAAGACTTTTGAATGGTTTTGTACATTTGGTAAGATATTTTTGCATGATGTCTGCAATGAGCCAATCAATATTATTCACAGAAAACTTTTATAGGACACTAAACCTGGGAGTTTGGTGTTTCTCTGACTGACTCAAAGTTCTCTTGCCTCTGTTGTTTTCACTCAGCACACTCATTTTGCTTCAAATGTCCCCCTCCCTCCACCGACTTTCTTCCCCTGTCTTCATCATCTTCTTTGGTTTGGACCGTTTTTCCTCCGTTCCTTATTTCCTGCCTAGTATCTCGTGGTCCAGGTGAGCCCCCAAGTGGTCAAGCAGACATGGAGCGCACTGGAGGTCCCCATTCAGACAGCGGTTCAATCTCTCCCACATGGGAGAGAGATCGGAGGGGTCCCCCACCAGGACCTCCTGGGCCTCTAGGACCCCCAGGTGTGTTTAAAAACAACAATGCTGAAAGCACACTTTCCTTTAATCTTATGAAGATCATTTTTACTGAGGATAAATATTTGTTTTCTCATTAAAACTCGCAAACAAAGCTGGTAAGTCCAAGTTAACGCAAGGCTCATTGCTTTTATTATTTTGCTTTTATGCATCTTAACTGCCAGCAAAAGAAACCTGATGTGTTTTGGACTGTCTCAGGAAAATTATGTTTGAGGGTTTATGTCTGTTTGCAAACTAAAGAAGATACATCCTTTAAACTTGGGAGTGTTGGCCTAATGGTTAGAGCAGTGCTCTTGTGCTCTGAGAAGGTTGCAAGTACCAGGTTCGATATCTACAGCCTGCCCTCTGGGTGTCTGAGAAAGACCCTTAACCCCACACTGGCAGCCCACTGCTCCCCAAGCAGATTGGTTAAATGCAGAATTGAATTTCTCCAGTGTGAGATCAATCAAGTTAATTTATTATTATTAATATTATAAATTGTGACAGTCAGGGGTACAGTATGTCTGCATGCACCAGCTGCATTGCTATGGGGTTAGATTATCGTCAGTGAAAACAAATGCGTTGGTTGCTAAATATGTAGATAAAAGTCAATATATGCAATTAATTTTAAGATTTGTATTTTTCTCCTTTTCAAAATATACAAAATGTGTAGGAAGATGTTTTATCTGTAAGAATACAAGTCACAACTCTGCAAAAATACCAGTAGGAATCACAGATTTATGAGTATGAATCAACAATTTAAAACTAAAACCCCTGATAAAGCTGCTGCACTGCTGATCAGTAAGTGGATGTGACACATTACTGCCACCAACTGGTAAGGAGTGTAACAGCTTCACCAGGGGTTGTAGATTTGTACTCATACATTTGTGATTCATACCTGTATTTTTACAGAGTTGTAACTGGTTTTCTCCCAGATTACACATCTAATGTCACTTGTATGTATCGGTTGAATAGGAATCTTAAATTGAATTATGCATCTTTACTTTTATTCCCAAAATTGGGCAACTATGCATATTTCTGTTGACGGTTATCTTGCACCATACATCACCATCTTTGTGCATGTGCATCTTGATAATGTTCAGAGCAGCCACCCTCCATGTTGGTTCCTCTTTCATAGAGATGTTGACATAAAACAGAAACGTTATGTAAGATCCCCATTTCTGTGAAGCGCAGTCTTTATTAGGTTGTAGCACATGGTTGTCAAAGTTCATGATACTACAGCAACATAAAATGATTATGGAACATCATCTATGTAAGTTTAAATATCTCATCAGGCATTAACTTGCTGGTTATTTTTTTTCATCTCTCAGCATTATTTTTATTGCACTGGGTTAGTCTGACTTTAAACCTGGTTTACACTGCCCATACTACTGGGTGTGGGGCATGAATACTGTACTGTGTATCATTTTTCTTTCACTTTATAATAAAGTTAAATTGTTTGTACTATATTATGAACAAATCTCAATACTACAGTAATTGAATGTAATTTTAGGAAATAAACAATCTCATGGGGTATAAATGTTTTTTGTTGTTGTTTTTTTTTTTTTAAAGGTGTCAGCAGTTCAACTTCAGATCTAATAACATCATCAGAAAAGAAGTTATGTATGACTACTGAATGTTTGTTTACTCTCTCAGGCTACATTTTCCCTGAGCCAGGAGGTCCGATATTAAGGAGACCTCCTCTGGGTGCTTTGGGATCTTTTCCTCCTCCTGGAGCCCTCCCACCTGGTGCTCTGCCACCTAGAGGCTTCCCTCTGGGACCTCCTCACCCCCTGGACATGGCAGGTGGGTGGTTAATGATCATCCTTAGGACTGAAAACTGGTTCAATATGAAAGCGAAATACGTAGATTTACTCTGTATGTGCTAGAAAACATTCTTTCTTTTCTTTACTCAAACTAAATGGTTGTCTCTGCAGATGGCTCATTCAGAGAAGGCCGTCAAGGGCCTGGTGATCAGGACCACAGAGAGGTAAGCAGGACGTGTGTGAGATAGAGCATCTGTAGCACTGTAGTACTTAAAGGGATTTTATTTGTGTGTTGATAGTCTGGTCCTGGTGGTCAGAGGACTCCCCCTGAAATGGATCCAAGGATGGTCGGCCCTCCTCCACCTGGACCGCCAGGGATTCCTATAGATGGCCCCTATCCTCGTAGAGCCCCTTATGGACCCCCTCCGCCTCCTGATTTCTACCCTCCCAGGATACCTGGGGGTCCTCCTATGAGGCACAGTAAGAACTCATAGCCCCCTTTAGAACTTAGATTATGTCCTATCTGGATATGATAGGTGTGGAATTTAACTGTTTTTAATTTTTTGCCCCTGTGGCTTCCCCCTCCTCAAGGAATGATGTTTCCTCCTCGCTTCCCTTCTGGTGGACCTCTTCCTCCCGGCCCTAATCCCAACGTACCCTATGGTCCTCCCATTCAGCGGCCTCCTTACGTTGGGCCCCCTCCTCCTTCCATGGGCGCCCCTCCTCGTCAGCAGTCCCTACCTTCACCACCTCACAGCCAGTCTCCAGAGGAGAACAGACCTTCACCTGAAGACGCCATCTGACAGTTTTTATAAAGATGAATTTCTGGTTCAGTTCAGTAGCAGATGGAAGAAAGCAGAGCCGCCCTATATTCTACACCATCTATTTATTGACCAGAAGAGATATTTAATGGTGTTTGTAGAGCAGAAGCATCAATTTCCATAAGGCTGATTTATCGCTGTAGGACGGCCTTAATAAAACCTTTCTTCTCCACCACTTCATCCAGCCACATGTAGTTTTAAAAACAGCCGTTTAGTTGTTGCTTAACTTGTACCTGTGTGGGCTAAAGGTAATCTATCAGCCAGACACATTACTACTTTATTTTGAAATTATAATTAAGGTCAGTAACGGAGAGAGATCAGTGAATGAGCACAGATTATGTGTCATAAAATATCTTCTATGCCTAAAATACTCATGTTTACCACTCTAGTGTTTTAACAGAATTTCTATTCAGTATGATTTTCTTTCAAAAACATCAGTGTACATGATCTTTCTCCTCAAAGGTCAAACCAGAATGTTTTCTTCAGTTGTAAAAACTTTTCTCTCTTCCCTTTGAAATTCAGCAGGCATTTCATCTTCTGTCTTTGCTTCAAACCAAGAGAAGCAATATATCGATGCCTCTGACCCTTTCAGTAACTTAGAATGAAAACTTACAGACTGCCAGGAAGAGAGGCTCACTTATGGCTACAGAAATCAGCTTTGTGAATTTTGTAAAAAGTGATTATTTGATAGATGAATAAAGACTTTTAAAACTTGCTCTAAATTTCACTGATGTAACTATGTGTAAAGTTGTTGTTTTTTTCCTTTTTGCTCATCAGCAAAACATTTCACTGTAATTCTTTTCAAATTCTGTGTAAATGATGTTTTTAATATTTAAAGACCTTCAGTTATTGTTAATATGCAAACATTTTAAAAATACAAACCATGTTTCATAAAGGTTTGTATGCTGTAAATGAATAGATAATAAATCTTTCAATGGAAATAGATAAAATGTCAAATCATCATTCATCACTCAACTATATTCCAGCTGCACACAGGAATGTCTCAATAGATATAAATATTGAGAATTTTAAGTAATTTTAATAATTGTTTAATAAGAAAGGAAAGACTGCTGTGATGTTTAGTAAACTGTAATGGATCGCTTTAATAGTTTTAGTCCACTAAAGGTTGTAGCTACATTATTATAGAAGGAAAAAGTAAATCAAATAGTTATGCATCCAAAATATAAAAACTGAGAAGTTGAAAGCTTAAAACTAAAGTTTTTTTTTTTTTGTGAATTCGCTTAATCGTGTCATTTATTAGGAATCATGTTTTGGAGAAAAATGTTTTAACACCATCTATATTTTGAAAAATGCCTATCCATTTTATACTGCAAAGGTGGAGACTCTGCTGTATATCTGACTCAGATGTCTATAATATGTCAGCCTGTCATTAAGTAGTGGAAGAGCAAACCAAAGACTTGTTGGTCTGTTTAAGCAGCACTAGAATCATCAACCTTTTCTGCAAGGTGAAACATAAGTTTTGTATAGTAGAAATAAATGACATTTAGCTTCACTTTTTATACAGACCAAATCTGTAGAACAGTATACCAATTTTTAAAAGACAAAGTGTCCCTAGGCTATTAAGAAAGGCCAAATGCAAGATCTGATTATAAATATTGTAATAATTAATATATAGTTGTAATACTTACTTTTAATAAAAGAAAATAAAGGTAAAGATTGTCTAATATTTTTGATGCAAGGACATTTTTTTTTTGTAATTTATGATGCTACCTCTACTTTGCCTTATAATGTTGGAACTTTCTCAGAATTTACAAGTTACTTTCACCAGACATGCAAGTTTTACCTGCCTGGATCTTAGTTATGTCCTTAGATGATAAAAGTTACTTTTACAGAAGTTATGTATTTTCTCACCTGTAATTTGCTTTTTAGAACTTCTAAATTACATTCCTGAATCCTCAAAGGTTCTATAAAAGAAACCTTACAGGTAACTTTTGTAAAACCTAGTAGTCACTTTCCAGAACCTGCTTTCACCGAAGTCCCAGGTAACTTCTTGTAAGATCATATTTACTCAAGAGTTCCTCCCATGCTGTTAAATTTCTGCCACTTACAGTACTTTCAGTGAGGTTACTGCTTACTTTTCAGAACCATATATATTTTTGCTGGAACTAACAGGATAGTTTAAAAAACATCCTGAACATTAAGGGAGCTTGTAGAGAACTTGCAAACGGCTTTCTGAAAATGACTTGCATTCACTAAAGTAACTGGTTACTTTTAAAGGTATAGTGGAGGATGGTCTTTTTCTCAGTGAATCATCAAAATAAGTGGTCCTTCTAAATTTCAATTATTGAATCAGTCATGCCCTCGTCCCCATTTTCACTTACCGGGGGTGAGTCAGACATTGTGGAAAAATTGCAAATCTTTTTTTGGAAAGTAAGCTTGTATGAATGATGCAAAAAGCAACTTTTAAACAGAGTTTCTGTTTAAAAGTTGCTGTTTGCAACAGAGAAATGGGGCATGCATTTAATAGGTAATCCCCCTTGGGAGCAGGTATAGGGTTGTGCATGTGCCTTTTTTTTTAGTGGAGAGGACAGGTCTTTTCAAAAATTCACCAAGATCCCCCACTATACCTTTAAGGTAACAACTTGCTATGTTTATTCTTTTTATACAAGCTTGTGGCAGTGTTATTGAACATGTGAAAAAACAAAAACAATAAGTTGAGTGAATCTAATTTGATTAGAATTCGGTTTTTAACTGGATATGAACTGGATCTGTTCATGTTGGAAAGTTGTAAATTGGCACTTTGCAAATAAACCAAAGCAGGTACTTTTATTGAATTTACCTTTTTAGTGGATGCATTTATCTATGACGACAGGAGATAACGTTCAAATCTTTTCAAATATACTACCTCAGCTTTTGTCTTAAATGGAATCATGACTATGAGGTTTTATTTTATGGAAATTATAGATATATATATAAACAGCAAAGTCAAGCTAATATGTAATAATATCCCTTAACTCAGAACTAAACTCTTCATTGCATCATTGCTCCTGCTTTCTTATATTCTTAATTTTACATGTGGAAGGATATACGGTTTCTCCAAATATTTAATACATTCAATTAAAAATATCAAAGCAAATAGCTTTATAATAGTGGTTTGTGCACAGAGTGATTTAAAGCTCTATTAGCTATTCCTGGATCCTTTTGGATGGATTGGGTATTCTCAGTCCACCGGGAGCTCTAATGTGGAAAGCTGTTTAATATTTAATTCACACAAGTGATATAATGACCTGTGAAGATTATGGGCTTGGTGTTCTAAGGCCCCTCTTGGTCTAGTTGAATGAGCTAATCATCAATGTGTTTTTTTTTTTCTCTATAACCCTGTAAGACACAGACTAAACGTATAAAAACTTTTATTTGTAAAGAAAGATCCACATAATTAACAGGAAAGATAACAGTACCTGGCACAGGAGCAAATAAACTGTGTGGAGGTCAAAAGAAAGATGATCTGGATTTATTTTTTTATTTTTTTCTACATTTCTTATCATTCGAGCAAGAGCATATGAATGCTCTTGAATCTGTAAACTGAAGTTGTATTTCCTTTTTTCTTTTCACTCAGTGTAAAAATACAATGAGATTATAATACAATAATAGTTTCCTGGAAAAAACAAAAAACAATTTAAAAAACAAAAAAAACACTGTACTTAAGGGCTGTTAAAACCACAAACCAAGATGGTACCCATTTAAGGCTAAGGCAGGCAGCTATTTATTTATTATTGCTCTGATTTTAAAATAACAGCTGCTTAGAAGAGAACTGACTCACAATGAATAGCTGGAAATATTTATCCAATTATCCAATCCAGATGCAGAAAACTAGTACTTGTTTTTAGAAGTTTTAAACAATCCCTCCAAGTTAATAATTTCTTTACACCCAAGCCTGAGTTTAAACCAAAGCAGCCACATTTATTTGAAGGGATCACTAATGCTAATGTTATTCTTTTTTTATAGAACAGGAAAACCTCCAAAACTGGCAGCTTAAAATGTAAAGTTTTAACTCCCAATGGCTGTGAGGAGTAGAAGTATTCAGATTTGTGCCCATGCATTTTCTGAGGTTCTTATGTGCTTTTAAACATCCATGTGGGCTTCTCAGCAGTTAAGAATTGGCCTATTTTTTTCAGATCTGAAGGGGAAACTGCAGCTGTCGGCGTCAACCTTCACTCTGTGAGGGACCAAGGTGGCTACGGCCTGCAGCACAAAAATACAAACATTAAAAACAGATTTTAAAATGTACATAAAAACACTTAATACTGCAGAATTGGAGAGACAAACTTGCATGTGTACCTTCCTGATAGTTGTCCAGTCCTCCAGGATGTCCAAATCAGGTAGCATATAGACAATATATGGACGTAAGCTGTGTTAAGGTCACATTCTTAGCATTCTTAAGACATTTATAGTATATTTTGACATTAGACATTGAGAAACATAGGATATCAGAAACCACAGAAGGTCTCCTCCTCTTCTTATCTGGACTTAAAGCATCTTGTCTTTTCTTCCTCCCAGACAGCTCATCATTCCAAAGCTCTGAACACAGACAAATGACTCAGAGGTGTTGCAAGAAGCTCCAGAGGTATTACAGCACCACATTGCATCCATTGTGCTACCTGATGTGATATCTATGCTGTGTCTGTCCTCTTCCAGTCTTCTAATTTTCTCCTCCAGCTCACTCTGCACTGTATCAAACAATAGCAGTTTCTCGCTCTGCCCGGACAGACATAAGTTAGGAATTAAAACAAAGTTCAGCTATCCAGGATAAACTTTAAAGATAACCAGCGTTTCTAACCTCCCAGTGTTGGCATGCAGCCTGGATTTCACAGTTGTACTTGTTCCTCACAGAATCCAGACACAGCTTTCTGTAAATACCTGATGGACAGCAGTTAGGGCTTATAAGACTGAACGCTACAAAATGACTGAGCAGAATGGTAAATGGGTCAATTTTACCTGCAACTTTAGTGCGGACCTGCATGTTCTCCAGCAATACAGCTAGAGGATCGAGATATTCTGCTGCCCGTCCAGCCTCGACTTCCGCCAGTTTGAAGTTCACCTGACTGAGTCGCTCTCGATACAACCTGGAACACCATAATATTAGCAAGAAAGAGTATAACACACCGTTATTACACTCAGTGAAAGGATAATACATCAGATAGGTCTTACTGGTCTTTCAGATTGTTAAACTGTTTCTCCAGGTTGGACATTTCATCCAGACACGCTGTTCTCCTCCGCTCACAATCTTCCTCATCCATTTCTGGAAAAGAACCCCAAAAGGATCAAACTTTGGTGTTAAGTTACTTATACGTTTTCGCATTACAACCATAACGCTACAACTTTATTATTTAGATTCGATGTGATACATAAACATAAGTATGTGAAAGGAAAGAAGCTTTAAAACAAGGTACAGGTTAAATCTGATCCCTTCTTATTCAGGCCTCCTAATTTGTGAAACGCTTTCTTTCTGCAATTAAATCTGCAAGTCTTTAGGTTATATACTGTACTGGACTTATCTACCATCTTAGAACATATAGCAAATCCGAACTTTGCAAATTCATGTTTCAAAATGTATAAACCTCAGTTAGATTGGACAGAAAGCATCTATCAAAATTGGTTTTCATGCCTCACCATTGACTCACAAACGGATTTATCAAATTTAATACATAAATAAGCTTTTATTTAAAGGCACACTATGCAACATTTTTCAGTTAATTAATGTGTTCCATAACGTTATGGATGATTAAATGAGTCATTTCAGGTTGAACAAAGGTATTCTCGGCCGCCCTGGTGGTCTGTGGGGGAAATACTGCACTTGCAACTGCAGGAGCACCGACCCGCACCCACAGGCTCAGAAGTCTCGTGAGAGTCAGTCTTGCTTTACGGCGAGAACTGCTACACCCCCCAGTTAAAAGCATGCTCGTTGCTAGCACAGTGGCAATCTTTGTGCAGTAATGCTACGTTCACGCAGCAAAAGCACGTCTGCTGCTTCATTTTTGCTGCTTGTACCAGTTTGTTCTGAAGCAGCTTTGCTGCTCTGGCTGCGCGGTGCAAAAGTGTGTCTGAGGCGCATTGGGCGGAGCTTCACTAACCTTTCTCTGCCTTGCAGCTATATTTGCTGTGATCAGTGGGAATAAAGTAGTTTTAATATGTGTTTAAGTGAGAAAATACACCTGAAAACGTAATCAGTGCAGTCAGTTCATTCAGATTATTATCCTGCCTTCAATATTTTTTCTGTCGGAGCCGCTCAGACCCCCACATACCAGGGATGCGCCGACAGTATGGATCCCTTCATCAGCAGCGGTTCACCGCGGCAGCTGGTAGGTGTTTTTCATCTAAATAATCCAAACTGCATACTCTGCCGGCAGATTTCTACATTTTAAGTTAATTTAGGCGTCAATAAACTGTTTAAGAGGAGTGATCATCAGCGCTGTGTCTCTCTCCCTGGGTTAAACGCGCCCGATGCGCTGCTTCAGCTGCTCAGACGTGCTGCGCCTGGTGCTCAAAACGCGCCGCTGGACCTTTTGCTGCGCCTTGACGCGTCAACCATTGATTTTGCATGTAAACTCGCTGCTTCTGTCGCGCCAGGTACGTCCAGTGTGAACGCAGCATTAGTCATTCGCTGCTAAGATCAAAACAACCGCGCCTGGCTTGATGGAGAAACCAGGAGAACAGCTGAGCATATTTACGACAGTGCACTTTTACTTTCGCCCTCTGGGGGGAGCCTCGCTGGAAAATCAACACCGGTTGCATAGTGTACCTTTAAATTATTTCAGAGTAGCTTGTCCGTTTGTTACATACATTGTCCAGCTGAAAAGGTAAACAGACTAAAGGTTTTAGCAAGCGCCCCATGGTTCCTTTAGAAGTAACAGAGAGATAGTGCCTTAATACAAAAGTAACACAGTGTTCTTATTCTTTATTACATTTCTATATACTGGTGAAGATTCTCAGTCATCCAGGTCATAGTCATTCCAAAAAAGTAAAAAAAAAAAAAAAACCCCACTGGACTTTGTTTTCCAAGTTTGAAGACGTTTTGCTTCCCATCTAGTAAGTCTTTTCAATTCAAAATGTCTGGATTTGCGTTGAGTTCCAAGCTTTATAGAATAGGCCAACAAAAGTCTTGTTATGACTTAGAATACATGCAAGAAAGCCACTTGCAAAGAACAGGTCCACCCCTTAGTAATGGGGAGCCATTGAGGTTGTTGTTGGCCTGCAATACCTCATACTGGCCATGCCTCTGAAAAGGGGAGTCGTTATGGTCATTGTTGGCATGGCTGACCAAGTGAGATGTTTTGTCGCCTGCATAGCGAAGCAGGATTCCTTCCCACTATCATGCATGTTTTCTAAGCCATAACAAGACTTTGTAGGGCTGCACTATAAAGCTTGGAACTCAACGTTAATCCAGACATTTTGAATTGAAACACCTGACTGGATGGGAAGCAAAACGCCTTCAAAAAAGGGGGAAAAAAAAGTCCTGTGGATTGTTGTTTTTTTACTTTTTTGGAATACATTCTTATATCAACCCACATGTCTTCATTTCACTAACATAACTGCATACTTATATGTTGGTCCATCACATAAAATCCCGATAACAAATCCCTGTTCACATTGCGTATGTTATAAAAACAACTGCAACCAACTTTTGGGTTTCCTCACCAGAAGAGTCTCCATCCTCTGAGACAGAGGAGGTGTCAGATTCCTCCTCCTCTGAGCTGGAAGCCTCGTGCTCCTGCTCCTCCACATCCATCTCCTCTGCTACGCTCTCCTTCTTCTCTCGGTCACGGCGCACCGGCATCACACCAACAACCCCAATTTAGACTCTAAATGTAAAAAAAAACAAAAAAAAAAACATATATGGAGAATTCACTTAATGTATTTTGGATTCCAGATGGAAATTTGGGAAAATATTTTAGACAAAATTAATATTTTTTTTGTTTAAAAACATATTCTTATCTTAACACACTTCTGCAGTAAATTATTTGCTAAAATATAAGTCTTTACTATTAAATAAGCTGCCACATTTTAATCATGCCATGTTTATTACAAATGTGAAGAAATACATGAATAAATACAACTAATTGAAACACTTATTTGAAAAAATACAAGTTAAAGTAAACCAGTGTATTACTTTTCTTGTTATTTTTGGTAAGAAATCGACTTTAAAACAACTAAAGTTAGCACTTTGTTAGCATTTTAGCAAACCAGTTAGATAGCAATCGATATCAGACCACAAGTTTCCAAAAGAAGCGGTTTCGTTTTACAAAACAACTCACACTGTTGTTGAGAAGAGCGAGGACTGCTAGAACCCTTTCAAAGTTTAGGGGGAAAAAATATAAAATATTAAAAAGTGTTTTCTTTGCGCACAACTTGTGTCCCTGCCATGCTAAAAACAAATCTCAGAAATGCGCCTGCTTTGACATGGGAAATGTAGTTTTCTCCGAAGCGAGTAATAAAGAACCTACGGCCTACAAAACAGGGTTAGGACTACATTACCCAGAAGTCACTTTAAGGCGGAGAATTCCCTCGGAATTTTTAAGAGTGTCAAAAAATTTATCCTGGTGACCTTTAGTTAAATTACATTAAAAAAAAAGTATGCGACTTATATTTTAATACATTAATTGAGATTTGAAGTGTGTTGAGACTTATTTGTATTGATTTTTATCTGATGGCGATTTGTTTCCGCCATGACAGCCACCGTCGTTTGAGCTGTGGACTAGAGTGGAAGAAGGGAGGGGGTGCGATGGATGGATATGAGTCGGCCCGCTGGCCGCTGCGTTTTACACATTCGCCTTTAGTTTAGTCAGAATGGGGCTGATTTCCCCGCTGGATGTTCTCGGTTCTGTCATCGAGGACTGGTGTTAATGAGGCTAGGTTCTCGTGAGGGTTAAAGATTATCGTTTGTTTGTGCTACTCCGCTAGCCCCCCTCTGCTTCTTATCCTCACCGTCTTTTTTTCTGTTGTTGTTGTGCCTCCTGCTTTGGGAATGTTTTCCAAAAAGCCACATGGGGACGTCAAAAAATCAACACAGAAAGTGTTGGACCCCAAGAAGGACGTGTTGACGAGACTGAAGCACCTCAGAATTGTCATAGGTGAGTTAAAAAAATCCCTATAAAGGAGCTAGGAGGTTAGCTTCCTGTGGACATGCATACATATTTGGAGCATGTCAGGCTAATCTCAAACATCTATAAGTTGCTTTCTGTGGGAATAAATGGAGAAATATAGTTTCAGTTCTTCATTATTGTAACATTTTAAACTTTTGTCAACTGTTACTAAATAACACATTTTTTATGGGTATGTAAAACAGGTCATAATGCCACAAATGGTGTGGTTTTGAATTGTTATAGTAATTGTTGACATTTTGCATAGTGCTTTAGATGCAGGCAGCATCGTTGTTTTGAGATTTGTTTGAGGATACTTCGGTTTTTGTTTCATCTTTTAGGGCAGATGAGTTAATATATCATGAGTTAAGTTTGTTGGTTTATTGATTAAACTGATTTAAATATTGTAGCTGCCCTCTGGGAAGAGGCTTTGCAGTATTCAATGCAGGACCAGCAGATTCAGAAACAGCTTCTTCTCCACAGCCATCAGACTGCTGAACTGTTTTAAAAACTCTTAATCATATCACTGACTCCTCATCACACCGATGCTCCTAACCTCCATGTCAATGCATTTTTTTTTGCACCATGTTTTCTCTCTCACACTGTTTACATTTGATCACTGCTGCACTTTAGGGAATGGAAATGTAATGAAAGCTGTACAAAAATTTAGTTTTGTATGCACTCTGTGTATACAAAATAAAAATAAAAGTTTTCTAAGTCTAAGCTAAACAAAGTGTGCATCCAATTTTAAATATAATGCTTGAAAACAAGAACAAATAAAACAATATAGACATATTGAATAATTTCCTTAAATGGAGCCGAGGCGGAAGTTCAACTGAAGAAACTGATTGCTCTACTATATCCACCTGCGATACAACCAATCAGCTTTGAACCACACCTCCACAAAAGCCAATCGGCATCCAAGATTCATCTTAAAAGGCCTCCAGTTCGCACTGTCTGCTCCTGTGCGCAGGCTGTGGATGCGCTGTGTGACTTCGTTCAGATGACGGCCCCTCCTCCACCATCATAGCTAAAGCTTCATCAGTGTCATTCCTCCCAGACTCTTACTGCGTTCCCTGTCTCATCTCAACTGGTCCGGCAGAAGACCGCCATGTTGAGCCTGGTTCTGCCAGAGGTTTCTTCCCAACGGGGAGTTTTTCCTCTCCACTGTTGCTTCATGCTTGCTCATGATGGACAGGTTCTCTCAACCTGTGTTATTTAACGGACCTACATTTTCCAGGTCCCTGAGTGAAGCTCTAGAATAAGCTCACACAATCCACGAGCTCAGCATGTCGTCTTTGCTAACCAGCAGTCTACAGAATGACCAACTTCATCTATCTCCACTCCACCACCAGTTTCAGGCCTTGCTTGTCATGCTTATCTATCAAAATTCAGTGCTATGCTTCCTGCCGAGGTCTGAGTGCCAAAGACAAAGTAATTGTATGATACATTTCTCCTAATTGTCTTTTCTCTTGTGAGTTTTTCAGATTGAACTGTTTCTGCCTTGATGTAACATATCCAGTACAACTGGCCTCAAGAAAACTTCTTGGCATAAATAATTGTAAACAGGATAAAAACTTCAATTACCTGGGTCCACCAGTGTGAAAACACTCCAATCAATGCTTTGTTGAAGCAGCTTTTGCTGATCGGCCATCAGTTATAATGAATCTGATTAACTTGCAAAAAGAATCACCTGTCACCTGACCTTTTGCTTAAAAAAATACAAAATGTTTGCAATATGAAATGAATGAAGGGTGCTTCATTATAAGAAAATTTTACTTACAAAATGACTTAGCTACAATCCAACACAAAATACAACAATCTGTTAGTCATCTAAACAACAGATCTTCTTTTATGATATGGCATGCTGATTGTGTGAAAGAATGTATGCTGAAATTGAATCAAAGGAGGCTTTTATAACACATTATTTTAAGACTCTGCATTCCCAGAAAACCAGGTTGTTTCAGTTTTTTTTTTTACTTATCACAGGATATATTTACCATTTAATTTCCCTTTTCATGCACAAAAAGCTGTAATTCAAACAGGACAGTGATTACTTTTAAAACTCTGCACATTAAAACCATGGCTCTGTTTTCTGCGATTTAGTATTTGACTTAAAATAGGGAGAAAATAGTGTAATATTTAATAAATATAACCTTTGAACAGACTTAAAAATGTTTGCTGTAAATTTATAATAAATATTGAAATTAAGAAGACTAGGTTCAAATTTTACTTGTGGGCAAAATCATGCGCTGATGTGTGTCCTGAAAACTGAAATACAGATGCTGTGAAGCTTTATGCTGTCAGTCAGGTTGTGGTGATTTTTATTCGGGTGTGCCTGCCTTTTGCACAAGAACCTGAAGAGTGAGAAGTGTTGAATGGGTTTTCTCCATGTTTTAACACAAATAAAAGTCATATAAACAGGATGATGACCCTGTGTTCTACCTGATGAAGCTGTGAGTGCTCATGCAAGCTTGTATCTCGATAATAGCTCCTGCCGGATGGGGAAATAGCCTCTAGTATTTCCTGTCTATGTCCAACACAGTAGCTGAACTTCCTTTGTTTTTGTCTTTGTGAGAGAGGGGTGAGCTTCCTCTCTTTGCTCTGTAGGGAACTTAACATTTTGATAACAGCCAAAAATGCATGCAAACCATGTCTGCATGGAGAGTTTAACAATAGTATTTCTGGATTGCTCCGATTTTTGTAAAGCTATTAGTTTTATCATTCTAGTTATCATAACATTCAATCGTAACCAGTGTGGTTTGTTAATAAGATACGTCATTGTATTTGCTGTAAAGACAATTTAACAAAAGGCACAAGTTAACTAAGATGCATGAAAGATTCTGGTAAGCTAAAAATGAAAAAAAAAAAACAGCATCAAAAGATTTCAAACTTAAAAGATATTAGCTAGCTTATGCCGGTATGAGCTCTTCATCTCTAAAGCAGAGCTCAGAAAATCTTTTGAGGAAGCCCATTTCAGCCACTTGCGTACGGGATCCTGTTCCTTTGGGCATCATCTGTATCTCAGCATCAAAGGCAGATGATTGAACTCAGATAATGCAGTGAAATAGGTGGGTTATGTTTGCATCTTCACATTTTTACAATCTCGCAAAATCGGTCAAAATAAATGATGAGGTTAGTGCTGGTTTTTAAAACAAGTCTATTAATTGTCCTTTATGATAAACTAGTCGAACCCACATGACACTACAAGCAATTAGTGCTGCAAAAGTTTGTCATATCATAAATTTAAAGATTCTGATTTTAAAAGATTATACTAAGGTTGTTTTTGTCTGTACTTAAACATCATGAAATTGATTGTAACAAAAAAACTATTCATTGACATCTGTTGGGTGTGATTTGGGTTATTCAAAGTGTCAGGGTTTACTACCAATGAAGTGTCTGTCCATCCTCCACTCCCTCCCACAGAGAGGCTCTGTCCGCAGCAAGAAAAATGTGGGCCTATTTGACAAACTTAGACCTCTTTGTTGGATAGAGGGTCCAACCATGAAACCTACCACATTGGAAACCTGATGTCAGCGGTTTGAAGATTCCTCCATGTGGTGGCTTAATGTGGACAGCCTAAACTGCTTAACCAGATAGACATTGTGCTTCTAAACTAGATACTACAATAGCTGTGTATAGAATGCTGTTGTGCAGAAACCTTTGATTTCTAGATTTCAAATAAACTTTTCTATAGCTTACTTTATACAACAGTGTCTTACAAAGGTTGTGAAAATAGCAGATCTAGTTCAACACATCACACTGGTTAAAATAGCTGACAGACAAGCTGACAAAATGTACAATAATAAATGGGTGGTTTTAGATATACAAGGTTTCCATCCCCATGAAAACACTTCCTGATCTACTATGAATTTTGTATTACACACAGATCAATAAAATATTAATTACTTCAAAAAACCAAAGAAAAAAAAATCTTCTTTCCACTTTGTTAATTTTGGCTTTATTTCTAAGAATCTGCCCCTTGGTTATTGCTGCTATTGGTCAAAGTAGAGTTAAATTCCTAGGGGTCTTAAAGGAATAGTACACCCAAAACATGATTAGCCTTCATTTTCTACTCACCCCCATGCTGAACAAAACTCTGGAGTACTTTTTTGATATCTCAAATGCATCTGGAGATCTACCAATCCTATACACTACTGTTTATGCTCTAAAAACATTCTAAATGACTTCGTTTCGAGTAAATTATGGACGCTACCCACTCAGGACACTTGGAATACATTGGACGAGCAGTATGGAGGAATATTGACACGTTTTTTGTGGACTTTTATGGACCTTTCTGCCTCGGGCACCATAGACCTCCATTATTTGAAAGTCAGCAGACAGCAAGAAGCCTCCCAGATCTCCAGATGCATTTGAGATATCAAAAAAGTACTCCAGAGTGTTGTTCAGCATGAGGGTGAGTAGAAAATAAAGGCTAATCATGTTTTGGGTGTACTATTCCTTTAATAAAAAAAATACACAGACAACATAAACAATTTCCACATAATGCCATGGCAATCCAGACTTAAATTTCACGAACTAAAATGTTGAAATATTTAAATGAAAAAGAAAATGTTTTATTGACAATACAAGGAAACAATTAAATCATATTTGAATGTAATGAAACAAGATATGAGAGAGCAGGATAATTTACCTTTTTAACAGTAAGCAGTATTTGCTTTGGATATAATTTAGGGATTCCTTTTGGTAGAAATTAAAGAAGGTTTTGCATCACCTCTTTTTAGCTCAAAGAAATAAAATCTTGATCGGTAGACAAAGGGAATTTTATGCTTGGCAGAGGATGATCAGCCACATACAGTTTATTAAGTAGGGAGGGCAGGAAGAGCCATACTGCTGAGATCGAAACATCAGTGTAAAGCGTAAAGTGCAAACTCGGAGATATGTGTGCTCAAAGACAGATATGTGGTCATGCAGAATGTGCTCTGCTGCACGCCAGGTTGGTGGGCGTGACCAAACAGAAATCAGCAGTACAGCTGATACCTCTTGGCTTTTGACTGTCAGTTTACCGCACAATGGTACATTTTAAATCTCTGACAGACCACTTACTATCGTTTTCATCCAGTCTCGTCCCATCGTCGAAAACTCACATCCATCAGGAGTCATGTTTTCATCATCAAAGATCCATGTTTAGCTTGTTAGTTGTCGTTATGTTCATGAAAAAAGGAGCATCACTTAAATTATTTTGTCATCGTTGACGTAAACAGAACTGGTTTTAGGCTCCAAACATCTGCATCTTCATCATAGTTTAAAATAGCAATAAACAAAGTTTGTAGCTCCTTTTTGTTTCTGTGGTGGTGCCTTCTAAATCATTGGGAAAATTGGAGAAAACTTTGTCAAACTAAGTATGCTCTACTTCCAAGATTTATGCTGTCAGCAAAGGCCTCAATATTATATTCAACATTTGATTAAGTTATCCAAAGAAAGCTCCGGGTTAATAAAGCTTTACTTGTTTCATCTGGCATGTTGAGTGTTGGGTTCTATTCTATTATTAGAAATCAAATTCTAAAATAGATGAAGAGTCAGCTGCAGTGTTGATAAAGGTTTTGTTTAATGTCAGCAGCAGAAGATAAGCTTCTTAGCCAGGCCACCAAGAGCTTAAAAGGGAAATATCTCTTTTGACACTGATGTGAGTTTCACTTTCTGTTGTCATATAAGCAAAAATCAAAAACTTGCCCCTACATTGGCTCTGTGAACTTCAGCAGAATATCCTGCAGCCAGCCAGAATTGTTTAATTGATTCCTAAGGAATCACAGAAATGCAAACGACAAAAAGTCAAAATACTGCAGCGTTGTAATGTCAAGCGAATTAGCAGAAGTCAAATATAACACTTTTGTTTGTGTTTGTCAGGACTAGTTCCTGTTTGAGAATGTAATGTACAATCTTTTAGAAGGTGGTTTAAAAACATTTACCATATCTTTTTGTCAATACATTTCTTAGATCTCTCTGAGAATCACCTCTCTCTGCCTCAGTCAGCATATAAACAGTCTCACTGCGTTTATTGCTGTGTTTCTGATTTCATTAGATGTAGATCTCATTATGTTGTGAATATAGGCCTATGAACACTCTCTATCTGTTCTGGTTTGAGATGCTGCACAGACACAGTGATTGGGGCTTTGCTTGCGCCGCTGGCTTTTAATAAAAAAAAAATAATTTTTCATAACCTGTCAAGTCAAATGTGGGAAATTGTTTTCATTTGTGTATAGCAGAGAGACAAAAGTGAAAAAAATCTGCACAGATCTGCCCACCCTGCCTAGACAGAGCCTCTTTCTACGCAGTGTGACATGGAAAAAAGTTTTAAAAGTCGTACGCAAGCGGTGTGTTCAGGCCTTTATACTATGTGAGGTTTTCTCCCTGTTCTGGCTGTTTGGTGATATTTATGTGCTAAATAACAGGATGTCTCTTGATGTATACATTTTTAAACCCTCACTAGTAGTAGCTGCTGCTCGCTCACCATGTTTTCCATTTCCGTTACAAATTTTCCTTGGTGCTCCATGCATTGGAATTTCCACTCGGTGCCTGGGTGAAGGGGTGTGGAAGCCCAAAATGATGTAATGAAAATGTATGATAGAAATGCCACAATGATAAAGGGGAACGCCGTTTTTTTTTTTTTTTTACATTGGGCCCTTGATTTTACGCTATTAAATCATGTTCTACTCACCGATATGAGTTTCGTGTCATTTGGAGCTTTTCTGAAGATATTCTGTTAGGTTATATCCAAATAACGTCTTACTATGGGCAAACGACTTTAAGGCACAAACTAAACTGTTCATAATTTATAATTTATGGTATGCCAGCATTCATAACATGTAGGTGAATCACTGTCCCCCCAGATATATTTCTTATATTTCTATATATCTTTTAAAAACAAAACAGAGTGTGTATGACATCACATATGACATATTCAATTCATCAAATGAAACATAAACCTAAGAAATGTTTGTAGGCATCTATTCTAATATAAATGCAATGAAAAAAAAAAAGCTACAGCAAAGTTATAAATGTAAATACTGCACTCAAGTATGCCACTGGAAATGTGTGTGCCAAGACACTCAAATGGGACGCTCACATAGTGTGCTATTTTTATTTTTGACAGTGCTGATAGCTTCTCATGGCGTTGGTTTTTCTCCAGATGTACTGTAATTTTAATTGAATTTTGATTAATTTAGATAGGTGCAGTTGCCATGTTTTGATAGTACCCTAGATGCTACAGAATCAGATTCCCTTAATATTATAGAAGTAGGCTACAATTGCATTTTGACAAATGCAATGTATGAGATGCATCCAAGATTAAACAATTAACAAAACAAATAGTAAAATACATGATGAATACATAACAGAAAAAAATGCGATACAACACCTATGTGGTTATTGCACTATATTTATGCCACTATCTAGCCTGTTTGTTTTGGGTGTATGGTTTGTCCAATAAGTGCAGTAATGGCCCTGGCATAAAAAACTGTAATTCAACGTGTCCTGTCATTTATTGTCCTTAAGCTTCTACCAGAGGATAGTACAAAGATGAGATGGATTCTTGAGTGGGTTAAGTGCATTTTCCTGAGGCAGTAGGAACATTACAGACATAAAGACATCGGAGAGCGGACTAATGATCTTCCAGGCTGTAGTGGTAAACCTGGAAAGTTTTGTTGTCCAGCCGTGCAGTTAGCATACCATACACACAGAAATTGTCCGTTTGTAAAATTGTTTAAACTTAAAAGTGTTTGACAGATTAACAAAATGTGAACTAACAGACTCATAACCAATTTTAGCATTCCTGCTCCTCAAATTTGTTTTAAAGCACGGGTCTCAAACACATTCAATAAAGGGTGCTTTGGCTGAAGGTTTTTCATTCTAAGCAGAAGCACGAAAGATCACCCGTTTCATCGAACCTTAACTTGAACTGTTAGAGGCAGTCTGGGTAAGATAGAGTTAATAAAAATAAAAACACAAACTAACTCCATACCATAGCTGATCATGAAAGTGGCAGGTGCCACTGCCATTGCTCCAGTGCCGTGGCAGGTCATGGAAATCGGTGGCAGGCCATCTAGGACCTGCTCCGGTGCCGTGGCAGGTGCCACTGTCACAATTTGCACCTGTACTTGCTGGAATACAAAGAAGATTGAATTTATTCCAAGTATAAACAAACTAGCTAACGTCAAAGAGATAGCAACCTATCACAGCGTGTTATCTCTAACCCTAACCCTCAGTGGTTGGTAAGAGTAGCTTCGTTAATACTTGAAAAACGAGGAACATGGTATTTAGGTCAAGATGATGTAAAGAAGCTTAAAGCAGAGTTAGGATAATATCGCTTAGCTTGTACTTTGTGGTAAAGAAGAGAGGGGAAGGTATTTCACCTCTAGACAGTTGGTAAAACACCATCAGCAGGGATAATAGTATTCTCTCAACGTGACTGGGTTAAAAGTCATACCTTACTTTTTCCTGTTTTCATTTTATTATATTCCAAATGACTTAAGTATGAATCATGACTTAAAACTAGCATATCCTGTATACAATAATTGTGTCCTATATGCCTGATAAAGCCTTTGGGACTCCCAGAGTGTGCATCATGTTCCTGGGTGGAGGAATAGTTCCATCCTGAACTCATTACCTCTTTGAATTTTTGCCGGTCAGTTAGAAGGAAACTGAGTGAAGCATAGTGAGCATTGTTCCATACATTAACAAGCTTATAAACTACACGGCCAAGCGTCTTTGTTTGCTTCCTTAATGTGTCTTCTTGTTAAATCAAGCCCTCATTTGACCTGTTTCTTTTTGACAGAAAACTCAGAAGCTCCAGATCTGAAACAGTTCTTTGACGTGTACTACTCCCATATCTACTATGTCTTCTTTGAAAACTTTGTCACCATTGAGGTCAGCCTCAAGCAAAAAGGTCAGCTTTACCATTATTGTTAGCAGCACTGTTTATCCTCAATTAGCCTTTTACTTTGATCGTTTTTTTCTTCCTATGCTCTTCTTTTTTTTTAAAGGACATAAGTCTCAAAGAGAGGAACTGGACTCCATCCTCTTCATCTTTGAGGTACAAGTACTGAAAAAGTATAACTGTATCAACAGATTGTGTTGGGTTTGTTGCAGTGGCGGCTGGTGGAGTTTTCTCCAGGCGGGGCTGTATATTCAAAACGGACGTATACAAAAACCAATCAAACGTATACTAAGTTACCACTCCAGTATATTCATATGAATGCCAAAAACATAAAAACACTTTATAAAAACAAAACATAATTTCATGTACAGGTTTACTTTTTGAACATAAATTTTGCCCTTTTGAGGCTTTATGAAAGGCAGATCGGTGTTCTGCATGGTCCAATATGTCACAGACCTAAAAAAATAATGTACCAGTTTAATAATGGAGAAGCTATTAGTCAGCTTTATATTTTTTAAATATGTAAACACTATTTTATTCTGAGAATGTGTTAATTTAAGAGCAACTATGCAAATAAACAAACATCTAGAAAAAGTACACTGTACTATATTATTTTCCATGTGAATCCCACATTGTTCATGCTTCTTTGCCCTTTCTAAAAAGTGCTGTAAATCAGAATACAGCATTAGCCTCGCTACATGCAGTTAGCCAAGCCTTCTTCCTATAAATTCTGGTATAGCTTTCTTGGTGTAAAATAATACCTATGTACAATTTTGTAGTGAATAAATTTATATCTTGCATCCCTTGTAGCCCCTCCCACATTTGAAATAATATTTTCCCACACAGCTTTCTCAATGTCTGTATCAAGATCTTTCTGCCAGATCAATTTTAAATTTTCAGACATTTTGCTCTGGATTCTTGACATTTTGTTATAGAAGACAGAGACATAGTTTCAGTGTAAAATAGGTGGAGCATTAAAAAACTCCTGCATCACATTATCCTCTTCATTCTCTCTTCTCAAACCAAAAACAGATCCTACTGAACTTCTCAACTGTAGATACCTCCAAAAATTCCCCTATGTCAGTTAAGTTAAATTGTTGTTTAAGTTCTTCAAAAGACCTAAATGTCTGATCTCTATATAGATCTTAGACAGTACGTATGCTCCTCTCCAACTAAGTTGGCCATAAAACACCTTTTTACCTATGCAGATGGAAGGCTTATTCCATATAGAAGAGTAGCATTGTTTATATTGTGAAATACCTAACATTTTATGCACCCATGCCCATCGTGAATGTTCCAAAATTAAATTAGCCTCCCATCTTATTCATCTCAAAGGCAATATTATATAATTCCACGTTTGGGAGGGCCATTTACATCAATACTCTATGAGGCAAATAGTTTTTGAAGCTTAATTCTTGGCCTTTTCCCATCCACAAAATCTCTGTGATTAGCTTGATATAATGCTTGAAAATGGTATTAGAAATCTGTACTCGTATCATCATAGAGATGTAATTAAATTGAGTGGAGACTATCATTTTAATTACACTGTTTTTTTGTTATTTGAGAAATTAATAAGAATTACAATTTGTAAAATTGTGGAGCAGTGTTTGATTGCTTACTCTACATCTGTTATATTTTATGCTGAATGCATTTAAACGGTGTCAGTTGTAAGAGGTTTATGCATGGATCTAGTAGCAGTAAATGTTAATACTTAAAAAGATAATCAACATTGTGATGAAGAAATGTGGGTTTATTGACATCATTGTGACATTTAACAATAATGTAACAGTTTGAATTTTACCAAATATCACGCTTTTACTATTTAAAGAATAATGAAGTTAAAATAAGTCAATGCTTGGCTATATCTTAGATTTACGTCACCATTAAGTTAAAAACGTATTGTTTAACCTTATATATGACCAAAATATTGAGAAAAGTTTTGAAGATTGAAATTTTGCTATTTTTATTTATTTATTTGTTTTAGAAAATCCTTCAGCTCCTACCAGAGAGAATCCAGAGTCGGTGGCAGTTCCACAGCATCGGTAAAGCCTCCTTTTTCCTAAAATGGTTCACTCCAAATGTTTTTCTCTGTCAAGGATTGTTTTAGTTCCACATCTGTTACAATTAAAAAGCATACTTGAGCAACTGTTTTGTTTTTAACTTTTTTTCTTTTCCTTTTGTCTAAGCTATTTCTGTAAAGTAAATATACAAGTTAAGTTAATAAATCCCATTTCTCTCTTAGGTCTAACTCTGAAGAAGCTGCTGCATACTGGAAACTCTCTTAAGGTAATATAACATGAAAGGAAGATTTTCAATATCTTGATTCTCTTATAATCTGTTTGTTGATTTTAATTTTTTCTCCTTATTATTCTCTGACACTCAGATCCGTCGGGAAGGCGTGCGTCTCTTCTTGCTCTGGATGCAAGCACTTCAGAGCAACGCCGAACATGAGCAGCTCTGCATGTTTGCATGTTTAATTCCTGGTTTTCCTGCCCCTCTCTTACGTGGGACCCCACGCACCCTGGACACCCTGATCAACCCTCCACTGAGCCTCACGGAGAGTTAGTAGAACTAAAGCACCCACAAACACCCAGCTTGGGTTCAAACTCCAAGTCTATTATGTTGATTCGTTAAATGGTGCTTTAATATTCTTCTTTTTCTTTTCTGCAGCTCAGGTGATCCCTGAAGAAATCACACCACTGGTCGCTCCGCAGTCTGGTGATAAGAACCAGGATGACCTCACTGCCTACTTTCTTGAAGCTCTGCTAAAATACATGGTAAACCAGGTATTATCAATTTTCTTACTAACATATTTACCAAACACACACGATCCCCTTGATAATGCTGCCATGCTTTACTAATACCACTAATGTAAAACCCTACGGATAACCGGGGCTTGGTGATCACGCAGATTTTAAGGCGAATTGCATCCCCCCAGCTTGTCATTTCTTTGATTGCTGCCTTCAGCCACATGTGTGCAAACATTCACACACTGATAAGCTTCTCCCTCTGGCACAATGGTGCTCTTCTCTGCTGGTTCCTTTTTCACAGAGACTGATTTCTCTTTATAACACAAGGTTTTATTGTGTTTGTGTGTATCGACCAGGCAAAGTCTCTAGAGTGGCGGTGTAAGGAGAACCATGAACGTGGCTTCAGCTTCCTCTTTGGCCACTTTAGGAAGTTTTACCTTCCTCACATATTTCCAAACTTCGCCATGGAAACAAGCCTATACAACCCCATTTTGGGTCAGTACTGTTACTCTATGAAGATTTTGTTCTCACATGAAATAAAGTGACTATGAATGGTTTATGTGTTTTGCTAAAGCAAAATTAAAGCAGTTTTCTCTCTCTAGATGTTCCTACGATGCGTCCAAAGCCCTATTACAGTGTGGTGCGCAGAGAGCAGGATGGTGGCGAGACGGTGTACTGCACCAAGGAGAGCTTCCTTCAGGCCAGAGTCATCTTTATCCGTTGGCTCGTTTCCTTCTGGTTGGAACCACGACCCAACACCCAAACACACATCCCAGGAACAGAAGGCGAGAATGTCCCTAAGAACATACAGGTACAATATTCTCTGACTGTAGAGATTTGATAAAAAAAAAAAAAAAAGTTTCCAAGTTTGAATTTATGGGGAAATTTTTGTTCAGATCTACTTTCAAATACCTAACGAGACTCTAACTCAACCATTGCTTGCCAACTAAGCTTATGGTATTATTCTGAGTTTTCTGGTGTTTGACCCATATTTTGCAGATTTCGTCAATCTCATTTATGTCTGTTTTAAGCCCCATTATTACAATTGTGTTGCTTAACTAGAGAGAGTAGGGCTGCACTGAGCCAAGCTATGCAACATTCAGAGAGTGCTGTGCCTTACAGCCCTATGAAGTAAAAAAAAAAAAAACAGGTTCATGTCCACATAGACAGAGGAAATGCTAACTGTATCTTAATATCCAAGCTTTAAACTTATATTTTTAAAAACAAAAAAAGTTTTTTTGTTATTTTAAAATACCTTAATGCATATGTTAAAGCCAGGAGCGTGTGTCAGCCATTCCAGAAGTGTTTGTGTTAGCCCTCTTATCCTGTCTAAAACTTGTATTGATGTGTTTTTGGGATTATTTCCATCTTTGATTCTCTCTAAGCTCCTTGTCTTTCCTGGTGATTCGCTTTTTGTGTCATTGAGAAAGTGTTCTGCATGCAAGGAAAAGTTGCCGTTTTCATTCATGAACAGCAAACAGCAGTTTATAGGCATTAGATTAATTTAGAGCTGGCATTCAAGAATTTTCAGCAACATTTTTTTTAAAAGATTAAAGGTGATTGCTTATATTTGAACCTCTTGGTATTTATTTTCCCGATCTTATTGTTTCTGTGTAACCTGCAAAAAGAAAAACTTAAAGAAGCCTAAAACTAATAGGATCTGTGCAGAAGATGAGAGCATGTCTACTTCTCATAGGATCAGTCCTTTAACTGTTATTAATCATCTTACTCAGCGAGCTGCAGCTGGATTGGCTGCTCGCTCAGCCGGCAGCTCAGATGATGGCGGTGGAGGGAGTCGGTCCGAGAGCCACTTAGAAGGAAGCGGGAGTTCATTGGGGCTAGCTGGAAGCAGCATGGGAGGACCGGGGAATGGAGGAGAGCCCGAACAGAGCCACTCAAACACATCAACGTTAACAGAGAGGGAGCCCAGCTCCTCCTCTCTCTGTTCCATGGACGAGGAGCAGCTGACAGACATGGAGGTGGTGAGGAGAGTCCTGACCAGCTCCAGAACCAACGTCAACTTCATCATAGAGATCTTCAGACAGGTGAAGGAAAATATATCAGCAGTAATTAATTTAAACATATTCAGTTTGTGTGGGTATACATGGATGCTTTTCTCGCTCATATTCAATTATTGGAACAGCTGTGAAGAAATTTTCCCTTTTTTGTTCTTATTTGTTCAATTTTTATTTTATGGACATATTTTCAGAGCTTCCAGAATAAAACTGTATGATAGTAGTGACCCTGATGGTTCAAGTCAGAGTCGAGTCACAGATTTGAATAGGTCAAACCTGGCTTGAATGTATCACAAACGACTCATAAGTGATATAAAATATATTGATTGTCTCCTCATATCATTAACGTTTTAAGGATAGCTCACTTTGACTTGTTAAAGACTTGAAATGTAAACCTTAGGACTTTGACGTCATTCTGGGCCTATTAGTCTTATCTTGTGACTTTGGACGTGACTTGAAAGACTTGTCATTTGGGGCGTAACGACTCGCTCCCATCTCTGACAGGAACTGACTTAAAAAAAGTAAACAGAAAAAAAATAGTGTTACATCTGCCTTCCTTTCTGTGACTTGCATTTCAGGATTTTGTATGTTGTGTCCTTATAATGCTAATTTGGGCATAATAAGAATTAAAGCGGCAAACAATACCTCCCATAGGCCCTGTGGTCAGCCTTAACTGTCTAATTTTTTTTATTTATTTATTTATTTTTATCAGGATCTAAAATTATACATTGAATTAAAAGATTCTATAGTTTATATGACAAAGATTATGTAAAAATGTGACAGTGTCTGTGAAAAACCAAATACTTTCCAGAATTCCAGAAAGAGAGCTGCAGGTAGAAATCTTTTAAGAAACACATTTAGGAAAGAAGCAATTTTGCTGCTCTGAATCATAAAGTTTGATGCAAAAGGTCAATCAACGGTTGAAAACCTTACAGACAGCTGCCAATCTTCCCCATCATTTAGATTGCAAGTAAAATAAAAAAATAAATAAAAAAAAGATCTAGAGAGTTCCAGGTCGGAATATAAAAGGCTTCATTTAGATGGGAAAGATGATTATTTGGTTTTGGGTTGCCTGCATTATTCCTTTTTCTAGCGCCCCTTTCTTGAAAAAAAAAAAAAGAACTTGTGCCATTTTTTATTAAAGTTAGTTTGAAAAAGGTATAGTAGATTAGATTCTTTTTCCAGGTGGATCATCAAAATAAGTGGTCCACCAAATTGTCTATCATTCTGGTAATATGTTTACATAAGGCCGTCCTACGTGCTCGTCCCCATTTTCACTTATTGGTGGAGAGTCTGACATAGTGGAAAAATTGCCAATCTTCTTTTGGACAGTAAGCTTGTAATGAGCAATGCAAACAGCAACTTTAAAACAGAGCTGGGAGATGGGCTCGTGCATGCTCTTGCAAAAGTTTAATAAGTGTTCCCTTTCTGGAGTGGGTTGTGCATATGCATTTTTATTTTATTTTTTTAAGGGGAGAGGGTGGGTCTTTTAAAACATTCGTGAAAATCCTCCATTATACCTTTAAAGAAGGGAAACCTGGGCTTTGGATCCTAAGGGCTAGAACAGAAAGGTGGATGGACACATCAGAAGAGAAAAATTGCAGTGTTTATTGCATGTGAACCCAGCACACTTCCTCAAACTGTGTTTTCTTTGTTTACATTAGGCCTGGTTACACACAGGGGGAAGTAAATGCTGTTTCTAAGTGAAATGTGTAAAACAAAAAATGCCACAGCTTGTATAAGCTTTTGTTGTGGTATTTAATGTACCAGATACTGATGGTTGGTTAATTATTTAGGTTTCTAAAAGGAATTTTTGATATATGCAGGGATTTCTCCTTCCCATTTGCGAGGCAGCTGCGATGCGAAAAGTGGTCCGTGTTTACCAAGAGTGGATTTCTATTGAGGACAAGCCGGTGTTTATGAAAGAGCCAGACGAAGGTCCGTACCCCATTCCTGCTGCTACCAGTCTGGATACAGGGTCTCAGCTGGGAGACAAGGAGGACGAGGTGGGGACATTCTTCTGAACAAAAATTTAAGTCAATCAAAAATATTTGTATTTGAAAATATAGGTTAAATAATGAATTCATGCTTTTTTTTTTACTTCAGGGAATAAATAAAGAGATTGATAGCGAATTGCTGGAATACAGTGTTCACGCTGGAGTCCAAACAACACTGCAGGTAGGATTCTTCCCACACTTTGCTCTGATGGACAGTCAAGTGGCTACTGTCATGTTTGTAATTTTTCCAAACATGTTTCTTTTTTCAGGTCTTTATCACTCACTCCTCCAACGTTTTCCTGCTGGAACCGGCCAATGACATCAAGCTCCTGTTAGAGGAACATGTCGACATGTGCAAACGAGTCCTGAACATCTACCGCAGCCTCGTCATGCATGAAACTATGGACCAGAAAACATGGTATAAAAACAAGAGGAGACCACAGTATAACCTGATGAATGGCTATCAGGAAAGATGGCTGGAAAATAATTTTCTATCCTTGATTTCTGTGTTTTATTTATTGTTTTTAATCATACATACAAATGTGCAGCTTGTATCTGGGTTACTGCTCACTGAAAGCTTAAAAAAAATCTGAACCTTTCTCCCTAGATGATGTTATTCAGACTAACAGAGGGAAATTGCACCTTACTTAAGATCCATCAGTTATTACTATATAGAAACATAAAAACGAATGCTTAGTAGGGTCTCATTGTGTCTCATTCAGCTACTATTAGATTTTTTTTATTTTAGGAAATAACCTTGTCATTGTAGGGAGCAGATCTTACTGGTTCTGCTGCAGGTGACAGAATCTGTCATGAAAAGACCACCGTCCATCATGCCTCAAGTCAAGAAAAGTAACACGCTGTCAGGCCGATTAGCTGGACCTATTTTTCAGGTAAATAACTGACATTATTGTTAAGTTTCTGTTTTCTCTGTCCCAACAAAACATTAAAGAAACATCTTGGTTAACTACTACAGCCAAGCTGCTTTAAATGAAGCTTTAAAATATATTTGTTTAGAATTTGCTTTGACTGTTTTATCTAAACTATATTATTTTTTATTCCAACTTTTCTTTCATTTTCTTATTAATCATTTATTTTATTTTTTTTTTCTCCTAACAATTGTATTTCTTAAATAAACACTGTTGCAAATGTTTTTCTTTAGTAACTAAATATAAATATGCAACTTTAAAACCTTTAACCGCTGGTTTTATGTTTTTATTTTGTGTTTCCATCTCCTTTTTTCTGGGCAGACTTTAATAGTTGCCTGGATTAAGGGCAACTTGAACGTATATATCAGCAGAGAACTTTGGGACGACCTCCTTTGTGTCCTTTCCTCTCTAACATGCTGGGAAGAGCTGGTTACTGAGTGGTCACTCACCATGGAGACCCTCACTAAGGTATGGAAGCTTTCTGCCTTAAATATCGCCAGCATTCTTGGTTCTATGTGAACTAAATGAATGATGCGTCTGTGTCCCAGGTTTTGGCCAGGAACCTGTACAGTGTGGATCTGAACGAGCTGCCTCTGGACAAACTCAGTGAACAAAAGCAGAAGAAGCATAAAGGAAAAGGTTATTGAACCTTTAAATCTCTAATGTATTGTGATGCAAGCTGGGTTTATCTCTTCACTTTGAAAATACTCTATTTACACGTATTAAATTATCTTCCGTTCGTTTTATGACAAAAGAACAAAGGGACATTTGAGGCATGTCACCCCGTACTGTGCCAAAACACAACAATAATGACAAAGTTATTAAAAACCTTGAAATTCTAGTAGATAACATGAGATGTTGTGCTTGAAAAATGCTACAACTTAAAATTGTATCTGACAAACAAGCCTAAAGAGGTGTTAAACAGGAAATTTAAGAAAAAAAAGATGCTTGCCTTTCAAATATGCATCCCCTGAGCACAATGCTGCCATCACCATGTATCCCTCTTTACTAATAATTGTGACAGATTTCGTTGGTTGCATTGGATCTTATTTTAATTCAAATATACATCTCACTTTTTAGAATTTGATTGTAAGAAATTTTGAATTTTTACTTTCCTTTAACTTCACCATATGGGAGCAGTTTCCGGTTGTAGTTTTTTTAAGACAAAGCGTAAGTATACTTTTAGAATCTACTCTAGGTTATTGCCATTTGTTCATCCTACAGCTATCGGTACAGAGGGCCAGCGGCAGGCTGTGGATCGGTCCTTCTCTAAAGGCTGGAGCAGAGACCAACCAGGTCAGGCAGCTGCCATGCGCCAGCGGAGCGCCACCACGGCCGGCTCACCAGGCATCGAAAAAGCAAGGAGTATTGTGCGTCAGAAGACTGTAGGTCAGTATTATCGCTGTTTGAAGTGCCCCTCATTTTATTCTACTCACCCAAGCTCAGCTTCCTAAAGCCGAACTTATTCTAACCGAGTCTTTTGGTTGACATCTCCTTTAAGGATGCTAATTTGTTTTTTTTAAGTGTTTCTTGCAAGAAGCTTAGTGTTCCTGTTTGTGAAGTTACCACCAGTCTCTCACTGTTTGGTTGTGTTTTCTGCAGAGCTAAACCTGATTAGGTCCTTCTGATCTTCAATGTTTCTGTCCTTTTAATCTATCCACAAACCCTCTCACTGAGTTAATTTCTCTCCTTCCACCTTATTTTAGTGTTAAATCTGTCTTTTCTTTTCCTCCATCCAACATTCCCTTAACCTTCCCTTTTTCTCTGTCTGCTCTCTTCTTTCCATCTGTTTGCTCTCACCTCTTCACTTGACTCCTCACTACAACAATACTCTTCTTTCTCTTTCTCCTTCCTTTTTTTTCCCTGACTTCTTTTCCAACTTCTTCAGCCCTGCGTAGCTGTTCTACGGGGGACTCTCTACTGTCCTCAGCCTTTATTCGCAGTGCTAAGAGTGCTCCTGCTCTGGCTCCGCCTCTTCCTGTCCTCCTCCACCACCACCACCCTTTTCTACCCCCTCTTGCCGACCATCTGGCAGGTACACTCTCTTTGCACTACCTGACCTCCTGCTGCATGGAAGCTATGATTACTTCATGTATGACTGTCACTGTTAAATTATTTTGTTGTTAGTTTGCATGCTTTCAATTGTTTTTGTTGTAAGCAAAAACTTCAATATTAATCGGCATGGAAGCAGGGAATGTGGGGCATCACTGATTCTTTCAGAGTTTGTGAACTCAGTTGATTCTGTTTGTAAAAATTGCACTAGTTTACATTCAAAGAAAGCAAAGCCCAGGTCACAACAGTTAAGTCTGAATTTTTAATCTAATGCGTTGTATTATTTCGTTGTTGGCCTCAGTTATCGCCCCTGTACCAAAGAGATCATGTAGAATAGATTCATAATAAATAAACTATTTATATGCACTGGAACAGAACCTGCAATTGACAAGTCCCTTGATTAATTAATATATTTTTCTTTTTTAAAAATTAAGCTGTTCCACTTTTAGCTTCAGTCATATTGAGATAAATCACTGTATTTTGGTGCCACATCTGAGTATTCCAGCGTTGTAAATGACTCTTTGGTTCACTTATTATATCAAACAATGAACACCTTTCTCTCCAAGAGCACACAAAACTGGATTAAATGTGTTCAGGGTTTCAGGAGGTAACTGTGTTTAAAAACACAGTTTTTGCAGTTCACGTTATGTACATTTAAAGTCTAAAGACCCTAATTCTAAAAGTTTCAGCTTAACCAGCGTCTTTGCTGATATGCTTTGAGAGGAAATTACAAATGTTAGTCAAAGGACCTTTATGCTTTTAAAAAATTAGTGTAATGGCCCTCTAAGCTGAAATACTTTGGCAAAACCCCTGATTGTTAATTATCTCTCTTGTTTTACTCATCATGCAAATATCAATTGCCTAAAAATTACCAACATAGGCCACTTCCAATATTAATTTGAATATATCACAAATCACTATTCTTTGTTTTCAGACTTTTAGTTATAGCAATATGAGCCATATAAAATAAGTGTGTACTGAATTAAAGAAATACATAATTCTATGATTATTTTTATTCTGTAATGCTACATTGAAACGGGACGCTCTTTGGACAGCAAAAAAAGTGCCTGCTGTTTCATGTTACATTAAGGTCAGATGTGCCTCAAGAGCATCTTTGATGCTCCTGAAGGATGTTCAGATAAGTGTGTCCAGATGCATCTGATGCTTCTACTGCTCCTTTGTTGCAGCTGGAAGTAGATGTTAACATTTTTCAAGTATGTGCTACAAACTGCAGGCACCAGAATCATAAAAGACTAAAAACCTGCCTACTCCATAATGGGGGCTTCTGCTACTTGATAGAACGGCATCAGAATAAACCTAATACGTTTGCACAGACCTTTTAAATGGACTCAGAAGGGTTTTAAGGAGAATCTTTTGTTAAAGAGGAACTAAATCGATAAATGGCACCTGGAAGCATTTTTAAAAAAGTATTCTCCTACATCTCATGAAAAAACTTTTACTCACCTTGTGTTTGAAAATACATTTTTAATAAATCTTCAGCTTTTTTTCTGTATAGGAAACATTTGGCATTTAAAATTTAGCGTCTTAGATGGAAACTAAATGCAATCTGAAGGCATTTTTGCTACAGAAAGGCATTTCGACATTTTAGCAGCCTCTGTCTCTGATAGAGATCTCTAAGCATGGAACTGGACATACCTGTTCTCCTGACTTCTTGCCTGTAACCCATCTTCCTGCTTGAACTGTTCACACGTCTCCCCATGTCGTTTAACTTTGCACCACCTTTGTTATGTGTTATTTATAATTGATAGTTATTTCTTACAGATTGCCTACGTTCTTGATGATAGTTTTAAGCATGTCGTTGGTTTCTTATGTGAATTACTGCTACCACAATTGTCTTATGTTTTCTAGAAAACAGAGATCATACATTTTGTGGCAGATTTCTGATAGAAAATTCCTGTTTCTTATCGATTGGTGTAAGGAGCGGTAATTACAATATTTCTATGTTCTTTTTAAATAAATTGCAAGTTAAAGTTGATCTTCAGATGTTTAAAATATCTTGACACTTGAATATAATCTCAGTTATATATTTCTCTTTCTGCATTATACTGGTTCCAGCATACTCCCCTTTTTACTGTACTTTATTATTTTTTTTCCAAACATAAAAAAAAATAAACAATATGATTAAATTATATAAGATTAGATTAATCTGTAGAATGTTAGAGGAGAGGGCTCTTATTTACTCTATTTGTTTTAAATTGTTTAATCATTTGTGTATCATACAAACAAAAAAAAAGTCTAAAAGTCTCTGTTATACATCATTAAAAACTTGCATGTGTAGCAGTGTTGACTTGTCACATCTGTGAGATGGAAATTTCACACTATTGTGGGGAAAAAATGCATTTTCATTTTGAAGCAGAAGCATTACAGAAGGGACTTTTTATACTAATATCAGTGTTTTAATTAATTATGATTAACATGACTCACAATAATAAGTTTTTTATGTGCATGCTCTTGTGTGCAAACATTTAATTTTGAGATTCCTAAGATTGGCAAATTCTTTAAAAACATTTAAAATCTTTAAGGGATAAAATAGAGCATCTTTGATTCCTGTTATCTGAGGAATGGCAGGAAGTACTTTATAAGTAAAGTAGGGTGGATACGCAGCCATCAAGCCCCCATAGAGAATATAGGTTCCCTTCTAGAAACTTCTTCCACCATTATTGATTGACTTCATTTTAAACACAAGATATACTTACAGGCTAACTGTGTCTTCTTTCTTTCGAAACAACTTTCAAAGGGAGTGTTTCTATGCTTATTAATTGGAAGAAAGCATCCAAAGTATGTCGCCATCACAGGGATATTTTATTATTAAATCTTATATTAATTGCAATATTACCTATATGGAATATTCTTTGTTCCTCTACATTAAATATTGGATTTTCACAACCTGCTAAAAGCAGTTTTTGTGACCTTTTACTGGTCCTCTATTTGTTCCTTTTTCTGTTCTTAAACAACCTTAATGCATGATATGTTTTCTTTGTCACAATTAAGGAGTAAAATGGCCTAAAAAGCCTCTGAAAGGCAGAGAAATGTTTGACTAGCATTCAGAAAGCCTGGATCACTATTCCAATCCAGTCCAACTTTATTTATAAAGTACTTCTCAAAGGAAAAAAAGTGCTCTACAGGGAAACAATATAACACCATTACACACTCAAAAAAACCATACAAGCATAAAAGACAATATTAAAATCAGAACTATAAAATCTAAAGCAAATTAAAAATAAAAGTAATTTAAAATAATGTATCACAGATAGGGTTGTCACGATACTAAACTTTCCAACTCGATACCGATACTAAGGAAAATACTCGATACTCGATACTATTTTCGATACCACGAGGATAAAAACAAAGACTCCAAAATTCTACATAAATATTTTCATTAATAAATAAAATACAATAAATAAATACAATAAAGGTTGTATGCTGTGCACAATATTAAGCGAGCTTGATAAAAAACGTATAAAATTAAAATTAAGTGTTCCTTCCTTGGCTATGCTTCGCACACATAACAATGACACTCGCCAAACCGGTTAAGAAACAAAAATAATTCTCAGCAGCTGCACCTGTTACAAAAAAAAGTCTGAAACTGAAAAGTGCGTAGAATTATTCAATCACACAGTGTTCTGAATGTGCATTGTCCTCTATTCTGCACTTTAGATGAATGACTGTTTAGGTGCCACTGGTGGTGGCACTGTATCGATACTTTTAAAAACGAGTATTGTATCCGGATACAACATTTTAGTATCGATACTTTTTTGAGTTTCGATACTTTTGACAACCCTAATCACAGACTAAAATCAACATCTCACACAATTTTGAAGCTAAGGCAAAGAGATGAGTTTTTAAGAGTGATTTAAAATCAGACAAAGAAGTAGACAATTTACTTTTCACTGTGTTTAGGCACGATTGCCCCGAAGCTTACGTTTAGTTTTTGGCACATGAAAAAACAGCTAATGGCTGACCTGAGTGGATCGGAGGGTGCATGAAGGTGCAGAAACTCAGAAAGATAAGATGGACAATGGAGAGACTTAAAAACAAAAGAAATTTAAAATGATTTGGTAGAACATCCGTAAATCTCATTGCACGCTATTGATCAAGAGATTTGTTTGAATTCGGATGGGTTTCAAACATTTGTATTGTTAAGTACCCAAAACAATTTCCTCTTGGACCAAAACTTAAAGAAAAAAAAGCTGCAATCAGCTCATCAATTAAATTTGAAAATATCCTGAAAGATATGTTAAATAATACTTTTGTTGATGCCTGCTTTTTCTACTCTTCAGGGTAGATGATTTACTAACTAAGTTTTAGTTTGAAATCTTATTGATTTTCTAATTTATTAAGAATAATATTACCCTAGATTTTTCATTGAAAATAAAAAATACTCTATCAGAAAACGCTTTACATTTGTCATTTTTGTAAGAATTATTTTACATATCTTCCTGGAGTGTATTGGCAAAAAAAAATAAAATAATTCCTGAGAAAGTTTAAAATCTTTAGTGATGAGGTTATTGAAGAAGCAATTTGGTTAAATTTGCTCTTAAAAGAGTCTGGGACAGACTCCATCTCATGTCCCCCAACATCAAGGTGATCATCATTCTCCTTGAGCTTTAAAATTGTGGTGAAGCCCCTGTCACACCTTGACGATTTAGACCAGCGTATGCCTGACGTATGAAAAATCTGGCAAAAACGCTGGCATATGTTGGATAAGTTATGGATACGTTTGTATAAGTTATGAGCACACTGAAGCTGGTGAAACACGCACGGCAAAGGCCGACATATGCCATACTAGGGGCATAAGTTACAGGTAAGTTGTCTGATCATTGACATATGGTAAGTGTACGTTATTCATGGATCATGGTGTCTTGCTTATCCAAACCCTATGAGTAACTTGAGCATAAATGATGCGTAACTTATCAAGAACTTGTCTCCAACGCATATCAAGGTTTTTGAAGTATTCCAGACCACCGCTGAACGTGTTTCTAACTTACATATAATGTAATATTACATATAATATAATGGCGTATTGGCAGTGTTTTGGTACAAAAGGGGGTTCACAGGAGGAAACCATCTGTACTCCTCCAGACTTCATCCCCATCATAGGGTGAGCGATAAGGTGAGGTTTTCAAGCTAAAGGTTTTCTTATTCTTTTTTTTAGCGGGCGGTAAACAGCAGCAAGGTTAATACCACGATTAAAGACGTCTTTTTATGCAGACCGGGCCCCTCCGGGGGAATCGCTGCTCCCATCGGGACACTGGCTTGTCATTTCAATGGCAGTACGCTGCCGTGCGTTATGCATACGTTAGGCTGTCGTTTTACATAAGTTCTGGATTCGTTATGAATACGCCATGTATACGCCCAAAATTTACAAAAAATAAATACATAGAAAGTTCAGCGTATGCCAGTGTTTTAGAAGATTCTGGGACGTCGGGCATATGCTGTCTAAATCGGCAAGGTGTGACAGAGCCCTTAGTTAAAACTCTCTCAACTGTGTGTATAAAAGACATGGCAAAGCTATGCATTTTGGCAATCTGTAAAAAACTGACTTTGAATGCATGATAATGATAGCATGTCAGATTCTGAGTCAAAGCAGTGCTTCGTGATTGTATTAAATCTACCATGCAGCTCTAACTGTTAGAGCTGAGGATAAAGCTGAATGGGGGCTTTTCCGCAGCATGAACATTGTATATTAATTGCATGTCATGATGGGGGTTAACATTTATTCCAAGGATCTCATCGGCTCTATTTCAATTTGCCTCCCAAATACCAGATCTGGAGGACCCCCCAATCACCTTGACGTCCCGCACCCCACGAATGCGCCATTCATCGCAGAGCGACGAGACCCCACCAACCACTTGCTCCGAGGTCTTCCCCGGAAGAGTGTGTGACCTTGATGCGCCAGGTTCGTCCTCCCTGGCACGGAGCAGCAGTGCCTCGGACATCATGGAGCCCTTCATCGCCGAGCAGGTCAAAGGTGAAGACACCCAGAGGGATCCTGTTTCCTTCCCGAATCCTCTGCACCACCACTCCACAACTACCTCCTCACTTGCAGCCAACAGCCACACAACTCAGCCTCTCTCACAATCCCGCACCTCCCCTAATCCCACACCTTTCACCTTCCCCAATGGCGTTTTCATGTCCTCAGAACTACAAGATGATGCTAGTGTTTATAACCTGTCCTGGCTCCGAGCCGGCTCTGGAAGCCATGGCTCTAGCTCTGACTGGGTGAGCGACTGGGACTCTGCCTTCACTTTTCCACCCGAAAAGGAAATTGACGCAGACGAGGGGGAGATAGGTTGTGAGGCTGAGGAGGATGATTTATTCTCCTCGATCAGAGACTACCTCATTCAGAAAGGAGGCGAAAAGAAAGAGGAGGCCGAAGAGGGATGTGATGCTGGTCATCTATTAGAAAGTTTTGTCACTTTACCTGCACAGGAGCAAAGTAGGGAGGTCGGATCCCTATTAGAGTACACAGGACAGGTAATGGAGGAGAAGAAGGTGCCAGATGAGCATAGACGGGTAAGTAAATCAGCAAGACACAGCAGTGTGGATTCAACAGAGGAGAGTGAGGCAGAGCAGCGCAGCATCTATGAGTGTCTGGAGCTGCAGTGTGAGTGGCCCTCTCCCAGTGTTAAAGGGAGCACTAGCTTAGAAAGAAACTTGGAGGGGAAAAAAGCTGCTTCAACAGGGCAGGGAGGGAAACTCGACTGGTGGAGCGAGACAGGAGGAGAGAAACAAGAGGATAAAGGAGAAACAAAAGAGAGGACTTGTTTAAGCAGACAGGATGCAATCACAACTGAATCAAACACTAAATCGTCAACTATTCAAGCCTCAGACCCTGCTAGATTAAAAATGTCCCATAGTGGTACCAAGCAGCAACCGTCTGCTGGGGCCCATGTCAGCTTCCAGCCCTCCACTGAGTCCGTCCAGTTTCACAACCCCCTTGAGAACAAGGAGGCCCACTGGAGAGCCAGGTTGCGTCGACTAAGCCACTTCCACACTCACAGCCATTCAGCTGGGGAGAGGACAGCTAGAGCTGGGGTGGGCTCAGTGGGGAAGCTAGGAGCAGAGGGTCCAGGTAAGTTTGGCTCAGGGAACGGTGCTGGACAAAAAACACGAGCAAATGAGAAGTTTTTACCTGGAGCTTCTATGGGGATCAGAGAGCCTTCTGCAGACAGCGTGGAAAACAGACAGGGGGCAGGAGGGGACAAGCAGCACCCACGGTCCTGTAAGGGATCCGGTCCAAGCCCAGAGGTGAATTCAGAGGGATCCTCAGGCACATCCGCAGGAGTGCGAGGACGTCTGGGAAGGTCCGCCCTGCGATCCCGAGTCTCCCGTTCGCGCTCCCAGGAGCCCCGCATCACTACCTCGCGACACCACCAGGGGGCTCTCCTGGGTGGCATGTATAAGACTGTCGTCCATGCCCTGTCCTCTAAACCTCGGCCCAGAGGCCAGGGGTCATCCCAGGGGTCATCGCCGCAGCGACAGGCCAAGGCCACCACGGGTGACGCATCGCTAAAGGATCTGTACTCCCATGTCCTGGGCTACTTTGGACGAAAGACGACAACGCCAGGTGAGGATGAGATGAACGAAGCGCTCACAGAGGACACAGCTGTGGAAAGAAATGCTCACCAACACAAACACCAGCCGCTCTCTTTTCCCTTTGGCTGTTTTAACTGGTTTGTCATGATGGAATGATATTTTTTTTTTTGGCTGAATCTCATCATCTTGCTCTTGGACTGAAACTGAAACTCCCTGTTGATTTATTCATTTTTTTACTCTTGAACGTAGCCCCCTCCTCCAGCCTGCCTCCCTTCGAGGACCCCCACCTCCTTCCAAAGTCTGTCACCTGTCTCTGTAGGTCAGAAGCTCCATCCCTCCTCCTTCTGTCCTGTTGTTTTTTTTAGGAGCTTTGGGATTTTAACATTTGCAACTCCTTTTCCCCTCTTCTCCTCCTCCCTTTCTTCAATATTTGCATGCGGCCTCTTAGAGTCTTTTTCTCTTCCACCATGGAAGCTGGTCCATCTTCAGTTGAACAGAAAAGAACCGCACCCTACTGTCTCTGAGAACTACAGCAAACTACGATTCAAAAGGGTCCCAGAAATGTTGCTGTATTTTCCAGCTATGGCCATTGTTTACTGTTCGATTATTATTACTATTGAAAAGAAAAATATGTTAATAAAGTGTAAATATACGCTCGATCCACTAGATGTCAGCATAGGATCTTTTGAGAAAGACCAATATACAGGTAAACAGAATTTAAGTGTGTAAGAACATAAAACAGATTGCTGCAATGGTTATTTGCCCAAATATTAGTTTAATGTTTACTGTTAATCCACTCTATATTTCTGTTTATTCTCACCCCAAATGGATGATTGGTAAAAATGTCTTGATGTTATAAAGGAGCACTGAGATTCTTTATTAGAATCCGTCTTCAGTGGAACCTCTGTTACTACAATGTTTAACAATCTTTTTTTTTTTTTTTGCCTCTCACGTGCTGCTTTTAATTTTTTTTGCCAATTTGTTTGTAAATGACATTTTGCCGCAATGCTGTTTCATCCTGAGCTAATTTGACAGGAGGGTTGAAATAGAGATCATGTGTTTTGCATGAATCTGCTGACAGCAGTTCTACTTACCTACAGTTAGTTGCATATTCTCCAGGTTCTAGGGTTTTATGTCAAAAAGTCTGATAACTATCCCGAAAGGATACAGTCAATAGAATTGATATCTGTCTCAATTATCAACAGGAAATGTTTAGCATTACAACAATAAAACTCTTCGTGATTAGCTTCTTCCACTGATATTTTGATGATTTATCTTTAAAGCTGTGCTTGGAAGGCCTCTTTACCATCACCCTGATCTTTTGTTTGTCAGATTCTTGATTGGACCCTGTTTAGGTCCCTCTAAACATTGATAATATTTCCAGTCAGAAAACAATATGTTGGTAAAATTGAAAGATTATTTATTTAAATCTGGAACGGTTCTAGAGGATTTTAGGCCGTACTGTATATATTACACTAAGAATTCAATGTTTAGTTTATATTGTGGAACAACTTTACTATCTATATTAAATCCTGAAAGATTTTTGCTCTGCTCAGTTTTTGTTGATTGAAATAACATCTGGTTTCATATAGATTTCTTAGATATTGTTAAATAACATCTTTAGGCCCAGGATATGTAGACCATAAGACTAAAAACAAAGCTCTGCTAATTTTAGACAAGCATATTCCTGTAACTCATGATGGCATAATGGCAAATAACCATTACAGTTGAATACTATTCAGATCTTGATCAGGGCCTTATATCGACTGAACTTGGTTTTAGCTTTTTTATGTTGGGTCATTTTGTAGACAGAGGTAAGATTAAACCTGCAGGGCATCACGTTTTATAGCAGGCCTGTTTCATTTTTTTCTGGGTTTAAAGTGGCAGCAGTATTTTAAAGCCGGTCTGAAATACTGTCACTTTGCATTCAGCTACTAGAAGCTCTGGTTACTTTAAACTCTTTCAGTTATTGACCTGGACGTAGGCGTAGATTCATGAGTTAGATTTGATCCTTAACTAAGGTGGCAAATTTAAATCAAAAACAATCATGGCTTTTTAAATGCTTTCTGTTTTTTAAACTCACACCAATCGCTCTCATTGCATCCAAGCTAACAGCATTATAAGCCAAAGCATCATAACTATACTACAGTTAGAAAGCTGGTTTGCTGCTTGTTTGAACCTAACAGAGTGATACTCTCTCTTTTTGCTTCTTTATGCATGGTTTAAACTAACTCCTGCATTGCTTTTACTGGGATGTCATGAGCCTGCTGTTTTGGCTTTTGGTTTATTTGACATTCTCAAAGCCTGAAGTACTTTCACATCAGGATTGCTCTTTTAATGAGGAGAAACATTTCCTTCAACTCATGTTATGACTATTGTAATGTTTTGATCTAAATCCATATTATGTTTTTTATGCATTACAAAGAATCTTAATGATAATTATCCAGACATTTGACTATTTGTTAGCCCCAGGCTAAAGTGATACTGCTCACTTACAGATGCAGTGTTTCTGGACAGTATTTAACAAATAAATGTTTTTTAATGTACAGAGCTACCTTTTTTTAAATATGAAATCTTTCTATTTAAAGATAAGCTCAAAATACGATTTTAAACTGATTATCAAGAATTATCTTGAGACTATAAGATAGTTAAACATGCTGACAGACAATTTTAATTGGACAAGCTAAGAAATAATTAGTGACAAAACAAGATGACAGTGTCAAGATAAATATATGTAAGTCTCAGATTGAAGATTTTTTTTTCAGCTTATAGGAAAGTTAAACTGTTTTAACTACAAAACATAATTGAGCTTTTGGTATCTGTGTGAGAAAAAACTGTTTTTGGATTCATTATTATAATTATACTCTAGAACTCAATACATGGAATTAATACATTGATTTCTAGGATAATTTAAGCACAGCAATCTTTTTTAATTGTTGTTTTTTTAAGGCAGTAAGTATAGCTGAAACAATTAATCATGATAAATTGATTATTTAAATAATTAGCTAATTTAGTAATCGATTAAGCGTTAACTGTAGTATAGAGATTCTAAAACATGCCCTTAGCTGAGAGAGGGACTGACTTAGAGCAGCAATTAAACCAAAATTGTAAAAAAATGTATCAACATTTTGCATATAAGATTTTTTTTTCGTCGATCGTTATTGTCCATACAGAACTCCTCAAGTGGAAATGATTTAGTTTCACCTGGTTTGATTTCATAAAAAGTCTTCTTGGAAACATTTGTTATCCGATTAAATAGTCGTTATCGATTAAAATAATCAATAGATTAATCGATTTACAAAATAATTGTTAGTTGCAGCCCTAGTACGAAGTAATCTAAGCTGATTTTATGACAAAACAAATCAGATAATTACCAGAGGAGGTAAATAAATAGTTTAGCTCAAGCTCTAACTGTACTGGAAATAAGTATTTTTCCTGAGATTACAGGTTTTGATTTGAGATAATCTTACAAAAAAACTGTCCTAAAATATAAAAACTTTGGGGATTTTCATTCTTTAGAAATAATGATCTCTCCCCCATGCCTTTTGTTGCACTTATTTCCCTTTAAATGTTTTTGTGCTTGACTGTGAAAACTTTCTCAAAGTGGGTTTGCTTTTGCATGTGTATAGCCAACAAAGAGGAGGTGGTTCCAAAGGCCCGCCCGGTGTCCACTGATGTTGGAAGCAGCAACCCAAACTTCTCTGACCTAATGGATGAGTTCATTCAGGAGAGACTGAGAAACAAAGGGACAGGGGTCAGTGCACCTTAACTGCATCTCTGTTTGTACTGAAATCTGTCTAAACCACCAAAGCTGTAAGAACCACTTTCCCCATGATAAACAGGGTCGTCGGGGAAGCAGTCCAATGGGTCTTGAAGTTCCCAAAGACCTTCCAGAGCTCCTTGAGTCCAATCAGGGTCCTGGATCAAGAACCACAGATGACCCTCGACCTGTTGATGACCCTGGAGTTCCCTCTGAGTGGACGTCACCTGCTAGTGCCAGTGGTTCTGATGTCATAAGCTCTGACAGCCAGTCAGATTCCTTTAACGCCTTTCAGTATTCGGCATGCAAATTTGACAGTAAGAAACCCGTTTTATCTACAGTAGACTCCTAAAATAACTTTGTGAAACTGTTTCTCTGTTTATTTATTTTTTTATCTGATCTAAATAAAATCCCAGCAAGATCCTTGTTTTTACACATAACTTACTTGAGATCACAACCTAAAGGGACTGTTTAATTCCAATGGAATATTATACTCCATACATATACATTCTGTATGATTTATATTTGACCTGTTTAAAAGACAAACTGCCCTAGATTCTCATATCTTAGTTGTTAATTGCTAAAATGCTAAACACCCCATCAAAAGCTGGGAATTTGTGATAAAGGAATTGAAGGAAAACAGAATGATGTGGGTTGATTTCAATTCAATTGTCACAGTGAAGCTAAATAATAGGAGTAATGTTGAATTTACCTGATATCATTCAGGCTTATAGTGAGGTTTTAGAAGAAAAAAAAAATATTTTTTTTTTAGTCAAGGAAAAAAAGCTTAATAACCAAGAACCTCGTGTTTAGTTCTGTTCAACTGTATTTTGATGAGCAGACACTGGGATGTAGTTTCCCTTGTTGATGTTCTTGTTATTTTTGTTGTTGGGTCATGGTGCAACTCTGCATTACAACACATGCAGTGTTTGGTAAACACTGGTTTTGGTTTGGTTTTATGGATCAGGACAGTTATTAACCAAATTGTTCTACAGTAAAAACTGTGAATAAATCAAAACACACTTGTTGCTGTAATTCCTCTGTAAAGCAGAAGATTCGGCTTTTTGTCGCTCTGGAGCACAGATGTGTGTTATTTCCATGCAAAACACATCAACAGGACAAATGAGGATAAAGTCGACAAAGTTTTAAATGTAACTGCAGAAATCTTGATGTCTGCAACACATTTCCTCTTTTTGTTTGGTAGATTTTGCGTTCAATTCAGATGCATGTGGAGGAGGAACTGGTTCTGGAGGAGGCGGCCGAGGCAGCTCACTGGACCAGGATAGCCTAGGTGGCGGATTGGCCTGTGACGAACATGAAGTAGCCAGTTTGACAACGCTTCACATCGACTCGGAGACCAGCAGCCTTAGCCACACAGTCACTGTTACCGGTATGTTTCTGTCTGGTTTTTTCAGGGACCAATAATCAGAAGTTATTTGCTTCTCTTTTTGTTTTAGAAATATGCCTTTTCTCACTTGGTTAGGCTCAGAGAGCGCCTCGCCCATGCATTCCCTTGGAGGCTCCCGCTCCCAGACCCCCTCCCCGGCTACACTGACGGCTGAGCACATAGATCACACACACAGTCATCCACACACACACTTACAGCTGGACCAGAAACTCCACAGCTCTGTGCTACAGACCCCAGATGATCTAGGTAAAACAGGTGGCAGGGGTTTGTTCAGTGTGTAAATCTTATACAGATCGCTAAAGTGTTTTTGCTTTACCTGGCTTGAACCAAGTAGGAGTCACTGATTGACTTATTGATCGGTTTCAGAAACAAGTGAGTTCCCCAGCGAGGACTGCAGTGTGATGGCAGGCGGCTCTTTAACTGGATGGCACGCAGATGTTGCCACGGTTATGTGGAGGAGGATGCTTGGGATCCTGGGGGATGTTAACAGCATCAAGGACCCAGAAATCCATGCTCAGGTTTTTGACTACTTGTGTGAGCTGTGGCAGAACTTGGCCAAGGTTGGTGCTGATTCTTTGCTGATGAACTGTTTTCACCAAGGTTCAAAGTTTAGAGACATTTTTTTTATTTTACAGATCAGGGATAATTTGGGCATTTCTCTGGACAACCAGTCGTCCCCTCCACCTCCTGTTTTGATTCCTCCTCTAAGAATCCTCACCCCTTGGCTCTTCAAGGTAGGTTGTTCTTAAAGTTGGCCTCTTGCTTACAGCATGCCATTGAAACTTTACCTTTTGTCTGAATAAGTGTCTCTTTGTTTGAATATGAGCATATATCTTTTAAAGCAGTAAATACGTCTACTTTGCTTAATGATTTCTGTAATATAAAGTTATATCAATGTCAAACCATTTTTATTTTATTTCCATGCCCATTTCCCTTAGACCACCATGCTGACTGAGCGCTATAAGCAGGGAAAACTTCATGCCTACAAGCTTATCTGTAGGATCATGAAGAGACGCCAAGACGTTTCTCCAAACGCCGACTTTCTCACACACTTCTACAACATCATGCACCAAGGGCTGCTGCACCAGGACCAGGTCTGGTTAGCTTGAAGCATCAATTACAAATAGCAAAATTTAGAACTCAGCTTAGCTCAGATGTTTTATTAATTATTCATGATATTTTATTTTCAAAAAAATCTTGAAAGTGCCAGTAATGAATCAAATATTTCTGTAAACTTGGACGTTTTGTGTAGCATTTTTTATACCTGAATAAAATTGAGTTATTTTTAGGTTGTTTGTCTTAACTTTCTTAAGCTTTCATTTGTAGGACATTGTGAACACAATCATAAAGCACTGCAGTCCCAGGTTCTTCAGCATTGGTCTTCCTGGAGCCACCATGTTAATCCTGGACTTCATCATTGCAGCATCCAGAGTCACTGCATGTTCCTCACTCAATGTAAGAGACAGGAATGCACACATAGTCCTGTGCATGAATGAATAGAGATAAATGTAAGAGAAGGTATTTAGTAACTTTAGACAACAATGTGATTGTTGCACAGTTGATGAATTTATTGTACTCTCTGTATTGTTTAGTTTTCTTTTCACTTCGGTCCTTCTTTTGTCTAAGGCTCCAAGAGTTGAGGCCCAGATCCTTCTTGGGTCTCTGGTGTGCTTCCCCAACTTTTATGAGGACCTCGCTGCTCTCCATCCCACTACTGCTGATGTTGTGCGGACTAAGTTTCCTGAGGTCAAGGTACACAACATTAACGCACTTGATTTGTGTGGTCAAGACAGTCAATACGGGAGGAAAAATGTCTTTTAAACATTTCCAGAATCTTGATCTGCCCTCCTTTTTAGTCCAGGTCAGTCCCAACCTTGTAACTGCTGCCTTCTTGTCCATAGGGGATCTCAGCACAGAGTATTAGGTTAATGTCTCATCAGCTATTCCTGAAACAGCTCGGGGCTGTGGGAGTAATGTTGTTTTTGTTGTTGTTGCTGTGTAAACAGTTAATGCCATGCGTGGCAGCACCTCAGGCCCTCTCTTTGGTTTCTTACGAGCCAGAACCTCGTTTTGAATTGCTAAACAATTATTAACGCTGACAGAAAAGACCAGCAAGTGTGCAAATTTGTCTGCAGCAGAGTCTGTAATTTGTGCTGTAGAATTGTGTGCTATAGATTGTACACCGTTTTACACAGTCTTTGCTGTCGGAGTATAATAAACCTTTTCTTTTTGTTTCTTTAAAGGAACATATTATCAAAACTATCCTGACCTCAGCCAGAGATGAACCCTCTGCTCCTGCAAGGTACGATATTCAAACCATTGTATTGCATCAAAGTTATTCATAAGTCGGGGGCATATTTGTTTCTGGTTGTCTCAGATGAGGATTGATGTGTTATTTTATTGTTTTGTGTTTTTTTACTGTGTAGATTACCCCTAACTGCTCTGTCCCTGTTCTCAGGTGTGTAGCTCTGTGCAGCCTTGGTATCTGGCTGTGTGAAGAGCTGACTCACGGAACTGAGCATCCTCAGATTAAAGAAGCCCTCAATGTCATCTGTGTCACCCTGAAGGTAAGTTTTGTAATTATGAATTTTAAAATGTCACAGTTTTGTTTTTGTTTTTTACAGTGTCCTGTCTGGCAATGTGGCAATAAGAATACTTGTCTCGATGCCAAAAAGAGCCCAACAGATTTAAAATGTCACAGTTTACAAAAAAAAAAGCTTTTAGTTAGTGCAGCCGAGGCTGTATATTGCTTACTAGGACTAGATTAAAAGTAAAATAACGAATATCAACCGGGAAGTGGCTGCATTTATCAGTCTAGTTGTGTTCTGCTGTAGGTCTCAGTGAAAAGAAAATGTATTTTATGCAACAATCGCATGCACTTTATAGTCTATTTAGCAAATAACTTTCATAATATGTATTAGGGGTGGAACGGTTCACAAAATCCATGGTTCGGTTCGGTTCACGGTTTCGTGGTCACGGTTTTTGGTTTGGTTCGATACATGTTGATTGTTACCCCGAAATCCCATAAAAATTTATGAAATTAATGAAAAAAAAAATAAAAAATTCATGAATTATTTTTAATGATCCGCAGAAATCTGGATCATTTCCGCATGCTTTGAATTTAATCATCTTGCGCATGCCCTCTACGATCTCCAAGGAACTTAGAGCGGAGCAGACGGGAGCCACAGCAGAGGCTGTAGGCTTTGCTTTGTGCAGGTGGTCTGGAGCGCAGTGGGGCGGAGCGGAGCGCTGACGGAGTATGTGGGATTTCGGGGTTAGCCTGACATGTTGGTCATGTTGCTGTTAGCATAAACAAAACGTGTTGCACAATGCTTGCACACTGTTGCACTTTTATCCACAACTTTCTTTCCGCCGTCATCGTAGGTTAATCTAAATGCAAAGTGGTCCCATACAGCAGACCTATAAAGTGCTGCTGGCGCGTCTTCCAATTCCTGTTCTTTCCCACTCGCCATACCCACACAATTCTCCACAACAACTGATTTTTTTTTCTGCTACACCCGGCTACGCTGCTTTGCTTCTTCTTCTTCTTGTTTACTACTGGTGGTTGACTTTGGGCGCAGTACCGCCACCTTCTGCTCTGGAGTGTAAACGCTTCGCCTATGAGAAAAAGGAGCAGCGCATGAACCGAACGCAACACACGCGAATCGAACCGAGACAGTCGAACCGAACGGTTCGGACGGTTTTCATAAACCGTTCCATCTTTAATATGTATATACATTTGTTTTTTATAATTTAGATTAAAACTTTTTCATTAAGATGAACTAGTGGTTTGCTTAAATCATCCAATCAAACAAATTTGGCAATAGTTTTATGAAAAAAAAAAGTTATCTAATAAAAATCTTCAGGCCTCGCTCGTATACAATAAATTATTTTGCTTTGGCCCGTTTAGAAAGGCATCTTCATTGTATATTCTACTAGAAAGTATAGCAGGAGGACTTTTACATTGTCTAAACTTTCAAGGATTAACTTTGGTCGTGCCAAGCATCTCACTTCAATTTAGCTGTGACTGGTACGCATAATCGTTGACTGAGAGAGTGAATACGTTTGGTTAAAATAACAGATTATTTTACACTATAGAAAGCAGGAAAAAATGTCAAATTAAAAAAAAAAAATTTTAATGATCATAACTATTAAAAGATACAAAGTGCACCATTTAGTGAGGATCCCATCCACAATCTGTTTTCTTATTTTTATTTTCTATTTCTCCTCCCCACTGTAGAGCTAAATTTTTAATATAAAAAAAAAAAAAAGCTATTTAGATTACAGTTGCAGATCATTTGAATGCATCCAAATGACAGCTTAATGTTTAATTATTAGGCTTTGGATTTGGCTACTAATACCTAAAGTAGGATGGAAACCATTGTTAGAGATGATTGCTGCTCTTTGTGAAATTGTCCCAGTTGTTATTGTCCGTTTCATGTGACTAAACGGACGGGCCAATGGATCAGAACAATACTGTCCAATATTTCCTGTCTCATCCGGAGCCAAGTGGTTCTAGATGGACAGAAACAGACACACACATACCTCTTCGACCTTGGAATCCCCAGCTCGTGTATCGGCAGCCAATGTTCTGTAGAGGGACTGCACCAGCGCACATTTACATTTGCTTGCTCCTGGGAGCAAAACCTGGACTGTAAATATGTTTGGTTCTCCTTCAGATAGCAGACTAATCCAGGGGGAATGCTGCAAGCTGTGACAGACACACACTCCCTGTTACATAAATATACACTAACATCTTCTTCACTTCTGTATCTCTTGCTTTGGTAGCTGCAGCCAGTCCCCTCAGCCACAGGCTCCGTGACATACACACACACAGTTATACACAAAGATTAAGGGATCGTCTAATTTCCACGCAGACACTTCCTCCTCTTGGCCGCCTGATCTTCCTTCCCTTTCATCGAAGAGAATTTTTTGGGTTTGAGGCGTTGGCTCTTATTCGAGCTGGAAGCATAGATCCAGCTTTTTCTGATTAATCACTCTAAGGCTTATTGTGTGGCAGAAATAATTCAGTTAATTTACATCTTTACTTTTATGTAATATTTAAAAAAAGTTCTTTAAAAAATAAAAATATAATTCAGTCATCTTTTTTAACATTACTTTGCCCATCTTAAGAAACCCTGATGGAAAAGTAACACAAATTTCTGAGTAACTAAACCGAATGAAAGCATTAAGCCTGCAGTATCATTCATCCCTTTCCTCTTTCCATGGACTTGTAACTCTGAGAATAGATAGATTTATATAAAGTTATTTGACCTAACCATGATTTGGCAAACTAGGCTGCTCTGAATGTGAAATTTTTACTTTTTTTTTTAGTCGTAGGGAAGTCATATTTAAATATCAAATCATTCTGGCTTAAACATGTATATAAATCTACTCTTTATCAGACGATATTGTCCCAAAAGTTAGAAATTTCTATTTAAAAAAAAACTCCTGTCTTAAAATCTGTGGGGATTTTTTTTGTTATCTTATGCAGGCCAGTTACTTATACGTTATGTCCCAGTGTTCACAGGGATGGATGTCTGTGTCTTTGGGAGGCTTAGAGCTAACAGAACTGGCAGCGTTATGAGGCAAGGGCTCAAACATGTACGGCTGTAAGCCTTCTACACCAAACCAAGCTTCTGCCGCCATGGCGTCCTCTTCAAAACATCTTCGTCCCGACTTTCCTCCTCTAAATAAAAAATATATGATGGAGGAGACTCATCCACGACCTCCGACACTAAACTCTCCTCCTCTTGCATGTTTCCACTGTCCATAGCGTTCCTTGACAGTGTCGTTTCTAAGTCACCAATTTAGTGCTACTTGGTCCCACCCGCTTCCTAATGACTTTAATCTTTTCATTTATAGCCAGTTAACATTTTTGTTCAGTCTTTTGAATATATACTTATGCTGCTTAGTTACATGTTTCTAATAAACATTAAAAAAAATAAAATAAATGACAAAATAAAATATAAGTAGTTAGTCTGGATCATGTTTCCAGATAAAAATAGTGTCTTGAATTATTTTTTCAACAAAATTGTGAAACTCAGTTTTTCTGCCAAGACAGTCCTGTAAGTCCTGGATATTAGTAAAAAATAAGTTAGCATTTACATTCCTAAAATCAGCCCTAAGACCTCATATCTACTGTCAAGCATAAGTATTGGGCTCTTATCATTTCGGTAGGCTTTCTACATTCTAGCATAACATCACTTTGCAGACATCTAGTTCACCCTAAAAACCAGCGGCTTGCATCGACTCATTGACTCGAAGGCAATCTCTCACACCACGCATGCTTGTAGAAACAGTGGAGAGGAAAAATTCCCTTTTAACAGAATGTCGAACATCCATTCATTGTCTTCTGATTGTCAGCGATCAAGGTGCGGGGCTTAACCCACACTAAACCCAGACCTACCTCTCAATGTAGGAAGACCCTTCTACTCTCTCTGGGAGATTCCAGGGTCTTTCCAAACCAGAATCAGGGTCTATTTTCCCTCTTTAGTGTAATCTGTCACTTTACTTGTGAAAAATATGGTAACCTTTTTTTTCCATTTCTTTTTTCCTAGTACCCCAATAAGAATGTAGCGTTGGTGGCATCGGATATCCTTCACCTTCTGATCAGTTACGTGGATCATCTTCAAAAATTCCCCCCTGATATGCCAAAGAAGATCGTAGAGGTTGTTTTCTATATTAAATGTTTTTTTTTTTTGTCTATTTGTTTTTGCAATTTTAACAGGTTTGTCTGTTTTTCTCCTGTAGATTCTAATTGCCACCATCACACATTTACTGCCCAGTACTGAGTCGTCTCCTCATGAATTGGATAAGAGGGTAACAAATCTCTATACTCTTAAATTTTTTTTACATCTAGTTGTGAGTAGAAAAGGGGGTCATGCGTCTTTTGCTGTGTGTGTTGTAGCTTGTAGTTTCCCTTTTGTTGTGCCTCTTGGACTGGGTAATGGCTCTGCCGCCAAAGACTCTTCTCCAGCCTGTTCAAACACGAAGCCCTCCTGAAAAAGAGCAGCCAACCAAAACGCTGCTCAGCTGTATTTATAAGGTATGTGTTTTTCTCACCTTACCTTGGTCGGTAAAGCACAGACTGCTTTGGGCTCTTTTCGTTCATGTTTTATCCTTAACATGCTTACAGGTCCTACATGGCTGTGTTTATGGTGCACAGTCTTTCAGCAGCCCAAAGTACTTCTCACTGCAGCTGTCGGACCTATCAAGTCCAGATTACGACCCGTTCCTGCCATTAGAGAGCCTCCGAGAACCAGAACCACTGCACAGTCCGGATTCGGAACGCTCCAGCAAGCTGCAGCCCGTCACTGAAGGTGATTTATCCAGACTGGCTTTAAAAGAAACCAATATGCTTTTGAAGCATGTAGAGTGATGCACTGGCACACAAATTCACAAAATCTCTGCACAGTTTGAGCAGGAAGAAATGTGTATGCTGATGCACCTTCCTGAATCCACGTGTAATACTATATTTCCCCCCCTCTGTGATCCAGCGGGACTAGAACAGGAGCTTAATCACAGATTGACATTTAAAGTCCATCCTTCTCTTCACTTCATTTTTTTTTCTCAGGTGTTATTTTTTTACTTGTATAACATCCTTTGACTGTCATTAAGTTTTATTTTCTTTATTTTTGCTCTTCCTCCAGATCCAAGCCCCTAGGGTTTAAGTTGTCACTGAGAATGCCAGATCGATATAAATCTGTACTAAAGGCACGGTCCGTCAATAGCTACTCATTAGAGAGTCTGCTTGCTTAACTTGATGTGTTTTTATGTAACTGTGTTGAATAACAAGGGTCTGTATCTAATGGCACGATAATGATAATAATAATAATAGTTATAATAATTGTTCTTACATAGATCCTAGTGGAAAACCTGTTAAACTATTAGCAGAACATCCAGACCATTTTTTTCGTGTGGTCTTTTTTTGTCTTGTAGCAGGCCAATCTATGCATTTTGTTCAAAAAGTATTTGAACATCCTGCTATTTTGCAAGTTCTCCCACTTAGAAATCATGGAGGGTTCTAAAATTTAAAAACCGTGTTTGGAGGAAGAACAATGATGTGTACCATCCCAAGAACACCTTCCTTACTGTGAAGCATGGCGTTGGTAGCATCATGCTTCGGGGGTGTTTTCCTGTACTTGTGACTGGGCGACTGCACTGTATTAAGGAGTGGATTACCAGGACCATGTATTGCGAGATTTTTGGAAACAACCTCCTTTCCATAGTTAGGCTGGGTCTTCCAACATGACAGTGACCCGAAGCACACAGCCAGGATAACCAAGGAGTGGCTCTGTAAGAAACATATCAAGGTTCTTGATTCTAAACCCAATCGAGAATTTTTGCTCAGACTCTGTGTTTCTCAGCAACTGCCCAGAAAACTGACTGATCTAGAGAAGATCTGTGTAGAGGAGTGGGCCAAAATCCCTCCTGCAGTGTGTTTAAACCTGGTGAAAAACTACAGGAAACCTTTGACATCTGGAATTAGAGGTTAGACTGATGTCAAAAATTGGTATCGGCACTGGCCTTAAAAAAAAACATCAATCGATCTCTATTGAGAACTCAGGATTTAGTTTTTGTTAAAGCTGTGATGTTCTGATAAATTATTCCATGGTTGTGCATGTCAAGAAATTAGGTGAGAAGAAGTTTTTAATTGTTGTCTCTGCAGTTCGTAGTCGTATCCAGCAGGGCCTGGTTTCCATTGCAGCCAGAACCGTGATAACTCATCTGGTCAATCATCTGGGACATTATCCAATGTCTGGAGGGCCCGCAACTCTGTCCAGTCAGGTGCTGTAACCATTTTGGTCTAATAGGAGTTGAAAATGTTGTTTTTATAAGTATTGTATTTTTATAAGGGAAATGTATTGATTCAAACATATCCTTTTTAAAAATTATTATTATTTTTCTAGATATTTTTATTATTTTGCTAACTTAAAGTTTGTTTCACAGGTGTGTGAAAACCAAGACAACCCATTCTTTGAGAGTGCAGATCTCGGACCAGAGCTTTTCAATTCCCCCAACCTGCAGTTTCTGGTTCTGAATGGCTCCACGCTGCTGTCTGTTCTCCAGGTAACATTTTCATTATTTTTTTCCTTCTGACCTGATAATTACATTTTCCAATTCTTGTAACAGTATTTCTGCACATCCTGGAAAAGTGTGAAGTTTCATCAAAGACAGACTTTTTTGTGTGTATTTTAGGCTCTAATCTCCTATTCTATTAACAATTGTTAACCATTCATCTATCTAGTCAGAATGTTTTCTTTTTCCATATTAATAGACAAGAATTTTAGTAGAGAAAACAAAAAAATTAGCAGGGATCCTTTTGTAAAAGTAGTTGCTTCCTTTGTGATCTAACCTGCAAAGTTAAAATTTCATAATCTTATAACAAGATTGTTACTGGAAGCTGGTTAATATAAGTATTTTGTATAGTTTGCTTGATGTTAGGAATTTAAAAAGTTTTTTTGTTTGTTCTTTTTTTACCTTGAAAAGATTAAAAATATATCATGAATGTTTGGTTTCCAGATCCGATCGGAGTCTGGAGTGCCAGGAGGAGGAATGACAGCTGGTTTGTCCTCTGCTCCTGCTTGCGTACGTGTCATCATCCGAGATGTTGCAGGAAAACACTCCTGGGACTCCGCAGTCTTGTATGGACCTCCGCTGGGCCCCCCGAACAGTCCAGCTCACGTGCTTTCTACACAGATGCAGTCATTGCGCAATGCAAACCTTCAATTACGCACTCCGCCAGGAGGTCCACAGAACAAGATGGAATTGAGGGAGGAAGAATGTGAGGTAGACGGGCAGGAAGAGCAGGGGATGGAGGAGGAAGACGGATCGATGGAAAGTGACGAACAAGAGAGTCAGTTGGTGGAGGAAGAGAATGTTGGTGATGAGGAGAGGGAAAATCCAGGAGGAGATGGAAATGAGGATCCCGTGGAACATGAGGAGGAGGAAACTAATGGGCATCATATAGACGAGGAATCGGGTTCAGAAAAGCTTCTAGCTCCACCGCTTGCTAAACGAGTGTGTCGGGAGGCGGTGCCAGCGTGGAACTCTCTGGAGGAGGGAGAAGATGCGCTCGATGAGATGCTCCAGTACCTTGGCTACTTAAGTCCAGAGTGCCTGCAGAGAGCAGGTACAGGTTGTGGTCCGAGTTAAAACATCTATTATAGTGCTTTCGGAAAATAAAGAATGACAAGGCCTGTCCGCATAAAAAATAAAACTAATTTCCTTTTTATTAATTGAAAGCACACATTATCAACCATTTTGTTATAATTGTTCAGATATAAACTTATAAAAGGTAACAGAGATCTGTCTTGCAAACTAATCTGGATGTCACGTTAATCCCAACAGGCATGCCACTCAACATCCCAGCCCCTCCTCCAGGTTGTGTTTCAGAGAAGCAGGAGAATGATGTCATCAACGCCATCCTGAAGCAAAGTGCTGCCGAGCGAGAGTTTGTTCTTCATGTGGGTTTCACAGACTGTTTTTCAGTGTAAACATTGATTTATTCTTCATTTTCTGTAACTTCCCTGTAAAAAGTCTAAAGCGCTGCTTTTTGATAATGATAATAATTTTACTTTATTGATCTCACGTTGGAGAAATGTATCCATCCCCTTGGGGAGCAGTGGGCTGCCATTAATTTTTGTAAAATAGTCAGTGGGAACATAATGCCACCAACATTTTTATAACATGTTAAATATAAGTTACAGGAGCAAGGCTGCAATTGGACCTTATCTAGTTTGACATCATTTTTTTAAGAGTTCCAGTTTGTACAAGGAAACTGGAATTGAAGAGCTACTTTTGGAGAAGATGTATTATTTTATTTTGCAGCTGTGTAGTGGATGTTAAAGCATGTGTCAATAAAAGGGTATTAACCCTGTGCAACAAAATTTGCCCCCTACTCTGGTACCTTTAAATAAAATCCTGGCTGACAGAGCTAGAGCTTTTCTGCAAAGAAGGATTAGCAGAGATGTCGGTGTGCAAAGCTGATGGAGGCACACACTCACACCTAAGGACAATTTAGAGAAGCCAATTAACCTGACAGTGATGTTTTTGGACTGTGGGAGGAAGCCGAAGTACCTGGAGAGAACCCATGCATGCTCAGGGAGAACATGCAAATTCCATGCAGAAAGACACCGGGCCGGGAATTGAACCTTCTTGCTGCAAGGCAGCAGTGCTACCCACTGCACCACTGAGCAGCCTCTTGATTTTGTAAATACTCCAAACGTAGTTCTATAAAGTATATAAAAGCATTCCCCACTTTTTTGATTTATCTTTGTTAATATTTTCAAAAAATATTATTGTCCTTTGACTACACAATTCTGCTTTGTTTGGCATCTCTCAGGTGAAACCTTAATGATGAACATGAAAGTGTGTGTTTGTAATGTGACCACACTTTCCAAGGAGTTAAATGAGAGAAATAATTTTCTTAACAATGGGAATGCCTAAGGTTTGCCTAATTCAGAGGACATAAGAGATCATTAGCAGTAATGGCTGATATTGGTTTAGACAAGAGAGAAGAAATCAGTCATGACAGAAAATGATTTTTTTTTTTCCCCCAAGGTTTAGCTTTTGTTGCTCCAAAGAGCTTTGTTTGACTTTCTAATAACTTGGTTGACTTTCTAATAAAAAGCAATATTCCTCTATAGTAAGGACAGCTTACTCCAGGAGCTGTAAAAGTGAATTATCATCATTGCTTTATTTTATTTATCTATTTTCTCTTTTTTGGACATTAAACTTGAAACCTTTTTCAGAGAGGAGAGGAGCTGAACATGAGAGCCGTACAGCAAGCAGAACCAGAGACGGCGACCCCACAGTCTGCCTTCTACTACTGCAGGCTGCTTATCAACATACTGGGACTCAACTCCTGGGAGAAGAGGTGAGGCTCTTAACAGCACTGCAAATAACCGTTGAAAAGCTCCTTACATTTGTTTTAATTTGATTTATCATCATCTGCTACTGCCTATAGTAGTATTGTGTTATTTTCCAGGTGTGAATAAGCTTGTATAGAAGTCATGTGAAAACATTCCCTGTTATTATCCAAAAGCTCTATCTGTCCAAACACCCAGCTATTTGTCTTTCATTCTCTCCATTTATCAGACTATCCACAAAGCTATTGATCCCTCTGTCTGTTTGTCCATCCAGCCAAATGCTCACCATCAGTCTTTTCTCCATCACTGCACCCTTTCATCCATCAATCATTCATGGTTCCATATTTAAAGTTTGGCCAATGTACAAGTATCAGATATTAAAAGTAAATGACATCCTTCTGATATAAGTTTGAGAAAGCAGTGAACTTTTACACTACTGTAGGTTTTTTACCACGAAAACCATGAATCTGATGAAGATGTCTTTGCACATTTAAGCATGAGCCGTTTTAAATTAATCCCAATTTTATAAGTACTGTGCGTGGGATGTCTTCTGTATTTTGCTCTTTTCCAACACTTGTTTAATGCATATAAAAAAAGAGGAAAAAAAGCTGAACTACATCAAGCTCATTAGAGGCTATGTTTTCTCGTCATTCAAATTTTGCAGCATTTCTTCTTCTCAATGACTCCGAGCTTCAGCTCACAATGTCGGGGTATTGCTCTGAATGCGCCTGGCCAGCTAATGGACGCTCATCACTCATTATACTTTATCCATGGAATTACACTTTCTGCATTCAGAGTCACACAATAGCCTCCTGTACACGCTGGTGTGTGTGCGTGATAATGAGGACGGCGGTCTATTGATCAAACTCGGCCCATTTGGACTTAGAATAAAGAAGCGGTAGTTGAAGAAGAGTGTGATTGAGAGGAGCTGCCGCAAATCAGAAACCAAGATGATTCAGACTCACAAAGATTTAGTCCTAATGATGATAAATAAAATAAATAATGAAGCAAAAAGACTGAAAATGAAAGCACAAGAAACTTGGAGGCAAAGGGAAAATAAGAAGGTAGAAAGGAATGAAAAGAAAAAGAGAGCTGTTGTCTAATCATCTGTTATTGTCACCTTGCGACTCTCCAGGTATTCATATGAGGCATTAGACACTAAGATACTGACAGTCACCCTTGTGTGTGCATGTGTATCCCCCTTTATGCTTTTCCCTATAATCCAGGGTGTAAATGGAGTCTTTGAGAGCAGAGAATGAGGCCATTACCAAGTATCACTTTAATAAAGAGCAAATTACTCTCTCTCCTTCTTTCCCTCTCTCCCTCTATTTATCTCATGCGCCCTCCCCCGTTCGTTTTTTTCTTTTTTTCCTTTTTTCTAAGAGTAAAAAGAACGAGGTGTCATTATCAGTCCACTCCAAGCTTCACTGCCCAACTCTTAGTTTTTATATCAGCCATTCAGAGGTTGAGGGTCGCTCATTGGCACAGTTTCAACCACCTCTTGATAAGTTATTCTGCCTGAAAAGCTGTTGTTTTTCTTAAAAATCACAACCCATATTTTTTATGTTTTAGAACCTAAAACGTCTCCAACTTTGGTCAGTTAGACCTATCCCTACAAACCATTATATAGACAGTTTTTTTTAAATTCTTCCTCTTTCTTACAGACTTTTTTTTTTTAATTAGTTGACCATGTTGTGCTTATTAAGAACTTTAAAAATTATTTTTGAGTGCCTTGTAGAAATTGACAGTACTTCAATCTAAATATATTTTGCAAGATTATTTCAGAAGTGGTAATAAAATGTTAAGTATATTTTAATATACATTTTTCTTCTGTGCATATTAAGCATTAGTCACCAACTGACGTTCCAGATTTATTTAGTTTTATTCGCTTTTTGTTTTTTTTTTACATTTATTTCTAAAAGTTTTTTATTGGATGAGTTTTATAAACATGGTAAATCTATTTTCTTTTCCAGACATTTGTTGTGGCCATTTTTGCCAGTATTTTTTGGGCTTTTATTTACACTTTATTAATATTAAAATGTTATTGCGTTAACTGAAATTAAGAAATATCTGTTGATATAAGTTCTAGCCATATCATCCAGCCCGACTTGCAGGATCTCATTCATGCTTTTACATGTTAATTTGGGTTCTGGTTATCACATTTTGTAGATATTGTTCTTTTAGTCATTATTAGTTTTATATTTTTCTGCAGCGCATAACACGCTGCTAATAACGCAAGCTGAAATTCTTTATAATGAGAATAAGACAGTAAACAGATTTATTTTAAAACTTTGTAACGTATCTGTACCAGGAGGAAAAAGGGTGTGAAAGGTGCTGAATATACAATTGCGTTTTATATTGAGGTTTTTAATTAAACCATGGTCTGCAAATCTGTGGTTGGGTGTATGTAGATAAATACACAAACGTAGAAGGTGCCCTTTTCTGAACAAAGATTAGTTTTCACTTCCATTCAGGCTTTAATTATACGTAAACACACACTTGGATCAATTTAAGTCAAGATAAAGGATAATGATGTATTAACTGGAAGCACTAAATTGGTTGAAAGGCTGAGTCTAGCCACTGCGTTTGCGTCTTATAACTTGTGCAACTGTATCTTACAGGAGTAACTTTCATTTGTTGAGGAAGAACGAGAAGTTGCTGAGGGAGCTGAAGAATCTAGACTCACGGCAGTGGTGAGCAGCACTCATCTTTCACTGAGAAACTGCCGGAGAATTTAAACCCACTCGTTGTTCATGCTTATGATTCTCTCATTGTCTTCCAGCCGGGAGACTCATAAGATTGCAGTATTTTACGTGGCTGAAGGTCAAGAGGATAAACACTCCATACTCACAAACACAGCTGGCAGCCAGGCTTATGAAGACTTTGTTTCAGGACTTGGCTGGGAGGTAAAAAAGAAACCTCTACTAATACACTGTATGTTTATAGGGACTAATTTCGTCCTAAATCCAAAAACTAGGTGACTGATTTAAGCCAAAAGGAGTGTTTTTTTTTGTTGTTTTTTTTTAAAGTTTACTGTGAAAAACACAGATTGGTATTGTACTGTAAGGTGTTATAGAAACTTAAAAGTGATTCTGATTTCCATAAATAGAAGCCTTATTATGCATCTTGTGTTATGCATTAGGTGGACCTCACCACTCACTGTGGCTTCATGGGAGGCCTTCAGAGAAACCGCAGCACTGGCCTGACGACGCCTTACTACGCCACGTCCACCACTGAAGTTATCTATCATGTGTCCACTCGCATGCCGCATGACCAGGACCAGAACTTGACAAAAAAGGTGAAAACTTGACACTAATGCAATCGCTTGTCTTCACAACAGATTTAGCATGTGCAGCCATTTTTCTGTACGGCATAACTGAAACAGACTACAGCTAATATAGGGACACAAACTTGCCCATTAAGTGAAGCAGATAGAAGCAGTAATTTTAACTGTTTTTGTGGGATGCTGCAGATCTTCTCTCTTAGCCACAAAGCAGGAGGTAGAAACTGCAGCACTCTAACTCATTAAGGTTCTTGCATGATTATGAAAGGAATGATGGTGGCCATGTTCTTGTTTTCAGATGGATTTGGGTAACTCAATTCAATGTGCTTCAAGTAAATAGCATCATTAGTCCCTTTTCCATTGCCACTCAATGGGGTTTTGGAAGCCTGGGTAGTGTCTCCGTACACCTTTACCCAGGTGAATTGTACATTCCTGCGGCCTTGCTCCTGCCACACAGCTACAGATACAAACAACACACACAGTATTGAATATTATGTCAGACCAATACAAAAGTTACCTCTTCTCTGATTCCTATGGCTCCATCACAGGCAGAATGGGCTCAAAAGAATAAGAAATTAGATTTGGATGCCTGAGTGTCCTTTCAGCTTCTTCTTCCATTGTACCATATTTCTTAAGTGTTTTATGGCATAGCTGGTATTGCCAAAGGATTCAACTGGTAGCTACAGAGCCAAACAACACTGTGACGTCACAGCAACATGGCGGCGCCCTTGCCAAAAAATGATAAACAACTCTACGTTTTTCCTTTATACATTTATTTTTTTCATTGTAATTTGTTGGTAGTAAGACGCAATCTAGTAACTTAAGTTAGCTTTGTCGACCATTTCACTTCCGCTTTAACGAAACGTTTTCATTGATTGAACGATTTACTTTGTTGATCTCACAGTCGAGGAATCAGCTCAAATAGTCAAAAGAGAAGAAGAATGTGCCAAAGGAAGAAAAAGGTGCAATGGATATATAAAGTATATGGAGTATGTCCACATATGACAGCTTCTTTTTTTTTTTTTTTTTCATAGCAGGATAATTATGGAGGGTTATTGCACAGGATGCTTACATGGGTATTTACATAGATGGATATTTATATATATATAGTTATTGCACTGGGTGTCAAATATAGAGAAACAGGTTGTATGTTTAATACTAGCTTAAAATGAGCATATTTTCATGATGCTGTTGGACTGCTTTTTGCAAAAAAAATATTACCCTCCTTTTCAAAGATTATAAAAACAGACCTCAATGTGTTTTATTTTGATTTTATGTAATAGACCTGCATAGTGGTTATTATGTTATCATTTCGGGTAGTAAAATAATATAAAACAAATTTTTTGTTAAGAGTAAAAAGTGTTGCAAATGCATTTTTTTCTGTTAGCTAATTATATAAGGCAGGCTACCTGTGTGCAATATATCTCAAACAGTGCACGTTTGAATCCATACTTTGAAAAGGTAAATAAAATTGTACACCAATAACCTTTAACTAAACATCACCGTCCACCTAAACTGCCTAGTTAGGAAACGGAAGCATTAATCATTGAAGCAGTCAAGATCCCCAAGGGAGAATCTGTTCAAAGGGCAAGTTTCAACAATGCAATCTGAAAATATAGTATTTAGGGAATGGGAGGGAGTAGAAAACCATTGTGGAAAAAAGCTTTAAGCTTTAGATTCAAGCCATGCAGGCGGCACAAGGTGATGGAAGGATTGATACGGTTGAATACAGGTAGACCTCATGTCCTCATGTTACATTTATAAGGATGAGGCCAAGCTTAAACATTGAGAGAATTCATATTTGCTGCTATGCTCTGTAAAATGGGCTGTCTTATAGAGTACTCCTCTCTTATTTTTGCGGGCAATCATGTCTGTATTCGTTGTGAGGCTTGTAGAAGTGCCTAGGCAGGCAGGTTTTATTGTGTCTATATCTGCGTTTGTGTGTAATCACACCTGTCACCCCCCAGGCTCTGGTTGCTCTCCACATGGCCATAATGTCCTTTTAATCAGATCATACTTCCTGCTTCTCGGCCTATCACATCGCTTCAGGCTCCTGATTGGATTAGCAGCGTCTGGCGCGACACCATCCGTCTCACTGATCAGCTGATGGTCCCATCAAACATGCATAGTCACATACACACACCTGCACACACTCTCATGCAGGCTTTAAACCTGTTTAACACACATCCATTGATGTTGGGGGGGTTTTATTAACCACATTCTCACTGTGACTATAAATTTGTATTAGTGTTGCAGGGAGACACGTATACGACAGAACATATTAGGGTTATACGTAAAAACGCACACAGACAGCGTTTGGCAAACGTGTCCACAAACGGCGTAATTGGACACACAAACCAACATTAGCCCTGGCAAGCGTTTATCTTCCATCCGCCTGTGATATTCCCACAAACACAATCATTTTCGGACCTCACGAGGCTCCTGTCCAGGTTTCCCTCTTTGTGGGCCGTGTTGGTCTTATCGCAACACAACTGCAAGAGTAAATGGATTAAATGAGCATTGCACCAACTGATGTGACGTTGTTGTGATCTTTATGGGAACGAGATAAAATAACCCTTAAACTGCCCTGACATCCAAAATATCTAATGGTTTATGATTTTTAAAATATATATATATATATATATATATATATATATATATATATGTATACATACACACACATATATATACATACACATATACATATATATATATATATATATATATATATATATATATATATATGTATATGTGTATGTATATATATATATATATATATATATATATATATATATGTATATATATGTGTGTGTATGTATATATATATATATATATATGTATATATGTATATATGTATATATATATATATATATATATATATATATATATATATATATATATATATATATATACAGGTGCTGGTCATAAAATTAGAATATCATGAAAAAGTAGATTGATTTCAGTAATTCCATTTAAAAAGTGAAACTTGTATATTATATTCATACATTACATACAAACTCATATATTTCAGATGTTTATTTTGTTTAATTTTGATGATTACAAATGACAACAAATGAAAATCTCAAATTCATCATATCAGAAAATTAGAATATTACTGAAGACCAATAAAAACAAAGGATTTATAGAAATGTTGGCCAACTGAAAAGTATGAACATGAAAAGTATGAGCATGTACAGCACTCAGTATTTAGTTGGGCCTCCTTTGGCCTGTATTACTGCAGCAATGCGGCGTGGCATGGAGTCGATCAGTCTGTGGCACTGCTCAGGTGTTATGATAGCCCAGGTTGCTCTAATAGTGGCTTTTAGCTCTTCTGAATTGTTGGGTCTGGTGTATTGCATCTTCTTCTTCACAATACCCCATAGATTTTCTATGGGGTTAAGGTCAGGAGAGTTTGCTGGCCAATTAAGAACAGGGATACCATGGTCCTTCAACCAGGTACTGGTAGCTTTGGCACTGTGTGCAGGTGCCAAGTCCTGTTGGAAAATTAAATCTGCATCTCCAAAAAGTTGGTCAGCTGCAGGAAGCATGAAGTGCTCTAAAACTTCCTGGTATGTGGCTGCGTTGACCCTGGACCTCAGAAAACACAATGGACCAACACCAGCAGATGACATGGCACCCCAAACCATCACTGACTGTGGAAACTTTACACTGGACTTCAAGCAACGTGGATGAAGTGCCTCTCTTCTTTTCCTCCAGACTCTGGGACCTTGATTTCCAAAGGAAATGCAAAATTTACTTTCATCAGAGAACATGACTTTGGACCACTCACCAGCAGTCCAGTCCTGTTTCTCTTTAGCCCAGGCAAGACGCTTCTGACGCTGTCTGTGGTTCAAGAGTGGCTTGACACAAGGAATGCGACAGCAGAAACCCATGTCTTTCATACGTCTGTGTGTGGTGGTTCTTGAAGCACTCACTCCAGCTGCAGTCCACTCTTGTGAATCTCCCCCACATTTTTGAATGGGTTTTGTTTCACAATCCTCTCCAGGGTGCGGTTATCTCTCTTGCTTGTACACTTTTTTCGACCACATCTTTTCCTTCCCTTCGCCTCTCTATTAATGTGCTTGGACACTGAGCTCTGTGAACAGCCAGCCTCTTTAGCGATGACCTTTTGTGTCTTGCCCTCCTTGTGCAAGGTGTCGATGGTCGTCTTTTAGACAACTGTCAAGTCAGCAGTCTTCCCCATGATTGTGTAGCCTATAGAACTAGACTGAAAGACCATTTAAAGGCTTTTGCAGGTGGTTTGAGTTAATTAGCTGATTAGAGTGTGGCACCAGGGGCCATCAATTTTGAACCTTTTCACAATATTCTAATTTTCTGATATGATGAATTTGAGATTTTCATTTGTTGTCATTTGTAATCATCAAAATTAAACAAAATAAACATCTGAAATATATGAGTTTGTATGTAATGTATGAATATAATATACAAGTTTCACTTTTTAAATGGAATTACTGAAATCAATCTACTTTTTCATGATATTCTAATTTTATGACCAGCACCTGTATGTGTATGTATATATATATATATGTGTATGTGTATGTATATATATACACTATATTGCCAAAAGTATTTGCTCACCCATCCAAATTATTGGAATCAGGTGTTCCAATCACTTCCATGGCCACAGGTGTATAAATTCAAGCACCTAGGCATGCAGACTGTTTTTACAAACATTTGTGAAAGAATGGGTCGCTCTCAGGAGCTCAGTGAATTCCAGCGTGGAACTGTGATAGGATGCCACCTGTGCAACAAATCCAGTCGTGAAATTTCCTCGCTCCTAAATATTCCACAGTCAACTGTCAGCTGTATTATAAGAAAATGGAAGTGTTTGGGAACGACAGCAACTCAGCCACGAAGTGGTAGGCCACGTAAACTGACGGAGCGGGGTCAGCGGATACTGACGCGCATAGTGCGAAGAGGTCGCCAACTTTCTGCAGAGTCAATCACTACAGACCTCCAAACTTCATGTGGCCTTCAGATTAGCTCAAGAACAG